CGAGACGGGAAGAGGCAGGGTCGATGGCGGTGGCGGGGGGCTTCGGGCGATGTCGTCCAGGAGGCGGTGGATGATTTCCTCCTTGGATCCGGCGACGTCAAGTTTGCGACGAGACAACTCGTCGCGAAGGTATTCCGCCGTAAAACCGGCGAGGTCGCTTGGCGTGGCTTCGGCCCAATTGACAAGAGGCATGGCGGGCGGGCGGGCGAGCGGGCGAAACAAAAGATGCGACTCGTTCTTCAGGCGAGTTAGGCAGGCGGTGCGGGCGGGCGAGTGGCATCCAGGCTCCTTGACATGTCGACTGCGCCAAATGTGAGGGTACGGATGACAGAGGCAGAGTTAAACGTTACTTAAAGGGTTTAATAACGATGGCAAATTCATACGGCGGTTATGGCGGGAACATCGCATAGCGGGAGCGTCGTCTAGAGTTCCCTGGTTGGGCCAGGCTTGGCTTTGTGAACAACAAGATGTCGGCAGGTGGCGCTAGTAATGAGCCTGCTCACAGCATTATGTTCAGCTTGATCAGGAAATGTTAAATTACATATGACCTCATAAATTGATGAAAGTTTAAAATTGTGATGCACCTTGGTGGGGACACAAAAAGAACCGCCATTACCATATCCAAAGTTTGGGCATAAAACAAGATGAAAAATGTGGGACTCAAGTCTAAAATAGAAAGCAGGATTAACTTTGACCCAGTTATGATGAAAAGACGGGATATATAAAAATCATTTTATTGCACCCGTTTGGTCTTTTTTTATTTTTTTGTCTCTTTTAAGATAAACTTAACAGGTCCTTTTTTTTGCAGAGACATCGCAACATGCTGCAGGGGTTGCAGACTTAATGGCATAAAGTGCAATGCAAGCATCACATTTAGGAACTTGATGTCCAGCAGTCCAAATGCTGCAGATCTCTATCTACTGTATTTTTTTGCCTTTGTTTACAAAGCTTTATTTGCAGAATGTTTGTCTTTTTCTTTAGGAACATACAAAAAACAAAAGGTGCACGAAGTAGAATTATGATAGTATCAGGGGGTAGAAGCTGAGCTAGTTGGTGGTACATATTACAACGGCTAAACCTGTCTTTACTCCTTTCTCCCTAATTTCGTGGTTTAGCCGGTTTAGCCAACCAAGCAAAGACCGCTTTGCTTGGTCTGCCATAACGTCTTCCTGTATGACAGATTATCTGAACGTCTTGGCAATGCTTTAAACCCCTGTCTTCTTGTTGCCATACCACGCAGTGATTTGCTTAGGCGACTTTCCGGCTCAAAGCGATTCAAGTATTGCTGCCCTCAGGACATAGTCCCTGCAACATTTTTCAACAAGTTGCGAATTGTTTATTAGGCGATGGTCCGCCATCGAATCACATGGTTGCAGACAGTCGCGTACTAACTTGCTTTTGAGTGGGGGGGCAAACCAGAACCTCCCCCCCAGGGACGGTGGGCGGTGACATTGGTATTCTTTGGGCGCCGCTGGCCAGTGTTTGCCCTGCCCAGTGGCGGCTTTTTCAGGGGGGGCCTTGCCCCCCACTTTGAGAACCGGAAAAGCAAGCGCCCCCCTTGCCCATGGTTGCAGAAGCGCAATACGGCCAGTTAGCTGCACTGCATTGTTGAGACTAAATCTGAAAAAAGGGGATTTATCTCGACGATTCTGTACAATACTTTTAGGATAGCAGAAGGCACGATGTACAAGGGAATATGAGAACATCACATGCATAGTGAAATCATGTAGCTTACTTGACTGTTCTCAGTTCTGAGTAGAACACAAGAATCACCCCTTAGGCTTTCCAAGAATAATTTTCTTAATAGAAAAAAAAAATACATTCACCAACTTATTTTAGGGTGAAACATTTAGTTTTTTAGTCGAATTCCAAATATTATGGCAACAAAATGGGTCTGGGCATCACACATAGCCATCCGTGACGTCACAAGTCTGGTTACCTATCCCCCCCCCCCCCCCCCCCCCTTAGTCTGACCACAAATCCGTTTCTGTTTACGACTAGATGTCCTGGAGCCACCATCTAGGTAAAGGGCAGTGAGTTTCAAAGTGAGCTACACGTTGACAAAAAACAAATCCGTTAAACTTATAATGTTGTCTTTGCCATCATGCTACTATGGTTACATCATCTAAAATCTGGTCCTGACGTTCTAAGCCTCTTGCTACGCCATCCGGTCGAGGGGAGAGAAGGGACACCCAAAGAGGTCTCTGCAGTCGACACCGCTGAGTCCACCAAGGACACCTTGGACAAAGGGACCCTCCCCTTGTGGTCTGCTGAAACCACAGCCTCCAGAAGTGCAGCCCAGCACAGGGGAACTTGGTGGCTGCTGTTTGGGCCATCTGACAGATCAACAGGACCTGGATGGTAGAATTAATGACACCCAAGGCGTAAACGAGTGACCTCACAAAAGGCATACTGTAACTCGTAACACCCCCCCCCCCCCCCCCCCCCAAAAAAAAAGAAGAAAAGAAATGAGGCACAGTTATTAAATTTTTCTATCTTTCGCAGTGTCCGCTGCCCATCGTTTCACCGCTGAACATCTTTAATAGAGTCGAGTTCTGGTGAAATAAGTTATTTTCTTAGCTTTATGCAATGCAAAACCACATACCTTTTTTCTTTGCACGTGTGTGTGATCATTTTGTTTTACTGATTTATCAAACTTCAGAATTTTTATTACTAAGATAATTGTTTGAACCCTCGAACGGTAAACAAAATATTTACCAGGGTGCTCAACAGGCTCAAAGCATCTCAACCATTAATATTTATATTTAGAAAACCTAAATCTGTGTTTTTAGTGGATATCAGAGAATCTGCGTCGATTCTGACCTGACATTCCGGCTGGGTGACGTTCAAACTCTGCATCATGGCCGCCATATTTCCAGTGCCCTCGGACCTGTTCATCAGGAACTGATGCATCTCTGTGGCCGACTGATGAAGGGCAAACAGAGCAGACGCACCCACCAGCAGAGAGTACCAGGCAGGAAAGAGCAGCAGACTTGTACCGAATACCACCAGAAACACCAGAGACTCAGCAACTAGGCTAAGGCTGGTTCTGGAGGATGCTGTCAAGTCCGCTGAAGTCCCGCCTTGGTGGTCTGGATGTACTGTCAACAGACGTAGTGGTTACGTCACGCGGTCGTTCTAGACATGCTGGAACCCATTGTAAAATACAATGGCAGGTTTACAGCGCGAGCTAGGCTGTCCATGAAAAGGAGCACTTTAGGAGCACCTTCAACCTCCCGCCAAATTTTACCATAAACCTCACAACAATAAAAAAAAAAAAAAAATTGCAACGCAAATAAGTCTGTGTTGAATTGTGTGCATATATGTCCAGGATGTGATACATCTCTGGAAAACACGCGTGGGTAAAGTCACGCGGCGAGATTCACAAGGGGAAAATTAACATGCGACAAACACACAACACTGTTTTGCCTTGTAGGAACGTGTACGAAGTGAAGGGAAGAATAACGGATGCATAAATCGCCATTAGCTGCATACACTCGCACTCCTACTCTGCTAAACGTGACAAAGAGTGGCAGGCATAGGCGTAGACTACGGGGGGGGGGGGGGGGGGGGGGGGGGGGCGGCCATCAGGGCTTGTGCCCCCCTGGTGAGATCCGAAGGAAGGGAGGGGGTGGGGTAGAGCCTCCCTCCTGGGCTATGATCCTTACTGAGACGCTGTTTACGTGCCATGTAACCATGGGCATACCAACCAGGGCACTTGCCCCCCCCCCCCCAGCTCTCAGAGTGAGGGGGCAAGGCGTGTGTTTTGCCCCCCCTGAAACAGCCGCCACTGGGCAGGGCAAACACTTGCCGGCAGCGCCCAAGGAATATCAAGGGCACCGCCCCGCAGCCCTGGGGAGGGGGGGGGGGGGAGTGTCTGGTTTTCCCCCCCACTTAAAAACAAGTTGGTACGCCACTGCATGTAACGAGCTTCCAGTAGTGGCATGTAAACAAAATAACACACACAGCGACGGACACGTGGCGATATACATACGCTGTAAAATGTACCCCCTAGAATAAACTATACTGATAATTGCCAGTGTAAAAAAAAAAATTGCGCGGAAAAGAACGCCTTCTCGGAGAACTTCTCAGCCTGCCCCCTGCCCTGCCCTGCCCCCTGCCCTGCCCCCTGCCCTGCCCCCTGCCCTGCCCTGCCTCCTGCCCTGCCTCCTGCCCTGCCCCCTGCCCTGCCCTGCCCTGCCTCCTGCCCTGCCTCCTGCCCTGCCCCCTGCCCTGCCCCCTGCCCTGCCCCCTGCCCTGCCCCCTGCCCTGCCCCCTGCCCTGCCCCCTGCCCTGCCCCCTGCCCCCCCCCCCCCCCCACCCCCCCCCCCCCTTTGGGAAGATGAAAAGTCTACGCCGCTGGTCAGGCACCAGGCACAAATTTCGTGATTGTAGTTAAAAAGGTAAGAAGGGAAAACACTTACTTGTTAAGCCGGCATTCGACGGTTCTGTAGGAGGTACAAGCACGCTCAAAGTTATGCAAAGTACAACTGAAACATATCTTCCGAATGATTTCATTGAAGACGGTCATCAAACACAGAACCAGAGGCTCGCTGCGCTCGTTTTCAGATCACGAGAGTGTGCTTCAGCTAACCAATCATTTTCCTTCCACTAAGCGATAAGAAGCGTCAAAGATTTTGGGTGCGACCAGTCACTGTAATCTTGGCTGAATTCGGAAAAACTGACTGTGCCATTCCTTATCATTTTTGAGATATCTTGGCTGATTTGAAAGGACGCGGGCACTGCCTCCTCTTTTGGTTGGATAGAGAAATAAATGCAGCTACACCGCAGTGCCTTGAATTTAGCGGCAGCTTGCGTTACCTGGTGTTGAATTAGAAAAAAACTAGCTATTTAACGCATTTGGAGGAAGTTTTTTTCTAGAAGAAAATGTCAAAATATTTAGTATTTCGTTAATATTTATGCACTCTTACTGATTGAAGTTGGTTGCGTCATCTCAGGTGAAATCTGAGCAATCTTACGCCCAAAAGAAAAGTCAAAACACCAAAAACATGAACAAAACGTTCGTCGTAATTATTGATACTTAGCAATATTCTAACTTCTAGAATATGAAATCCAATGTTCCCGGATTTTGTTTTCTGAAAATGTGGCAATCGGCAGAAAAACGAAATACGTTCTTATGTCTCCTCTGGTGCTGACTGAGAATCGGGCTTTTAAAATGGCGTCCTCGTCTGCCAGTTCAAAAGGAGTAAATCTGGTCGAAAATTTTTGCGCTGTCACAGGTACCGTAATTCCTTCGCACATTCCTGTCGCACACATTCCGGTCCAAACACTCTGCGCGAGTCTGTCCTACCGAATTCGCTTCGGGCAGTCATTCGAAAGCCCATTTTACTACTCAAACTCCGGATGGCTTTGTCCTTTCAGATTTTACTGCCTTACCACGATTTCACGTGTTGTTTTTTGTCAACAGGTGAATTTCCAAATCGCGTAGCTACGGCTTCGAGCTTGAACAGTGACAACCATATCTCATGTGACGCGAGAGCCAGGGACTGTCGCTCTGCCTTGCTCGGTGGCGGCAGTCACAGCGGCGGTATTCTCGGGGTATCACTACCAAGTATCACTACCACCAGCCCGTACCATGAACTGCGTTTCGGTTAAATTGTTTACTGTTAGGCAACCGGACGAACAGGTGTTGCTCATGTATTGATTAACGAAACTTGACATTGGATTGTACAAGAAAATTACACCTCTCTTGGCTCTTATGGTCGAGATTTCGTTATCTATGAGATCTCTGCTTACTAAACAAACCCTACTAGTACCTCGATAATGCTCAGTTCCATGCGCGCTCTCTTGTTGGAAACATAGTTTATGGCACGTGACAGAATTGACAGACTTTCGTAGAAAGCGTTTTCATTGAGCTGCTTACCCACTCAACTTAGCTCAAAATATAAAGAATCCAATCAAATATCACACTTTGATTGCTTTGACAGGCTTAGGAATTCTGAATGTTAAAAATTAATATATATAGAATGACCCAAGTCACCAGGCTCGATCTAAAATGGACCGTAAAAATCGACGCCTGCACGTAACAATCTAAACTTTTCGTCAAAGGAGTATTTTACTGGTCGGTTTTTCTCTTCTAAAATTACAAAGCGTAGCACTCTTTCTGCAAAAAATGGGGCCAAGAAACTTGCCAGGGTCTACAGCGGGCAGCGATGCAGACAACCAAGTCGAGTACAGGGTATGTTTGGCATTCATATTGATAGATGGCACTACCTCCTTTCCGTGATGGCTTGCGACCATTGGGGTTTATTAAAATTAACAATCTTTTTGAAAGGTACCTTTGGTTAAAAAATAAATGCGAACAATAAAAGGAAAACTTAAAGGAAAAAAATGTGTCTGCGCTTTTGCTGCCAACGGATTTCGTCTGCGAGTCGTCTGCGTTCTTTCACCGGTCTGCAACCACTTCGGTCGCTGCTCCCGTCGCCGTCTATCAATACGAACGCCAAACACAACCTGCTACTCCACTTGGCCGTCTGCGTTGCCGCCTGCCGTAGACCCTGGCAAGTTTCTTGGCCCTATTTTTTTACATAAAGAGAAGTATGCTTTGTAATTTTACAAGAAAAAACCGACCTGTGAAATACACCTTTAACGAAAAGTTTGAATTGCTACGTGCAGGCGTCGGTTTTTGCGGTTCATTTTAGATCGAGCCTGTTGACTTGGATCACCCTATATGCTATATATTTAAGGCTTTCCTTCTGCATCGGTAATTGTACTGAAATCATAGGCATGCTTGTAAACACTAGGAACATATGTGAGTGGCGAGAATGAGATAAGCAGTTTGATTATGACACCCTGTGGAATCGATGTAAGTTGATACCCTACAATCGAAGTGTATAAAGGAATGCATTAAGATTTTGTTTTTCTGATTTCTTGTTGGTTTCGAACTGACTTGTCACTTTTCATCACACTGCCAGCACAAGCATCATTTTGTTTGGTGCTGTATCGACAAAATTAATAATTCCTTTCCTATTATTAGGTTTCGAACTGACTTGTCAGATCTCATCCATCTGTCGACATTGGCGGCACTAACTGACATTACCTGTTTCTCCGCCATACGAGCAATTTAAGTGGCTCGTCAAATTATTTAGGGATCTGCGAGGGTATGTTTCCTAAAAGTGTCATGTGTGGCGGTAAAAACCGGGCCATTGGGCGGCAGTGGCTTTGCCACCCACTGCTTCGACTGACTACTCGCTGCTGGATTATGCCGCAAATGACGATGCGATTTTGCTTGCTCACACGGCCGCAGATCGCCACTCCTTCAAGCAAAAAGCGCGAAGTTAGATTTTTTTTTTTTTTTTTTCTAGCCAGCAGTGCAGGGGTCTGAGGAGAAAAACAAAAATATACAGGTGTGATGAACGCACACCACGCAGCAGTTCTCTCCGCAGGCAGTGAGCGGTGAAGAGCCGAAAGGACTTCTCTTTCACTGCTCAATACTTGCTCGCGCCGTGACTTGCTTTGCCTTCGCTCGCTCCCCGCCTTTTCTTCCCCGATTTCTTTTTTTTAAGGCATTTTGATTTTTGTGTTTGTTTCAATGACAAGCCACATTGTGTCGCGTGATCTCTGTCCTCTTTTGGAGTTGATTTTTTGCAATGGCAGCCAAGAAAAAAGAAATGCAGGCGTCTTTGTTATCATCTTTTCCTTCGAAAGTGGTGGCACAAGACCGTAGCGGCACGTCTTTTCATGCCTGTAACGTGGCAAACAACGCTCTCTCCCCTGGCTCACAAGGTACTTGGTGGCAGGCAGATTAAATAACTGCCCAACCATTGAATTTTGAGCAGGTTCGAACGTGCTCAACGCCATGCCACCTGGTCGGGCGTAGAGAACAGTTGGTTTTACACAGTTGTGTTTGAAAGTAGTTGAGTGCCTTGCATTCCCTTGTAACTGCTTACTAGAGGTAGAGGATACACTGGCGCCAAATGTAGGCCTGTTCTATAACTGCGTATAAATAGACCGAAAGTTTTTCACTATTCGCAAGATGAAATCTATGCGACATTTATGAGAAATGGTCGCTTATAACGTTGCCCAAATTATTTCAGGACCACAGTGAAAGGACGGTGCAAAAGAAATGAGTTAATGGATACGCAGGTCGGAAATGATGCAGGGCCACCTAATAAGGGGTGCTAAGCGTTTTTTTCTTGTCGTATGGCATGGGAATGCAACGCACTTTATCGCGCTCAAAAACAAACAGTCTAGTAGGCACAGGTAGACGTGTCTAGACGAACGTGGCTCAGTTTTTGTCCTTTCTCGCTGTTCATTGCCCACGTTGCCTTTATCAACAAGCGTTTCCGTTGACAGTGTTTAATTCTCATCGCCAGGAGCTGATGCAAATGTTGCGAAGCAAATGTTGGAAGCCTGCAACGGCAACCTCGAAATGGCCATCAACATGCACGTTGATTCCGAATGGACTGCGCCGTCAAATTCAGTGGCCGACGCAACCGCACTGGCCTCCAGCTCGGATATGCCCCCGCATCCGGCAAATGCAGAGTAAGTGGCCCGTCTGGGTTTACTGGACTTTCTGTATGAAATGACAGAATATTGTGTACAGTTCCCCGTCATTCACATTTCATCCTTTTCAGCGACGACGTACGACCTCCCATTCCGCCGGTCCGAGAGGTTTTGGTGGAAGGTTCGTTTCCGTATGGTGAGTGGGCAAAATTCTCTCTACATTCCTTTAGCTGTGATGTTCAATTCCTGCGTTACTGGGTCAGTATTATGGCATCTTTGCGCAATGAGTTTGCCTCTAATGAACGTTCCAGGCGTAACTTACGCCTACAAAGTTTAATGAGAAAGTGCCAAGCGTCCTGCATCGGTTCCAAAGCAGTGCATTACCGCTACTAATGTATGTTTCTCATCGTCACAAAGGGTACCACGTTCCACGAAGAGCCACCTACAGCGTCTTTGACGGCTTCCGGGACTTCCAGGCTGAAATGAGTGAGCCACATTTAATTTGAGATTTGCTCGCTGTATTTTCATGTTCTTTCGGGGAAGTGTGCCTTCTCCATGTCTTTAAAATGTTTTGTTCTTGACTCATTAGAGCTTTATGCATAGTGTTGGTTGTAAATGAGAGGGTTCTCAAGGACTTTTAAAACCAGGCCCCAATAAAAAGAATGCCTCACTGCTTCCCCCATAAAAAAAGAAATTTAAAAGGAAGAATTATATGTCCCAATTTTTAATTGAGATAAAAGAAAGAGTACCTTCCCAAAGGCATGACAACATAAAGATATTCCTCTTATAGTTAGCTTCTCTGGAATTTTTTTTTTTTATTCCATCAGTTTGATGTGTATAGACTTTGCCCATGCAAGATAGATACCAATAAACATTGATTTGATCTTGATTGGAATAAATGCTGATTTATTGTGCCTAGTCATAAAGACTGTTTGATGGACATAAAGCAACCTTTATGACTGACGCAACCAAGGAAAAGTGGAGTCGTTCGTTGGCTCTTTTACTTGTTGCAGGATTACAGGAGGACAAAATGCTCCACGGAGAGGAGAGTCCCTCGTACAAAAAACGCAAAACATTGGAGGACCTCTTCAGGCCCCCTCTAGATCTTATGCACAGGGGATCTTTCGAATCGGTAAGAGTTCTATCCTTTGCTTGGGAAACGAGGAACCTCAACCCTCGGTCTGTCTTGCGGAAAGGGGGGCAGAAAACATTTTTTGCTATCGAAATAACCTCTTTGTTTTCTCAGTAAGGTTTTCCGTTCACTCATGGCATCAATCCAGGTTTTTCGTCCGCTCTTCAGAGTGGCATCGATCCTGGAGGTGCTTATGAAAGAACCCATAGCAGTCGGCTTCTGCACGTGCTGCATGGGCCAGATGGATTTTACACATTTTAAATAAACTGTAAACCTTAGCTTTTCATCCTATGATATACTGTAATTTATTGTGAAAGTGTGGCTTTGCAGTAAATTTGTTTTCTGAAAATATCGAAGTAAACTTGTAACCTCAGTCAGAAATTACAAATAAAAACCAAAAAGTTTCCTGTAGCTCAATAGAGAGCCCCTTAAAAGTCAAAGTTACAAAACATTTTTATGTGCTGTTTAAAGGGATTGTCCGGTCGAAACCGGAAGTACTTAAGTTCTTGCGCTCATTACGTCGAGGGAGCCTTCATATAGACAAACGTCATTTTTATTTTGATATATGATCTCCAGTTATTAATTAAACCTTTCATGATCCTGTGTACGAAACTGCACCCCGAATTTCGCCAGTGTCAATGGCTGACATCCGTAGGTTATGCGTGACGTCACAAAACGCAAAGGTTTGTCGGATGGTCGGGATAACAAGCGTCGGTCGATGGATGTCTTGTATTCTGTTTCGAATTATATAGTCTCCTGGACAGTACCCTACTGAAATACGGTTCTTTTAATGCAGTTCCCAAGCACGTGCAAAAAAAGTCACGCCTTTTAGCAGGATGTTACTCGCAGAGAGCCATAAGCTTCGAGCAAACGTATGCCGCTTCGCGCAAACACAACTGCGACAGACGCCAATCGAACTAGGGGCGCTTGCAAAGCAGAGGATGCAGATTTCGCCTCTGCAGCGGCACTTAGGTACACGCGGACTTGTACCCTACGCATTACAAGTAATCAAATTACTTGTAATCGATTACTTTTAAGAGTAATTTTGTAATCAGTTGATTACTTTTATTAGGCAGTAATCACAAGAGTAATCTGATTACTTTTTGAAGTAATAAAATTACTTGTAACCGTTACAATCCACGAGAACCGCCCCGCCGGCACACGCCTTTTTTTATAAAATGACAAAAATAAAATTCGCTTTTTTTTTTCGAACGGAAAAAGAAAGATTTTTGCGGTACTGTAGGAAACGAGGTATATCTCTTTCTATGAACAGTTTCTGTGAAATGTCCGTTTTTTTTTTTTTTTTTTTTTTTTTCTTCGAGCTGGGAGAGGGATGCCCCAGGGAAGCCACAGTGCGTGACAATGGCCATTCAGGGCGAAGTTTGAGGAAACAGAATGTAGCTTTGTGAGTCCTTCGTTCAAACTAGCCCCCTCACGCACACACGCACATAAATAAAAAATAAAAAAATCCTGCTTAGGGTACCTACTCGCAGCCCGGCCGTAGGAGAACCAGAACCAACGAATGCCTAAAGCGGACGCAAAATATAACAAAGGCAGTTGAAATATTTCCCCATTTTACCTACGTGGTCTTTGTGACAAGCAAGGTTTCGAGTTGAGAAGTGGTCGGGGCGATCTCTTCCGCTAATGGATACTACACATGATCCGCTTCGAATCCTCGAGCTGCTGCTCTTTTTTATAACATGCGAGCTCATCCACATGTGAATAATAAAATGAGCGACACAAACTTTGAGCGACAAGCCTTGCTCAAGTTTAACAAGATCTAGAACCCCCTCCGGCCCCCCCCCCCCCCACACACACACACTGACGAACGCCGAAATCATTAAACGTCTTGAAACGAATTGTATGCTTGTGTCCGCATTGTAAAGGTGCAACGACCACGAAGAGGGAGCCAGTTTTTCTTCTTCAATACTTGTGCAAATGTGAAATATAGGTTGGAAGTAGTTCATTGTTACGAGCGCTAAAGATGTGTCATCACACAATAAAGTAATCGGAAAAGTAACGATTACTTCTCTAAGTAATGTCTAATTACTTTTGCCGTCGAGTAATCAAGTAATCTAATCGAATACTTTTTAGCGAAAAGTAATAGTAATTGTAATCGATTACTTTTCTTTAGTAACGTGTACAAGGCTGGGTACACGAAGCGGCATCTGGGTACACATTTCGGCGGATCCACTGGATCGGTGATGAGGTTGCGGGTCATTCCCTCTGAGGCGACGTCCGCGGGTCGAAGGCAAACGGACCGTTCAAATGCATGTCGGACTCGTCACTTGACTTGGACGAGCTTGGTGAAGCGTAGCTACGCTCCATTTTCACACGCGGGTCAAACAGATATCGGGCTGTACGCGTGCTAAATACAACTCCTGGTATCATTTCGAGATGGCCAAGCTGTTGGTTTCGGTTTCGCTGCATAATCAAGGTCTGTTCGATTTGGCCAGGAAGTTCTGAACTATAGTCGGTTACAAGTCAAGGAGGTAGCGGCAAATGCCCCTCAAAGGGAATCTTTGCATTTCGACGATAGGTTCGCGGCATCAGGATGATTTTGCGTAAGGAGTCACTGGCGGCAGCGCGCGGTCAGTATACCGGTCACCTCGAAGACGAAGGCCTGACGATAGCGTACGTCTTCGCCAAGACAATTATCGACCGTAACTTTGGCGTCAAGTTGAAGCGAGAATCAGCAAAAAAATGCCGATTCTCGGTGTTTTTCCCAGGCCCGTTAGTGGGCGTCCATAGATACCAGCGGACAAAGCATGCAGTATTATGCTCAGCTACGGGGACATGCGAGTGCCAACGCACTAAATCCCAAACCTCTGCAATGTATCGGAGTCGTCAATATGCATCCAAGAGCAACTGAAGGCGGAGACTATCAAGAGGGCAATACCTTTCCCCTGTCTTTAAGTAAGAATATCAACACTGTGGATCCCCACATAGCATCAAAAAGAAACAATTTACGTGATCCAATATTTCAACACTCACCACAGGGAGCCAAACCTACGCGAGCAGGCACCTAAAACGCTTTTAGATTATCATAATCAGGCAAATTTCTACCCTTGGTTAGGATCTCAATTCCGCGTCCACCGCAGGTACGTTATTATCATAAATGAGAAGAAATGCAACCTCCGTATCGGCGTTAAAACATCGCACATTTGAGCAAGCGCTGCGAAAAATGGCACCGCGAGCAGAGACGGACGAGGAGTTCTGCTATCGCCGTCTGCTCTTGTCGTCTGCTTCTGCACGGACGCTGAACCGAGTCCGAAGCCGGTGCAAGATTTTGAGGAACTGGGTCTGAACTCGTTCAGAACTGGGATGAATCGAACGCACCAGTGCAGCGGTCGTGCAACTTACGGTTGAATCGAATTCACCAGTTCCTGCACTGCCGAACTAGTTCAGCCAGTTCAGGCGAATCGAACAGACCTAAATTGACTGATCCGATTTGGGCGAGGAGTGGGTGGACGTAGTTTAATATCGTTGGCACAGCATCACACCTCAGCTTACGAGCCTTCTGTCCGCTGAGAGCTCAACTCGTAGCTTTCTTCTGAGAGATGATTGCTGCATAGGCAGGATCTCGATCTGGACGGGAACCCAGTCCCTACGCACGACCACGATCCCCTTTGCTCGTCACTGCACGTCTCGCGGAAAAGTGTGGAACGTCATGTCTTGGCTCGCATGTGCTGCCCGATGGTTGTGGCACCCAACCGCGCAACAAAAATCTCACCCAACCACGAAACAAGTCGAGCACAACAACAAAAACGAAGCACGCTGAAGCGTTCACTCGCAGGCAAACAACGAGACAAAAATGCTCGCTTTGTGTTTTGTGACGTCGGAGCTTCAATGTTGCCAACGAAAGCAACGTTTACGCTAGAATGCGATATGAGCACTATAAATTCAATTACTCACGCAGAGGGGCATATAAAATTCGGATATTGCACGTACGATGCTTCTCGAGGCAATAACAATGATATTCAATTGTTTTCTCGAATACAAAATTTGACCGGACAATCCCTTTAAGTGTTCTATTGAACAAAAAAAACAAAAAAAGAGCAAAGCTAAAACAATTTTTTTTTTTTTTTTGCTTTTCTTTTTTTTTGTTAAATTAAATGTTTTAATAGCTTACAGGAACTGTTTTTCACTTTGATCTGATAAAGCTTGGCTCCCTGTTGAGCCACTAGAAACATTTTGGTTTTTATTTGTAACTTCTGTTTGATGCCAGTTTTTTCCTCTATTGTAGTGGATAACAATGTGTTTGTTCTATCTTCAGCAATCCTAAAATATTAATATTATTATTCATTGAGATTGATTGGTGCCTCCATTGGTTTTAGAAAGGAGGCTTTTTTATTGTCACCGAGTGCATTGTGTATCATAGCTGTTCGTTGCCAGGATAGAGCAGTAGTAATTGAGAAAGAGCTTCAACCTCATCAGTGCTGTTTTTTTTGTTGTTTCGTTTTATTTCTCCATTAAGATTGCACTTGTGAACAAAAATGACTTAGGAGCATGAAGCATTTATCCTGAGGCTTGGTAGGCCAAAGTAAAAATGCCGTGGACGAGCTCAGCTCGTCCAGTGGTTTTTTCGGTAGCCCTAAATTCCATAGCTCGTCCGAGTAGTTTTGCGGCGCTGATCATAGATCGCAGCACTCGTTTTAGTTGGCAAATATTTTTTTTTTTTTTGCCTCTGCTGATTTTTGCATAATAAACTTTTCAAATTTTATATGTAATACTAGAAAAACAACAATTCAAAATAAAAAAATATGGCACTTCTAGGTTACCATTGGAAAACAAATTTTTGGCACTTTCAGGTTACCTTTGAAAAAAAATTTTGGCACTTAATGGGTTAAAAAATAGAGTTTGACTGTTGTGATACTTGACAAAGCAGCCAGCCCAATAGAATGTTTTGCTTTACGTTTTCTCCCCTCTGCATCAGGCGAGGGAGGTTGGCAGGACAAAGAACCGCTGGCTAATGGTGAATGTGCAGAATGTGCAAGAGTTTGCCTGCCAGGTGCTCAACAGGGACGTCTGGAGCAATGCCACCATCAAGAGCATTGTCTCTGAACACTTTGTCTTCTGGCAGGTGAGCCACCAGCCCCCTCGCTTTATTTTTACAGGGACAACCTTTATAGGCGGGGTTTTTGCAACAGACTATAGGGCAAGTTTCGTACAAGTCTCATGGTGACGTAATGAGACCACGTCGCAGTCACATGACCATGTCATAGTGACGTGACGCCATGACACCATAGAAAATTTCTCCACAAAATATAGTGGAAAATTTTCTCCACTAAATAGACCCTTTCTAAAAGTTCACCGAGCAACACTGGCGGCCATCATATTTTGGGCATAGCTTCCTGGGCAAAGCGTGTGATTGGATGCGGGTTCAGGCCAATCGCTGACGCAGCACTCGTGTCGGATACTTTTTGAGCCGAGTGTTGGTTGAATGCCGACGCCGCACTTGTATGCAAGGTGTGCTCGAAGTACATGCCCAAAATATGACAATCTGAAATAATCGACACTCCCGCCAGTAGAGGGTGCACACTCTTGAATGGAGAAATTTTCTCTAAGGTTCAACTTCAGTCGATGTGAGAGTGAGTGTATTCTCGGCTGCTGGTTGGACGTGGCGCCACAGCCTGGGCATGGTCGACCAATCAGACATTTTAACCCATTTGAGAGTACACAATCGGGCAATACTTTGTTGGGAATGTCTCACCCACATACAAATTGCAAGAGAGGTCTCATGGCCTCCGACGTGCTTGTCCTTGGTACTCCTTCGTCCACCTGTCGATGTCAGCGTGTGTATGGAGGTACAGCAACTTGAGATTTGCAAAGGAAGTGCAGGTTTTCGTTAACCCCCAATGTAAAATAGCAGCCGGTCACAGTTTTGGCCTGCATCCGATCTGACTTCGCTGTGGCGCTCGGTTCGTAGCAGATGATAAGCTTTTCTTTCCGGTCTGTTAGCAGAAGAGATACGGCGTTCTCTTGTTTCATTTTTGTCTGCGTATGACTCTTTGCTCGCGTTAGCAGGCGAACCGCCTATGAACGCTGCTTTTGCTCGCTCCGCAAGAAGCGGGATACTGTCGCGTGACGCTGACATTTGATGCCGTGACATCACAGGACATCACGGTTAGCGTGCAGTATAACTGTGTAGTCTGTATGCAACAGCGTGCAGAGCCTCGGTTGTTGCCGCAGTTCATTTGCAGTATGCGACGAGGAACCATACTCACTGCATCGTTGTTTTGTCCTAGGTTTACCAGGACAGCGAAGAAGGTCAGCGGTACGTTCTCTTCTACAAGGTGGCCGACTATCCTTACGTGGCGATTTTGGACCCGAGGACAGGCAAGTCCACCCCGTTCTCCCCAGAAAGCGGACGCCAACTGGTGGAAGTCTCTAGACATTCTCATTAATCTTTAAACATTTGTTTTGCAGGAGAGAAAGTACTCTCTTGGAATCAGGTGGATGCTGTCAAATTCTGCGATGCTGGTCAGTCTCTTTGTTGGGTGTATATTATGGTCGTAAAATTTTAAATTAAAAGCCGCAGCATAGAACGGCATCTGGTGTGGGGCACTGCAACATTATTGTAGCAGTTCCCTGGGCAGCGCTGTCTACTGGCGTTTATGTTAAATCTGCTCCGCGGATAAAATGAGTAGCAATGAAATTTGAGTTTCACACATACAGTGCAGTGCTAATTCAGCACTAGGAACAGTGCTGATGCAGCACTAATTTATACATCCCTTAGCATTGATGTGGCACTGGCATCACTAACACAGCATGTATATCAGCAAGGTCAGCACTGACTAATAGCGCTAAGGTAGAGCTGTGGTGTATGTGTGGACAAGCCTTAACTGATGGCATTTGACTACTGAAGGAAGAGCAAGTGAGCAGGCAAGCCGGCGAAACACAAATGCTTGCCATTGCTAAGTGTATTGAGGGAGTGACCTTGCACAGGGTTTTCTAACCTTGACCTAAAGATGTGTGGGTTCAAAATGAGATGGGTATCGAAGAAATTCTTAGCTGGGTTAGAGGCGATGTGTGTCCCTTTTATGTGCCTCCCTTCTGGTTCCTTGATCTTTAGATTTTGTTTGTGTTTACATTTGAGTAATAATAGTCTATCATAAACCATACATTGCAGGTCACATCTATAGGGTGACCTAAGTCACCAGGCTCGGTCTAAAATGGACCGTGAAAATTGACGCCTGCACGTAGCCATCTAAACCTTTCGTCAAAGGTGTATTTCACAGGTCGGTTTTTTCTTGTACAAAGTGTAGCTCTCTATCTGTAAAAAATAGGGCCAAGAAACTTGTCAAAGTCTACGGCGGGCGGCAACGCAGACGACCAAGTCGAGTAGCAGGGTGTGTTTGGCGTTCGTATTGATAGATGGCGCTACCTCCTTATCGCGACAGCTCACGACCACCGTGGTTTATTAAAATGAACGTAATCTTTTTGGAATGTACCTTTAATTAAAAAATAAGTGTGAACAATTAAAAAAAAAAATCTGTCTGCATAACGACGGCGCTTTTGCTGCCAACAAATTTCGTCTGCGGGTCGTCTGCTTTCTTTCACTTGTTGGCTACACCTTCGGACACTGCTCCTGACGCCATCTATCAATACGAATGCCAAACACACCTGCCACTAGACTTGGTCGTCTGCGTCGCCGCCCGCCGTAGACTCTGGTAAGTTTTTTGGCCCTATTTTTTACAGAAAGAGAGCTAAGCTTTGTAATTTTACAAGAAAAAACCGACCTGTGAAATACACCTTTGACGAAAAGTTTAGATGGCTACGTGCAGGCATCGATTTTCACGGTCCATTTTAGATCGAACCTGGTGACTTGGGTCGCCCAAATATCTCCATATCTTGTTTATGTCATCATAGTTTTTTTTCACTGACGGTGCACAGAAATGCCTGAAGGAAATATAGGGGTAGAAAAAAAACTCAACTTTCAGCCACAGCTGTGCAAGTTTCAGTCTTGGAAACAGTTTAGTTTGCATGCCGTGTGGAGAGATAAGGGAATAACATTGATTCTACTGAGCGCATCGAAAACAGAGCAGTTGCAATAGAAAGCTCTTGCTTTTGGTATCTTTTACAGTGACAGAGTTCCTCGCCGAGCATCCGACTCCCGACGGCTCGGCCGTCATTCCTCCAAAGAAAAAGATTAAATCGGCTCCAGAGAAGCCCGTAAGTTATCACTATACTGCTCGAAGTGTCACAAGTGAAGCAGTACAGAGAATACCCTCAGACTGCTTCGTGGCATTTGGTTAGTAAGGCTTTCAGGGCTACAACTGCAGCGGTTTTGAATGGTATTCCTCAGAATTGCAAACATGGAGACAGGCATGAAGGGGCAAGGCTTCTTTGAAGATGTAAGTCTTATCTTGATAATGCAATTAATGCAGAGGTGCAAGCGAGCTGGTACTGGACATGGAATGATGAAAATAAGCCCTGGAGAAGGGGATCAAGAGGGACAAAGGACAGACACAAATCTCCATACATAGCTAGGTGACTCGTGCGCGACCAAAAAAAATCCATGTGGTCCTGGTATCGAACTAGGGACCTCTCCATTTTCAGTGGAGCGCTCTACCAACTGAGCTAACCAGGAGCAACACGTCAGTAGAGCAAACATGTTTTTTTTTCAGCTGCCACCAGTCTGACACCAACAAGGGTGAACGGCCCGCATTTTAACGTTATGATGATAATACGATTCATGCAAAGGTGCAAGCGAGCTGGACAAGAATGACGAAAACAAGTCCTGGAGAAGGGGAACAAGAGAGACAAAGGACAAACAGAAATCTCCAAACACATCTGGGTGACTGGTGCGCAACCGAAAAGATCCACCTGGTCCTGGTGTCGAAGCAGGGACCTCTCTATTTCCACTGGAGCGCTCTACCAACTGAGCTAACCAAGAGTTAGGCGTCATTAGAGTAAACAGTTTCTATCAACTGTCACCATTCTAACACCAAAAAAGGTGAACGACCTGCATTTTAAGGTTATGATGATAATGCAAAGGTGCAAGCGAGCTGGACAAGAATGACAAAAATAAGCCCTGAAGAAGAAACAAGAGGGACAAAGGACAAACACAGTTACTGTAAAATACCGGGCTAGCGCCCACTCAAAATTTTGAGATAGTAATGAAAAAATGAGGGATGGGCACTTGTCTGGTCATCAATTCTGCATATAAATGTACTGTGCATATTTTCTCAGATCTTACAAATTTGGGTATGGGCGCTTAATGGTGGTATGGGCAGATGCACGTATTCTATGGTAGGTGACTGGTGCGCGGCCAACCAATACCAGGACCAGGACTTTGGCTTTGGGGGGACCCTCCCCCCCCCCCCCCCAAATCCGAAAGTTTTGTCCATCCGTTCGTCCGCGCAGTACCCACTATATATAGCGGAGAAATTAATGTCACATGACCCATTCACCAACTCAGTCTCTCCGCTTAATTTAGCGGGGAAATTCATGTCACATGACCTAAAGGCCAATTCAATTTACTCTAAATTTAGCGGGCAGATTGATAAAAATATAGGTTCCCCGAAACGACTGTACAGTACGTTCTTTACAACCTCAAGTACTGCATTTCATGCATTACAGAACATTGGAGGTAAGTTCGCTGCCAATTGTTTTAATTCTAGAAGCACCTTTAAGGTAACTCAGGTCATAAGTTGAACCAAAATAAATGACATGTCGATTTACAGAGACAAAATCTGAGCACTGCCAAAATATTACACTAATAGGAAACTGCGATCCACTCTGAAACCAATATTAAAAACGCTACCACCAGCTTCTCAGCGGGCATTCAGTGGGTTTGCTGTTTGTCGAGCCACCCTGTGCCCTGATACCATGTTCATACTCAAGGAGATTACTTGATCGCACTGCCACTTAGTTCTCTGTATTTTTCCTGCTGGGTTTTCAGCCATCCCAGCGAATGATTTCTGCTTGTTATGTTATTTTTTGGCGGCCATAGTTCGTAAGTGCTCCTCAGCGATTGCACTCAAAGATTATTGACTCCCTGCTCACTCCAGGGCATTGTGGTGCCGAAGTTGGCGTTCACTGGCACCTATAGTTGAGTCCGTTTCTGTTCAGTGTGAGCTTACGATTAACATCTATAACTGTTCCATAACGTGCATTGCACACCACCAAGGTTGCAATTCTCAGAAGGCAAGTGGGAGCTCACTCTGAGCCTGCGTTCATCGTGGCAAACTCGTTTTTTGGCCAGCATCTTTATGAATATGTACTAATATTTGCTGTGTTGGGAGGTACCTTAAGCACATTGTACTTTAAAATACCCCTTGAAGTAGGTTCAGAAAACTTCTACTTTACTTGAAAAAACGCGAGCAGACAATGAGTCGCTCCATTTATATTCTCGCTTGATCAGCACTTCTCGTTTGATCAGTACATGCGAGAAGGTTAAAAATATTAGCGGAGGATTGCTTGCGGAAGCTACGGGGCTGGTGTCGTGCTCTCCCCTAGTGCGTTTAACTCCCTTGGATGCAAACCAGCGGAAGTGGCACCGAATTCACGAGTCAAGGGGACTTCTGAACTTGGCACCATTTCCGAAAATAACTACTCTGTGCCCACTTGACTTTATTTAGTGTTCGCCGCCATTTCAGAAAATAACTGATGCATCCCCAATTGCCCCTGGGGCAATGCATACCAGTTAGAAAAATACACTGTACTATGGGGGAACGAAAGGGCATCATAAAAGACTGTGTTTAAAAATACTTGTACTTCGAAAGTACATTGTATTTATAACAATTCACTTTACATACATTGTGCCCAGTGTATTTAGTACTTTACTTGAAGTGCATAACCTCTCATTTACTTTGTACTTTACTTCAAGTACTTTTTAGATGTAATTTACCCAACGCCGAATTTTGCTACAGATGTACAAAGCAAAGCAGTAAAATAGCCGTTGCATGTTGCCTTACCGAACGGAACTGCTCTTGCAACTAGGCCAGTCGTATGTTTTGTGGTACCGCAGTACAAACCTTGCTTCAAACGATGACCATGCAGCTGATCCCAAGGGTTGCCATCATGCTCAAGCCGGTAGATTCAGTTTCGTCTTAGACCACCGAAACAAAACTTAGACATATCTGCAAGACTACACAAAGTATCGACAAAGAAACGACACCTCATAATACAAGGACACTTCCCTCTCTAAAAACTGTCGTAACCCCAAAATCGAGAAACTCTACCGGAGTTACCTTTTAACTCTTTCCTGACCGCACTTATAAGCCATCGATCACCGGTGATCGATGGTTTCCAAGCGCCATCAAGAAATTAAATTTAGTGCGAAGAATTGTGTTGCACAATCTCGTGGATAGCCGAAGAATTGTAGGTTCAGTTTTAACGTAGGTTTGAGCTTTATCACAAGCTGGTGGGCTGTCGAAAATAGTCCTGGGAACGGTAGTTGCACTTGTCTAACACGGATGACTGCTTGCATCGGTCTTCGTAAGAAAGATGGTATTATTTGCATAATTCAACTGTATTGTGGCATATTTTTTTAGACCCGAAGAGCTCTGGGGACACTTTAAATGAGGTTATAGACGTCGCTTAACAGACGGTTGTCGGTAAGCATCACTATAATTCCCAATGCTGTCCTGAGCCGGCGTGCATGTTTTATGTTCCCAGCAAGGCAGACAAAAATGCAAAATATGATGGAACTGCAATCAAGGCTATGGCAAAACCAAGGAAGGACAGAAATGAAGAATTCCGCTGGGGATGTGAGGTGTGAGGTATCTGTGTTTCACCAATAGAAGCATTCCTTCGTTCAAAAGCATACGTGTTACGGAGGCTAACTATCCGACGAACCAAAAATAGACGTCAGCTGAGTGCACTAACTTCCAGAAGTAATAACCGTGGGTGCGGGGCACATTTTGTATATTCAAAATTTAAATTATTTGTTGTTTAATTTGAGATAGCTGTAGAATTTGCTGTGTTTATAGACTTTCTGCACGTACATTGTATTTTCAAAAAATAAAATTTTAAGATCTTTTTTTACATTATACCAGCCTCTGCTCCTTCGAAAGAACAACTAATTGGCCACATTTTGATGCACCATATTGCCCCACACGCAAATTAGTTGGCAAAAGAAAAGCATTTGCACGGATCCTTTGAAGATTGCTACTTTTCTTGGGTCAGGAAAGAGTTAACATTCTGCAACAAACCGACTCCTGAAGCTCAAAGCAGTTTCAGTGAACTAAAGTGTTGCGTGTTGTGCTTGCAGGAGAGCATTTTCGAGGAGAGCGAGGAGTCTCAAATGAGGGCGGCCATCGAGGCATCGCTGCGAGAGGGCAGCCGCGTGCAGGAGCCCATATCGGACGACGACCAGAGCGACCTCGAGACGTTCGATTCGGACACCGAGAGCGGCGTGACGCAGCTTGCAGCCGTGCGCAACTCGGCAGCCAATCACGTCGCACGCGCAGACTCTCCCATCGACATCAGCGCCTCCAACAGCAGCGGTGGGGGCAGCAACAGCAATGCAGCCGTGCAGCCAAAATTTGACGCCGAGGAGTGGAAAAGGTTCCTTGGGAGCGACCAAGGTCCGTGCTTTACGCTTTTCGGTGGTAGGGAGCTTCCCAAGATGTTTTCAAAGTGGACAGCTGAATTTTAACGAAACATAAAAGTAAGGAATGGATGAAAACACCGCTGTTTTGTCCATTCCTTACTGAGAAGGGAATGATTAGTGTCGTTGTTAACACAATAATTTTCAACTTCTCAACTGGTGACAATTCACATCTGAGCTAGTTGGGAATGATGACTTCTTTAACTGCAAGAAAATGGAGTAATTCGAGGTGGAGTGGCCCACATTAATAAGTGTATGTGAGCTGTCTTGCTGCGAGAATGCCAAGAGTTGTCTTTCAAGGTATCTTGGAGTTCCTCAAAACTATCTTAGAACTTTTTTCATTGTCAGGCTCTAACCATGTCTGGGTATTTGAACTGTGCTATGCTACCCCTGGTTCCTGGTGCTTTTGTGCACATGGGGAACCAAATTCATGTTGCTGGTTGCCATGGTTTGCATCTCTGACATCTTGGAAAGTTATTTTTGTGACCACTAGAGTTGTATGCTGAAGGCAGTTTTCATTGTGGCCTTTCTTTCAGACGAAAAATCTGAGCTGATGATCAGGTTTCCCGACGGATCAAGAAAAGTGATGACCTTTCCAAGCACATCGAAGTTGAAAGTAGGTGGCACAAGCTGTCATTTGTGTGCGCATATATTGAAACAACTATGTCTCTTTTTTGACACAAATCCAAGGTAACTGTTTTGTTTTGAGAAGTGGGAACCTCATGTAACAATATCTTTCATTGATGAATGTGCTCAGTTTAACTCTACCTTCGCTTTCTGATTCCGGCCTGCCTGTCCCTGACCACACAGCCTCAGTATTCTCTTCTCACATTTATGACCTTTTAAGGGCAGCAATCATTAAAGGTAACAAAACATTGTCTGACAAAGGTAGAACTGCAACAGTTTTTGTAGTCTGGTCATGATGCCACGCAGTGCCGTTCGTCCATTCATCCCATGCTCTGTCACTAACTCATTTGTTTCTCTCCCTTTCCAGGCCCTGATCAGTTTCGCGTCCTGCAGTGGCTATGACGAAGAAACGCACGAACTCGTCACCAACTTTCCAAGGCGCAACCTGAACAGCCTAGATCACTCAGCGACTCTTCGCGACGCCGGACTTTTCCCAAAGGAGACCATCTTCATCCAGTTGCGCAACTCGTGACAGTTGCAGGACCAGTGACAGTTGCACAACTCGCCTTCTCAACTGCCCGTTTTCATCGCCGTGCGAGTTGCGTCAAGCTCCGTGAAGACGTCTTCGACAGACAAAGGACAACAGTGCCGGGTTTATACCGATCGTGATGCGAACCCGTTTTGGAAATTCGGAGCCCACTCCGCTCAGTGGGAACAGGTGACTGGTCGGAATGCAGGGCTCAATAAGGCAACTGAAGTGTGAACAGTGTTGTGGCAAACGTTTTTAAAAATCGGGATTTAACCACGGATTTAATCGCAACACGTGCGGCATTGTTTGAAGCTGATTCAGAAATCAGGAGGCACGCTGGCAGCTTTTATGCCTGTGCGCCGACAGGAAGCAACTGTCTGCCAACCTCAGGAGCGCAACTTCTTAAAAGAATAAATGCAGATTTATGAGAGGCGTTTTGGGACGTATGACGAACTCCCACCAAACGTAAAAATATGTCTGCCCTCTGATTGCTTCTTAGGATGACTGACCCTTTTGTTCATTCTGCAACATTTTAATTATTTTATTTTACAACTTTTGAACTGTTCCTGTGTTGTCTTGTTGCTTACAATATACAGGGTGTTTTTTCTAAGCTTGACAAATTTGTTTAAAGAAAGCCATGAAAGCTATAGTCGGTTACAAGTCAAGAAGGTAGGAGAAGCTCCTCCGACAAGCGTGATGCGCTGGTTTCAAATCCCTCTGCATTCGAAAGAAGAATTCACTGGAAACACTCCTTGTTCCGCTTCAATGGTGAGATATTGGCTACAGTGTGATGCCAACTTGTCTCCGATCGCACTTTTTAAGAAAGCGACCTTTGTATTCATCGGAGAGAGAACCGAGCCCCTGAAAGCAGCCTTTGTATCCATCGGAGGGGGAACCTAATCCCCGAAAGTCGTATTTGTTTTCATCAGAGGGGGAAAACTCTAATCTCCCTCCCGTGGCTTCCACAATGCTAAGTCAGAGTCAAAAGATAAGGCAAGACCCTCCTCGCACGTTGGCCGCGACGTCATGGAAACGATGTGGCGCAGGGATATATGATTCCCCTCGAGGGGCATTTGCCGCTACCTTCTCGACTTGTAACCTACTATACACATGCGGTTTGTTAAGGTGAGTTATACTGCCAGGGGAACATAGTGCAGGGGGCTAATAGTAATGATCAATCGACTAACTAAATAGAATTTGTTAATTAACTTTTTAATTGGTGAAAATACATAGTTCCAATTATAGCCTGTTACAACTCAAGAAGGTAGGGCGAGGGAAAAGTAGGCCGGGGAGGAGGAAGTAGACAAAACGCTTGAGAGGGGAGGAGGTTTCCTTCTCTCTTCTCCAGTGTTCTGTCTGCTTCCTCCTCCCCGGCCTTCCTTTTCCTTGCCCTACCTTCTTGAGTTTCAACGGACTATAGAAACTTACAGAGCATCATCGAAGACCGCTAAGCCAATCATTTTAAGAAATACTTGAGTGCATGGGAAGCGTAGTACTCTGCCACTGGTACCATTCATGGAACAGGTACAAGGCTGGGGCCTTGACGAGAGACGGAAAAATCGTGCAGGCGCGTCATCGCATCGGTAGCCCTGCTCTTGCTGGGCAAGTAGTAACTTTAGCGCACTATTGCACTTTTCATGCTCTTTCTAAATATTGCTGATTTAGCAGTTTTCAATGGTGCTCATGTCCATTTTCACTAATTAAAAAGTTAATTAACAAATTTTATTTAATTAGCCGACTGATCACGATTATCCCCCTATACCCCTGGCCGTATAACTCAACTGCATAGTGCAGCTTTCATGGCTTTTTTTAAACAAATTCGTTAAGTATAAAACAAAAAAAAAGCCCCATATTTAAAAAAAAAAGTCTACATTATTTGTGGCAGGCACTTTTGTGAGTTACTATAAATGCCTCGTTTGTTAGACATTGTTTACTTGTTTACCACTGCAAACTTCGGAAGTGAAAATGAATAAACAAGCACATTCCTATGTTATGCTTTGCAGGCTGAGAGAATAGAATTCTAAGTGGAGAGAATTAAACACAATTGAAAAATAAAGTTCTCTCCAAACCTGTGCCACTCAAAGTATAACAGTTTTAATTTCAATTACAATCATTCAAAATTAAACTTGAGAATTTTTATAAAAAGCCCACCTGTGTGAAAAAAAAAAAAGTGGAGTGTCTCATTGAGAATACTTTCTTAACCCTTTCACGGTCATTGCTGCATATATATATATACACACACACACAGGGTGTCTTTTTTTTTCAGATTTGTTTAAAACCAACCGTGAAAGCTACACTAATGCAGTTTGTGCAGGTGTGTTATACGGCTAGGCGGACATTATAAGGGTGGCTAATCTTTGCGATAAGTCAGCTAATTAATTAAAATTTGTTAATTAATTTTAATTAGTGAAAATAGACCTATTGTTCCAATTAAAAACTTGTAGAGCATCATCAAAAACTACTAAGTCAACTATTCTTAGAAGGATATAATGCCGGGGCAGCATTTTACAGCGTTCTGTAAAAACGCTTCATTTGGACGCATTTCTAGATTTCGGTTTCTCGTCAGAATGCATCTTTGCACCCGCGGTCCTCCCTGGTGGTCGCAGCGCGAAGCCACCCCCTCTCCTCCCTCGTAGAATGGATTGAAGTCGGGCACACGTGTGTTGAGCGTCTCAGCCGCGGGGGAGCAGGACCACGGGTGCGTAGATGCGCATTGATGAGAAACCGAAATCTAGAAACGCGTTCAAATGTAGCATTTTTACAGAACGCCGTAAAATGCTGCCCCGACGTTATATCCTTCCAAGAATAGTTGATTTAGCGGTTTTCGGTGATGCTCTACAAGTTTCTAATTGGAACCCTATGTCTATTTTCACTAATTAAAAATTTAAGTAACGAATTTTAATTAATTAGCCGACTTATCGCAAAAATTAGCCACCTACATAATGTCCGCCTGGCTATATAAGTCGCTTGCACAAACCATGCAAGTGATGCTTTCACGGCTTTTTTTAAACAAATCTGAAAGAATAAAAAAAACACCCAATATATATATATAGTATACGGCGGTGATCATAGATTAGAAAGTGCCCGCCTAAACGCAAAACTGCATGAGGTGTTGATATTTGTTGAGTCTCTGGTGAACTATTTGCACTGAGTTTCGCTTTGCTGGGGCAAATTATGCACTGAGAAATTGAGAGAGAGGAGGAGACGAGCACACGGGGACGTCACAATGCCGAGCTCTGATTGGAAGGATTAGTGGGTAAACCTAAAGTTAGCTGCCTTTGTCTCCACTGCAATCGTCGAAGGCGTTAGAACGCGAAACGCCGGTGTCCGGCGTTCGGGTCTCGCGTTTAAACGTGTTCGACGATTGCAGTGCAGACAAAAGCAGCTAACTTTACGTTTACCTACTAATCATTTGAACCAGACCTCGGCGTTGACGTCCCCGCATGCTCTTGTCTCTTTTCTCTCAGTTTCTAGGCGCATAGTTTTTAAATTATACACTCGGCGCACGTGATGCGCGCGAGATGGTCGTTTCGCTCGTTTCGCGCGTCAGCTGCTTCTGGCGGTGCCTCCCTTACAATTAAGATTTGATGCTTCTCTGAATTCAGAACGTAAGAGCTTATCAAACCGACAGAGAAGCTTCTTAAAGTACTTCCAATTTGAAATCCAGAATGTCGCGCAAACGGACGCTTAAAAATTAGGCTTGTGCGGATAGTCGAAATTTCGCATAGTAGTTTCGAATAATAGACTATTCGATATTCGCTTCGAGAAGAACTACACTATTCGCGTTTTTCAAAGTGTTGATTGCGATGGGTTAGCCCCGTTGAGTGCGCTTCTTTCCGAGCACTGGTGCATAGCGGAGCAGCAATACCCGCGAAAGCAAGCTCCGTGGGTGTTGCTTCTCTGCATTACATCGGTGTTCGGTAAGAAGCGCACTTAACGGAGTAACCCGCCGTGATAAACATTTGGAAAAGTATGAATATCGCAATTGCGTTCTTGGAAGAAAAGCATATATTCAAAGCGGGATGGTGCACGCCTGTCGACTGTGTTTGGGAATAAATGGAAACTTTGTGAATGTGCATATCTACATTCAGGGGTGGATGCAGGAATTTTCTGAGGGGGGGTGGGGGGGGGGGGTCAGGTGTTGGTCATCGCACCATATGTTCAGGAAACCCCTCCCCCTCTGCCTCGTTTCACGCCCTAAATTTTACATATGCAGAAATCAAGGAGGGGGGGGGGGGGGGGGGGAGGGTCAGGACATCCGAACCCGCCCTCTAAATCCGCCCCTGTCTACATTGTAGTAAATGTTCCAAAATTAAACTGACTGTTACGCAAGAGTATACTATATTAGGCAGAGATGCCCTTACAACCTGCGTTCAACATGTGCAATTATTTATTTTTTAACTCGAGATTAAAGAAGGCATATTTTATATAGCAAACTTTGTAAATTCACTCAATTGGGTATAGGTGGCCATCTCTATAGGATTTATTTTATGTCAAATTCGTTGTTTACTTGCCATCCCAAGACATCAGACCTTATGAAGACACATTTAAAAAATATAGATAAACTTAGCTTATAAATGAACAAGTGGAACAACCTTCACAAGTTAGCTGGGTTTTTGTCTAAGCATTATGCAATGGTAGTGGAAGGCATGGAAAAACTATTCGAATCGAAAATATTCGGCCAAAACCAGTATTCGCTTCGAACTCAAAATCCACTATTTGCACAAGACTATTAAAAATAAAACTGAATAGAAACAAAGGTGACAAATTTTAGTTTTCAATATTTTCATTAGACACTTTTAAACCTAAACAGCTCTGCAAGCACTGTACGTGCTTCAGCAAAGTATAGAAAAATTTGCGCATTGACTCTTTCTTTCTACTATTCATCTGGAAACAAAACGAGACCAATGGGAAACTTCTTTCGGGAAAAAAAGCTAGACTGTCAAAAGGTTAAAAAGGGGCATTTGAAACAAAAACAATTCCTTCGGGACAACGTTATTTACCGCGGCGACCGTGGAAGACATCGGGTTACGAGGTGAAAGTGGTAATTAACAAATTATTTACCTAAAACCTGCTACGAAACATTCGAATTACTCGCTTTAGCCGACGCATTCCAATTGAGTGTTGCTCGTAAAAATATGTTGCAGACTCAGACAGTTCAAACCGTCCCGCCGGTTTTGGTAGGGACGAGCGACGTCCCGGCACTTGTTTCTGAAGAGCACATCACGGACACTGGGTCGGCAATTGTACCATACTAACCAAATTGCCCTTCTACCTTCTCTCCATGTGAACACATACAATCGAGCAGCGGTGCAATTCCTTTCTGCCATTGCCAGCAGCACACACTTCGACGAGGGAAAGTTCAAAAGCAAGGCTGATATGTTCTCCTTCTACTACCGCGCGTGCAGTGCTGCAATGTCCCTGCACGCTAGCACCAGATAAAGCTGCGATCACCCTGCTAATACATCGTATGAAAGAGTCCGCAGACATTTTCAGAGGCGTGTTTGTACCTCTTGTGCGACGCTCACATTGGTCGTACAAAAATCGTTTGCAGACATGTTCTGAGCATACAACTGTACAAAGGAAATGTGCATGTCTGGAGATAATTCTGTTGTCGTGTCTGCAGCGAACGCTGTTTCCTTTTTACGATGGACAAGTTTAGTAACTGCAGCTCAAGTGTTACCGGGGGATAGCATCCACCCGTGGTTATACACCCAGGCGGTTGGTACAAGGTCCGGACATGAAGGGTGAATGTGCAGTTTATTAGGTACGCCTCACTGCACTGTTAGCACGAACACGACACTGGTGCTTCTTAACACTTTACTTGGAAGGGGTATTGGCAGGCATAAAATTTTACCATTTAGGTTGGTGCCTAGAACGAGCACTTTCAGCAGTTTCCATGGCAGCCCTTAAAGTCCGAGGGACAACAAAAAAAAAAAATATGGCTTGTCCGCGCCAACGGTGTCCCGTCGGGTCAAGCATTGCTGGGCCTCTGCATTACGGCGTCGTACTTTGGCGTGCCACGTGATGACCGATTAGAATGCAGAGAGGCAAAGTGGCACAGTCGTATCTGAAGCGCTCGGCAGATTGGATGCTTCATGCAATCTGCAGACACTGATCCGTAGCTATAGCCACGATGGGATTGAAATGGCACCGAGTTGTCCCGCCTCCAGCCCGGGCTTACTACCTTCTATGATACTTTTGCGCCTCCTGACCTTCAAGCATGTACAGCGCAGTCAATGCGCAGCAGAAGGCTACAAGTTTGCGCTAGAGGCTGAACATCTGAAACAGAGACACACCCATTCTCATCTTGTCGTTAACCATAGGGTCTCTAGATCCCAATTAAATGGAAAATTTGACTGCTGTACGTCCAGCCATATACAGTGGGAAACAAATTGAGCCGGCTCAAACGAGCGCCGTCCTGTGGTAAAATGCCGCGTGGCGTGCCTCTGGCACGAGACAGGTGGTGGCAGTTCGACAGTAGGGGATAGTGGCGGTTCGTCCCTGCCTCCCTCCAAACGGCTGAATCCGCACGGCATTTTATGGCGATAGCCGTAATGGGCTCTTCCCATTGCTGGAAATGACATCCGTCGTAGTTGTAGTATGGCGCAGCCCGCTGTGCGTGAACGTGACGGATGCCGAATGACTTTGCCACGTGACATGTCGATGGGACTGTACAGCATTATTTCCTGCCCCAGCTTGAACTTTGTTGAGCCAGCTGACATAGTAGCTGCCCCCTGTGCAGAACCGACGCCCCATCCATTCAACATCCGACAAAAAAGTGCCACAAGTTTCGAGGTCGTGTAGATGGGGACAAAAAGAAGAAGCCCGTCGACAACACCGGACATCGATCGCTCACAAACGAGCCAGCAAGCGTTCAATGGCACCTCCTGTACGCTGTCTACGACATAACCAATTGCTACAAACTATCCATAGAAGTTGAATGGGGAGTCAACTGTCCATCTATGTAAAAACGCAGGCAAAATCCCTTTCTCGCCATTCACTACAGTTCGGCACAATTTGTACAGTGTTTTAATGTCTGCACGCAGTCCCTAGGTTGGCACACCAAAAACCGGTGCTGCAGACTGCGGTGCCGAGGCTACAGAGACATGTTCCTCCCTTCTATGCTGATGGTGACCGCCCTCTGTGCTTTCATCTTCTTCTTCCTCTCCTGGAACTGCCTCATGTGCCTGTCCAACCTTGTCACAGTCTTCTTGGTGTTCTGCATGAATTTAATGACAGTTAAGCCACTGCTTTGCAGCATACCCTCTGGCATAGAAAAACGCTACAGATCTACTTCAACGCCGAGTGTGTTTGAGGGCTGGCTTCTACCTGTAGAGCATCCTGAGAAGTTGTAGTGAAAAACATGATACCACGGCCACATGGTATCATGTGATAGCGTTGGTATGTGCTCTCACGGCCGCAAGTCACATGAGTACATAACTTGGCAACAGATTGTCACGCAACTTGATGTCACGGTGCCCATGACTATAAACTTCACTTGGGTGTCGCATAACGCACGACGACGTAAGTGACGTGACATAACCACAGGGTTGGTGCCTCGTGACCACCATCCGCTAAATTTAGTGGGAAAATATATGTCAGGCTATAACAGCCCTCAAGTCTGCATTCTGCATAGTTCAGACTTTACACACATAATATCACTTTAATGCATGAGTTTGCACTACGCAGAAGCCAAAGCCAACTTTGCGAGAGCACATGACAAAGTCTGCACCATCGCTCCAGTACAAACATGAGGCGAGTTTATGGTTTTCAAATGTGTTTAGGCTGCACAAATGTCAGCACCTGCCAGGGTGACGTGCAAATTCTCATAGAACTGGTGCCACTACAGACCAGCAGAACTGTGGGCAGCCAATAATGATGCTTGTGCACAGAGGGCTTTTTTTTTCCCCTATGCCTGTTGCACTCAACTGCCCAGGACTGTCTCAAATGGAGGCCCGTAAAACGAGGGCCCAGAAGCACTCACCTTGACAAACTCCGTGTCGCAATTCCACTTTGGCCTAACCACATAGTCCTTTGTGGATGGCGTTGGTACCCGAGCCCTTGCTATCCAGCCTTTTTCGCCGGGCCTCAAAGACCTGGAAACAAAAGTTGCCAAACAAACAGAGTCATCATATTGACAATGATTGCCAATTTAAAGCACATACATGGCAGTCGAGAGAGTGGTTTTAGTGGGACGCCGGAATTTATCATCACACCTTTACTCCATTTCCACCCGAGGACCATGACTATTCCGACTATTCTACATTGATGCCCGATTCCGAAGCAGTGCCATTTACACTACAGATCAACAAAAAATGTATGGCATTAAGGGGGGACATGGGCCTAAGCTTCAAAATGTTTTGAAAAAATTCATTTTTCAATTTTGAGGTTTTCGCTTTTATAAACTAATTATACACCCTTACACTAAATTTCATAACCATGCGCCAAATAGTTACGTTGATATACAATATTTTCAACACATTGTGGGGCACTAACAGAGTAAAAGACTTTGAATGCACTTTTTTCAGTTTCACTTTTTGCTGCAAATTTCATACAAAATACAAAGGAATCCTTTGTTCAAAGGTAGAATTATTCTGATATCACAATCGAGATGTTTCTAAACTGAAATTGCTGGGGAATTAGGCTATCTACTTTATTTCATTTTAAGTTAAAGTCCTCATTGAGAAAAAGTTATGTTTTCAAAAACTGACATAGGACAGTTATGCCTCTCATATTTTGAGGTAATCACTCTTCCTGAAATATTTACATCTGAGTTATAAAAACTAGATAGCCCGAAGTCCCACATCCCCCCCTTTATATTTTAGCAGTTAAAATTATGCTTAATAGCTCCATTTGCATATCATAGACTTCTTAACAAAGAGAGACACATCTTATGCAGGTATGTAAAGTTGTCCTAGAGAGCTGAAAGCTTGCATTGTACACCGTCATCTGAAGTTAAATCTCTTGTGCAAATTTCATTCCGATCACATGAGTAGTTCAGAAATTCAACCTCTAGCCACTGTCCCCCCTTAATGCGTCTACTTGTTTCTCTAGAATGAGAACCATGCACCTCAAGATGTCAGGTAACAAGGTTGCATTTGTATTTGTTTTGAACACGCTAGTACATTTTCAAGAACCTTCGCTCACCCAAGTCTGTGCTACTAAATCCCGCCACCGGAATATTAAGTTAGCCTCAGGTAGAGATGCGACTCTGGACTGCCAAGTAGCGAAAGAAGCAACAACCAAAAAGAAAAAAGCAAAACCACTGACTTGTCTTCTCCCGTCAAGGCCTTGTCTATGTCCTTTTTGGCAGGGGGTTCATCGGAAGATTCCAACCTGCAAAGAAACGCTGTGAATTAATAGTGCGTGAATTGAAGCGTCCTTCGTTTGCCACCAATACAATCACCAGACATTGACTTGTTTCGTCGCGCAGCCCAGAACTGCTTTGCACGACTGTGTACACAACTCCCGAGTTGCAGAGACCGGGCCGGTGACTTTGGTTCTTGCACACTTCCGACATTTCATGTTGCAGCAACCCCAGTAACCGGCGTGGTCGCACTAGCACGGCGAAAGCGCACCCTGCGCACCACTAACCTACCTAATCTTTCGTTTCTGGGGCATCCTCTCGAAGTCCTTCTGCTCTCTTTCCTCCTTGGAGATGGAGGAGTAGTTTGTGTTGAGGTTGAAGATGGGCCGCGCCCACTCGTTGATCAGCTTGCCCGCCCTTTCCCGATTCTCCTTGCTCTCCTTCGGGTGCTTGTAGAGGTACATCACAGCCCGGCCAATCCCGCTCGACTTGAGGAACCCTTGGTCCAGCGGGGGAAACTGGACACAACAGACGTGCAGTCGGAACACGGTCAAAGGTGAACTTCTTCGTCCAGGATACATGTGCGGCGGGCTGGTAATCTTTTCATGGCAACTGCCGGTGTCGACTAAATTTTGCAGAGGATCCCAGGGTGTGTTTCCCGTAATTTCCCAACCAGGACGGCCGGGAAATTTCTCTGCTAAATGTAACCGTGTCGTGTGACATCGTGACATTGTGTGACAGGACACTGATGTTATATGAAATTGCAATGTCCTTGCACATGGTACCATTACATCACGTGAGACTGCGACGTTATGTGAAACTAAGACGTGACATGCCGATACGCGATACCATTACAACCCGTGACACTGCAACACTCTGACAATACAATGTGGCATTACAACGTCCCAGACCTGGTACCATTACGTCAAGTGACACTAAAATGTTATAAATGCTACGACTCAACATTGCGACGTCCCGGCATGTGACACCATAATGTCGAGTGATGCCGTGACGGCACATGGTGTCACGGTCGGTGTGCAGCGCGACTGTGTGTGGTTTGTGCGCAGCACAATGCAGCACCTTAGCCGTAGCCTCGGTTTGCGAGGAATCAGCCCTTTCTTTTGCCGTCATTTCCGCAAGCCTAATGCCTCGGCAGAGCCGAGCGGCCCGCAGGAACGGCTGCGATTCCGCTGGCGCCTTCTGGGAGAGGTGTGGCGACGCACAAGCTCACCTCTCCGAGGAGACGGAGCATGTGCTCGCGGATCTGCAAGTGGGGCAGGCTCTTGTCCGGCAGTGGGGACAGCCACTCCGCCATGACGTGCAGCACCCCCTGGTCCAGGAAGGCCACCTTCAGGTCCATCTTCTTCAGCTGAGACACTACCGTTGGCAGGAACTTGAGCTTCTTGGTGGCAGCACGCTTGGTAAGGTTCAGTTCCTTGTCCTCCTGTGGGGAGAAGGAAACACGCATGACCGGTACCGTTTTCTCACCGTTCACCTGCAGGGGGCGTCCTCTAATGCATCGCTATTTCGACAGATGGCCGAAAGGCCCACACAGCTCGTGAACATTAATACAACACATACACTGGGAAGTGTTTGGCTCACGTGTATCATTGGGTGACTCGGATTCGCTAAAACGGTGCGCTGGAAAAACATTTTACCTAAGAGCGGGGGCAGTCAAGGAAGTTTGGGACTTTGGGGAATACGTGAGGGTACCATATTTACTCGAACATAACTTGACCATGAATATAGCTCGATGCCTTTATATTAAACTCGCCGAGAATAAAAAAAAAAATTTGAATATAGGTCAACCTTTTATTTCTTTTTCAAAAAACAAAAGTCTGGGCAAAAGAAAGAAACACACCTTTATTTACAGCACTCTCAGCTAAATCACAGTGCGATGCAAAAAAATGAATCACAGTCAGAGATTCCCGACGTGTAATCGTCGTCGGAAGCTTGGTCAGCTTCTTCGACATCCTCACAAATTCGCAGCAATACCTCATTGACACCATCGCAAAATGGCAACAATAAGAAACAAAAGAAAGTGATGAAAGATTACATACAAAGATGCGAGCAATGCCGCGAGCCATCGCAAGCAACAAGGAGCAAAAGTAACCCCCGTATTTTGTAGGGATGCTGCGAACCTCCCAAAGTTAGAGTTTAAAAGGTTCCAAATTTTCGAACCTCGCTAAGATTTGAATTTGAAAATTTGGCAAGTTTAGAACCCCGCTGAGGTTCGAATTCGAATAATTAAAAAATGTTAAGGTTTCTGAAAGTTTGAGTTCGAAGATATCAAATGTTTTACAGATAGTTCGAAAAATTCTAACATTTCGAATTTATTTAAAAATCAAGTCCGAAAAATTCAAATATTATAAATTTTTTTAGGTAAAAGTTCAAAAATTTTGAAAGGTTGAAAGGATGAAAATCAAATTCTGAAAGGTTCGATTTTAAGTTTTAAGCCTGAATTTCACGGATGAAAATCAAATTCCGCAGTTTCAAACTAAGTTTTCATGAATTCATCTAGAAAGATAGTTAGATTTGCTGCAAACTTCACTAAAAAAATTACAGGAGGACACTTACGACCATTTACGTGTAGGAATGCGAAAGCAAACGTATGCGTAGCATATTCCTGCAACCTCTGCGGAGGCCGGCCGAACGAGCTCTGGACAGCGGCGCACCCGCCGCTCTCCAGAACGGTGCTGTGGAGCACGGGACGCAGCCAATTCGGCGCGGCCAATTTGTCGCAGCCAATCGCAGCCATTTTAATAGCCATTTCGCGAAGGGGAGTTCTCTGCCATTTTTTCACGGTTACGGCGCGGAGGGAATTTTTCTGCTGTTTTTTGCGGTTACGGACAACGCTGGCTCTGCTTTATGGTACAGTTAATGCTTTCGCATTGAAACGTTGCCCTGCCTATTATGAACTCACACCAGCTCACTCACGCCCTGTTCGTTAATACTACTTTGTTCTCAGTGCTGTGGTACTGATGGTACTACTTGTATTTCTCGTTATTTGTCATAACTTCTGAAACAAGCGTTGAACTGGTTGAAGGGTTCATCGAAAAGACCCGAGGCGGTCGGGTAAGCATACTCTCTACTTATTTGCTAACTAGTAGCAATCTGATCAAATGTCGCCTAAATGCAATGCTGGCATGAGACAATGGACCTTTTTCCAGTAAGCTTCCGCGCATGCGTACACTCCCGCCGTCGCCATTTTCGGAGGGCATCGGGACGGTGCCCTCCAAAAATGGCGACGGCAACATTCATCTTTGCGAGTATTTAGCCTATTTTGACGCTTTGTTTTTTAGTATCGGTAGCATAGGGTATAAAGAACACTGAAAAACGATACAACGGCACGATGCCAATGTGTTTTGACGGACGGAGGCATGTTGGGCTGCTCTTCATTTGTAGTTCACAGACAACTCCCCAGACGGCGCTCGTTACTCGAAAAAGGTCCATTGAATATGAGGGACAACGCAATCAGATAAAGGCATCCAGGCTTCCCGAAAACTTTTAGTTGCTCTGGGCATTTATTTTCGGCAGGGTGACCCGTGGGATGGAGAAAACACTGAACACAGGCACAACACCCGACACAAGTCGTGGTTGAGGAGAATGCAACCAGACTAAATTACGGGACTACCCGCCTAATACAGTTAACCATGTCACGACCGGTTATTATTGGGCTAACCATATAGCCGCTGCCTGGTATCAGCATATGAGCAATTCGACATGCAAGTTTATTTTAACCCGAAAAAAAGCTGCATTTTCCTGAAGCACACCACCTTTATGCTCCCGACACACGATACAGCCTAAAGGGAAGCAAAACACTTCTTCATAAAGACGAGTTAGAGGTCAATTCTGGCGTATTTTCATCCCGTGAACCTGAATATCACGTTTCCACGAAGGTGTAACTAAACGCGAGAAAACATGAAAAACCTCCGACCAGTCGTTACGTCGTGCTAGTACCTTTCAGCCGCCAAGCGCGTGCCCCTCGTGTGCGCAGCGCGTGCAATTGCAGAACTTGCCAGGTATATTCCCCCACACTGACACTAGTCGTGACATGTCTCTTTCTGACCTTTTTGAAAAATAGTGAGAGTGCGCGTCAACAGCTTTGATAGGCACTGATAATGCGCGAGAGCGGAAATTCCGAAACCTCCTAATGTGACATCGTGCCCCAGAAAGGAGGGGCTACGGCGGTACTTTAAAAATTAATTTCTGCAGCCTCTGTGCACCAAATTCAAAAATAATCTAGATATTTGTGATCCTGAAGGCCAAATAAAGACGATTTAAGTGTTTTCCCTCAAATACAGAACCGCTTCAGTTTCCCTTTAATTCAGCTCGTACTGCCAATAGGGTGCCTACATGTCTGTCTGTCTCAGGGTGAAGACATCCATTGTTGCCTTGAATGTGCCAGCGCGTAACGCTCTCGCGCACTCGGTGCGTGACTTGGGCGGTAAAATGGCATCTATCTATTAGCCAAAGCTACGCACTCGAGCTGAGCGACACCGGATTGCGCGCACTTCAAAATGCATAAAAAAACGATTGGGAGGAAAAATGGCTGAGATGCCACCACTCAAGCAAAAGCGCATGTGTGTATGAAGGCACTCTAACTGCCAATGTTAATTCCCGCCACCTGCTGGTGATCCACAAAATAAAGGCAACAATTAATTTGTCTAGATCGAGGGTTCTCACATTATCTACCCCGAATGCCAACTGATGGTCCCCTTCCGAACGGAGCATTGGTGCAACAAAGCAGTGCAGAAGCCGAAAGACCTTGTAAACAGTAATGTGCATGGGGTCATGGGGTCAAATAATGGGGTCAAAGATAACATGAGTCAAGCAATGCTTAACTCGTAGTCGTGCATCAAAGGGTGACTTGGATCTCCCATTACAATCCTCAAATCGGAAGACCACTTCACTTAGGGTTAGGGTCAACCGGGGAAATCTGGGAGCTCGAGGAACACTTGAGGGTTCTCTGGGAAATCTCTCCGTTCCTAGGACACCAGTTTGAGAACCCAGAATTTAGGTGATAAGAGTGGAAATCGTGAAGTTTTTACGGAATTGCTAGGGGTGTGCGAATCTCTCTTTGAATCAAATAGCACAATGTCGTCGCCAGCTTCGACGCTATAAAGCGAGCCAATTCGAGTTACTACTATTCGCACATCCCCAGTATGATAGTGAAACAGGACATTGGTAAAGAGCCCGATGCCCCTGCACATTAGCTCGAAAAATATCCAATCCCAAGGGGCACATGTCAGCATACCTCCGCGGCAGCTTTCATTTCCTTGATGATCTCCGCAATGATGTCGTCGGTGTCGCTGATGATGTCCACGTCTTTCCGCCTCCTACGCCGGGAGCTCTCCTCTTTCTTCTTGGCCATCATCAGATCAAAGTCCGACATGAAGTCTGAATTCCTAGACACCCGACAAGCGAAGATCCAAAACATTCGTTACCGTAGGACTTTCTCAAGGATCACTCATACCAACAAAACAAGTTTGACATAGACGTTGTGTCGACATGTCACTAGTGTTCACACTTACGACGAGTCGTTTTTGCCACGTGGCGTCACCACAATGCACCCTACCCTATATTTGCAGGAAACCGCATCTCCTTTAAGGTGCCGACAAGTCTTCCCAAACATTTTGGAATGCTTCGAACGTGCCGTGTGCCTGGCTCGAAGCACACTTTACCGACATTCAAAACGCGAAAATAAAAACTAAAGCGCAGCGTCCTACGCACAAAGAAGTATATACAAAGAGTCACTACTCTTCCTTGCCGTGACATAGCTGCGAGCACAAGCTCGTGGCTTTATACACTTTAACTCAGCTTTAATTGACAGCAAAGCCAGGACTTAAGAAGTGCCTTGTTTTTTTAAATGCAGCTCCACAAGCAAGAGAACTTTTCAGAATTACATGTCTGTAGCCTAGGTATAAGATACTCCCACCACAAAGGCACACGCATGTAGGGTGTAATCTCCTTTCCAAGAAACGAGCCTGCTCCGAAATCTTTCGCTGACACGTTGAATGGAACGCAAGCTTGAGAGTCCGCTAAACACATACCGCCCACGTCTGTTGTCGTCTACCTCGTCGTCCGAACTGGAGGCGTCTGGCACGGGTGCGGAAGCGGGCTCCTGAACGACGTCAGCGCTTTCGCCCACCTCGTCATCGTTCTGCTCAACAGAAACATCCTCTTCCTTCTCTCGCTCCTCGTCGTCCACTCTGTCTTCGTCCTCTGAAGCCGCCTTCTCCTTTTCCTTGTTTTCGTCTTCATCCTCGCTGTCCGACAGAACTGTTTCGGAAAGCCAAGTCGACACATGCACATGTTTTAATGTCCTGTCACAATATCCCAAAAGTTAGCCCTCCGCCATGAAAGACCAACTGGTTTTTATACAACCGCTCGGATAAGGACCTCGCCCGCTTGCCCTTGCATTGGCAACCACGCAGATGTCATTTTATTTGTAGGGAAAGGAAAAGAACTGCCCCCTGCCTTGTTTTCTAAGTTGGCAAACTGTAAAACTCAGACTGACTATTCATTGTACAAATCATATGAGGTCTAAGTAAGATGATTTTGAGAAGCAGGCAATCCTCCAACTTTTTCGCCAACAATAAAATATGTGGAAAGAGAATGTGGTCTATTGTTTGGAAATGGGTTATTTCCCAGGTCGTTAGGGCAGACAAAGTGCTCTTGTGTGGCCGCTTCTCAGCTCACGCACCTTTTCGTGCTTTCCGTGCCTTGTCCTTCTTCCTGGGGCTCACCAAGTCTTCTTTGCCAAATCCCTGGAATGATAAAAGTGGCCCAATAAATGAAGGATCGCTCGTGCCACTGTAGAATGCGTCATGGTGGACATGAATGTGTAGCCATCTCAAATTTATAATTTGACCATCATTCAGCTTATTGCTTTTGGCAAGAACCAATACGTGGTCTTAAAGGGGTAGCGCAATAATTTTACCGTGAAAGGATTTGCAGATTGGATTTTTTATATTGTTTATCTAGGCACAAGTGATAAAAAAAAAAAAACTTCCCCCGAAAAACTGCTTTTCCGCTGCGCAAATCGCCCAAGAAAAAAACAAATTATTTGCCGATCTGCAGCCGCATGTGGCAGTTATGGGAACCACAGAGTCACGTCACAGGGCTACACAAAAGTCAACAAAACCAGCACCCCCCGCTGCTGCTACACTCGCCGCCAGCCTCATGTCAAACCGTCTTGTCTCGATCGCTCGCCGTGGCCTCCTTCGGCGACGCTAATCATTGAAAAGCCGACACTCGCGGAGGGTGGCTGGGGGCTCCAAAGACAAAACCCATTGGGAAACCAGGTGGTCCCCCAGGGATGTCGCTCGAACGACGCCGCAAATGTTTTAAAAAAAACTTTAACCTGCAACTTTTTTTTTTTTTTTAGATAAAAGTTAGCGCATGCACGAAGAAATTTTTTTCTGTTCTTCGTTCTAGAGGTGACACAGATTAATTCCCGCAATTAATTGGCCAAAATTTGAAAATCGTTGCACCACCGCTTCAAAAACATTACAAAGAAATGGATAATTCTAAACAAAAAAAAGTCGTGAGCTTGCAGAAATTATACGCCTTGCGGTAAACTGCAGAGCACACAAAATATCTGGGGAGGAACGAGTCTATTATAACTAGGGTTCCGTGTTTTCTGTGTTTATTTTATCCAGGGATGTTGTTTTTTTTTCCTCGGGATTTTCATTCTCTCTCACAAATTCAGTGTTTTTCCTTTCTTATTTCTTTTTTTGCAAATTACTTATAACTTATTTATTTACAAAATAAAAAAAATAAATAAAAGCAACACCACATCGGTAAAAAAAAGCACTCCAGAATTTGAAAAAAAATAAATAAATAAATAAATGCCAAACACTGAACCTTATTTACATTACGCCTAAAATCCGTGTTTTCGGTGAAGGGGGGAAAGGTAAATTTCAAATGCAGTTTTCTTTTTCTTCCTTTTAAAAAAACTGGTGCTAATTGTGTAAACTGGTTAAGTTATAACCAGTTTAGACAAAAACCATTGAATCTGTGGGAAAAATAAAAAAAAACACAAAAGATACCCTCAGATTGGAAAAGAAAAATAATAAACACTGCAAACATGGAACTCCAAAGGCTTGTTCACACACTTGCGACTTCTTAGGACCGGGTGCCTTGAAACTTCTTAAAATCTCTTAGAACGAGAGTACACACTGGTACCACCTATTGGGTAGCAGTGGAACACTTGATGGTCCCGCATATTTTCTATTTCTTTCGAGCATCATTCTTTATTTCTTGGCTCGAAAGTCTACCACCAAGCCTTTGCTCTAGTGGAATGCCGTTCCAGGGTCACCGCAGATGGCACCAGCATGTCATTGCGTTCTCTTGTCGTAAGACATTTTAAGAGGTTTTATGGCACTCGGCTCTAAGGAATTGCAAGTGTGTAAACAGGCTCTAATTACATGGTACTAATAAAACAAACGCATCTCCGAAAACAGAAATATGTTATAATATGTTATGTTCACGACAGGGCCGCGAGAGCGGCATGCAACAATAAGGTCGCTCGCAGACACCCACCTCAAATTCAGATTCGTCGTCGCTTTCGCCAAAGATGTCGGCAATCAGCTCGCCCACATTTGATCTGTCGAGGGGAAAAAGCCCATTACGACAATGGGGGCAAAACGTTTCAGTTTCGCCGCTGCACAACATAGTCGCAGATGGAATACGCACTCATTATCGCTGTCCTCCTTTTCGCTGTTTTCCTCCTCTTCCTCCTCCTTGTCAGAATCATCCTTTTCTTCCTCCTTCTCGGAACCGCCCTTTCCGTCCTCCTTTTCCGACGCTTCTCCCTCATCTTCCGAGCCTTTCCTGCACAAGTTTTGAAGCATAGCTAATAAGCATACAACTTTCAAGTTTTTCAAGATTCGTTTAACCTAGATTTTTTCACCTTGTTTAAAAAATCTTTGCGCCCCCCCCCCTCCAAAATAGAAAAACTACTGCATCTCGCACGCCATGAAATATTTCTGGGCGCCGAACGCACAAGTCGTGAATGTGCAATTACTGTTACTCCAACTTCGACAGCCTTTCGGCGACTGCGGTTTTTCCGAAGAAAGGACGTACCATAAGATACTCAGCGTCTGCCCATTCCACGATAAGCGCCCGCCCCTCAATTTTGTGGCATTAGGAGAATATGCAAAGGACGTATCTTTATGTATTTTTAACCTAAAGAGCGCCAATCCCCCAGTTTTACTCGATTTTCTCCAAATTTTGAGTGGGCGCTTGCTCCGAATTTGACGGTAGTTTTCTGCATTGCTAGTGTCACCTCCACTCTCATTTAGCAAGCGTTTAGCTAGAACCGATGCCACAGTTAGAGCCACCCACATCAGAGATACCGAATTGTTTTCTTAGTTTATTTTAGGAACAGGAACTCAATCCCATGTGTTCCGATATAACATCGACACAGGGTGCTGGAGACAACAGACCACCGGAAAGACAGTCTTATTTACTTACGCCCCTACTGGAGCGGTCGCGCAATCGCTACTGCGTGGTGTGCGCTAAATGCCAGATTAGCAGTCGTACTGCACTGGCTAAACTTCTCGTCTTCAGCGGAGACACCGGAAGACCATCGGGCCTGGCTAACGTACCAGTGTCTAAACGTACACGCAACACAATTACTTTTCATCTCACTTACAATAGGCTCGCAATAATTCAAACTCTGATATATCATACGTCTGGTCAATTCAAACAAACTTCAAAATTTTGGTTGCTCCGCTATGTTTTTGATGTGTTCATAAGCCGCTTAATGCGAACAACGTTCTCGTGTAATTCATACTTTTTGTTCTCGCGGCCCTGTTGAGTGCGCTTCTTTCCGAGCACCAGTGCACTGCAGAGAGGCAAGACTCGCAGAGCTTGCTTCCGCAGGTGTTGCTTCTCTGCAGTGCACCGGTGCTCGGTGAGAAGTGCACTGAACGGGGCTCAAGCAGGGCACCTATGAGCTATGAAAACGGGCACCACGCGGAAATTTTCACAGCAACTTGCACGGACGCTGTGACGTGGCGGCATGGCATAGGTCCACGTCACAGCATCCGTGCAAGTTGCTATGAAAACTGCCACGCAGTGCCCATTTTTACTGCTTATTCAGATTAGACAGCTTCTTGGCCTGATGAACAAAGTTTATTTTGTTTTGAGTTGTCATGTGCTGTCTGAACAGCCTGCGATAAACATTTTTAAGGAATAAATAAACTTGTTATGCATTTCGTCAATGTTTCAAGTGTGGCACACCTGCTTACGATCAGTAGGCCTATGTAGAGGAAATCATCAAATATCTGCTTTGTATGTATAGCCATTCATATGGAAAATGGCAATTTTATCTTGCATCATATTTACCGTAAAATATTGGAGAAGCGCCCACCCCTCTTCCACTGAAAACTAGTTTTATCTAGACATAGGCACTTGTCCAGTCGAATCGGGCACTTAACGTATAATTTGCAGAATCCCCAAATTCGGGAAATGTAAATAGTGGGTGATTGAACAAAGTGGGCGCTTCTGCAGTATTTTATGGTAGATGAATTTCCGATAATTCAAACACAATTTGTGGCTTCCTGGAGTTTGAACGAATGAGAATCCACAGTATTCTTGTGCTCGTTGCTTTGCGGGTGTCAGATGTCAGATGCTAGCAATATCGAAGGTACCCACTTCCATGTCTGCTTTCAAAACAACCGTAAATTTTTAGGTAGCGCCACGGTGTCTGGAACGCATCTCCGACCGATACGTTTACTGCATCCTCAAACGTAGTCCCTTAACTTCCATCCGACGACGTCACAAAAGCGTCGCGCCGCTGTCCGCCACGATCGTGGACATGGCAAATGCCCGTTCCGCTACGGGCCACCCTCCAGCTCAAGGGTCCACGAAACTTCGGCAGCCGGAAGTCGGGACGCGGCGACAACGACGGTGCCAGCGCTCATCCATACTTTATGCCGTAACTTGTACGACCAACCGTCAGGATAGCGATGTCCGACAGCTTACTGTGCCGGCTCCTGCAACGCCATGTTGTTGCCCTTTGCGACCACTTTTGTTCACGGCCGGTATGGGACGCTAGACAAGTCAGTCTGAGACGCGTTTCAAAAGCACCGTAGTGGCGCACGATCCAGAAGGATGGGCGAACACTCCCGCAGACGCTCACTTGGAAGGCGAAGAAGGTGCGCTGCTCTTTTCAGCGGCTCCCGTGTCTGACGGAGAAGGGCTGGCAGGGGCACTGTCGTGGCATGATGCGGCAGATTTGCTGTCATCCTGCTCGTCATTCTTAGACGCGTCCATCTGGTCGGCCTCTTCGCCCCCCTCCTGCTGACCGGAAGCGCTGCTCTCGCTGCTCACACGACCATCCTCTCTGTCTACGAGAGAGAACAAAACAAAACAACTGATATGAGGGGAGCAAGTCGTCTGCTTTTCGCGCAGGGGTTGCGGTGACATCAGAACGATGCTGAGATCCGATTGGCTTTGATTGGAAGGATCTTAGGTAGACCTCAATGCTAGATGCCTTGAGGTCTACCAGTTATTTTTTTCATTCAGTTAATAAGAGCTCTGCATTCTGACATCATTGCAACCCCTGTGCAAGAAGCAGACGAACTTGCACTCCGCGTTGAATTTTCCCGAAAACGCATGAACCAAGCTGCAATAGCATAAGAGTTACTTATGAAGTTAAATAAAATTCTTCGAAGTACTCCAACAATCCCGGCGGCTGCAAGCAACACCGTAACTTTTGTACCATATAGAAAGGAAATATAGAGTTTTTGAGTTCATTCCTGCCGAAATTCAGGGAAGGGGAAGTAGAAATAAATGAACTGCGCAAAGGACGAGGACAGAGGTAGAAACGAGTACGACACACAGAGCGCAGACTTCCAACTGTTTATTTGGCGCAGACACAACAGTATATATGACAGCCCAATCAGTTTGCGGTTAAATAAGGTTTAAACATGACCGTCCAAAAAAGAGAATTCCTTGTCTGATAGTGAAACAGATTGCATGCTTATGCAGTCGTGACCTTTCTTTTTAATGAAGTAGGCTTCTACGAGTTTTCTTTCCGTTGCCTCATTTGCTCTTGCGAGAACATGTGTCCTTTGCAAATCAGGATGACAACCGAATTTCAAACAATGTACAGACAGATGTCCGCCTGTGTTGTTTTTTATTGACAGAAAGTGTTCTCGTGCCCTCAAGTTGAAACAACGTCCAGTCTCGCCAATGTATACTCGCCCGCAAGAAAGCGGAATTTCATAGATAACACCGGATGCGCATTCCGTGTAGCGCGTGCTGTGCTCCTTTTTGCATTTGTTGATGTTCACTCTTGGCTTCATCATAGGGCACACTTTACTGAGTTTGCAGGGCGCTGAAAAGACGACCGAGAGACCATACCTGGCCGCTACCTTTTTCAGGTTATGGGACAGGCCGTGGTGGTACGGGATGACATGCACGCGCATTTTTTCTTTTCGCCTCTGCTCATTACTACCAGTTTTCTGCTTCTGTAGCAAGCGCACACATACAGCAGAGACCAAGTGTTGGGGGTACCCTGCGGCAGTAAGGCGGTCACACTGATCGCGGAAACTGGACGCCATTTCATGAACACATGATTTTTCTAATGCTGAAGTACAGCTAAAGTAAGCCTACTTCATTAAAAAGAAAGGTCACGACTGCATAAGCATGCAATCTGTTTCACTATCAGACAAGGAATTCTCTTTTTTGGACGGTCATGTTTAAACCTTATTTAACCGCAAACTGATTGCGCTGTCATATATACTGTTGTGTCTGCGCCAAATAAACAGTTGGAAGTCTGCGCTCTGTGTGTCGTACTCGTTTCTACCTCTGTCCTCGTCCTTTGCGCAGTTCATTTATTTCTAAAATCATGAACCAACTAGCCCGCCAAAAGGTGTTACTTGAAGGGGAAGTACTGTTTCGGAGTTAATTTTTTATCGCAAGTTCTGCATTAATTGAGTATTACACCTTCTGATCCTATCCATTCCCATTTCTCAAAAATTTTTCATTTATCAAAGTTCCGTATTTACTCGAGTAATAGCCACACTGTTTCTGAGGAAAACCTGAGGGTTTGTTTTTCCGCGGAGCACGTAGCTTGCCAGTCACCACGATCAGCAGCATGATTCCAGCGGTTTACAAGACAGAGATAACGTCTTCGCGCAAAGACCTGTGAAGATTGCATTTATATGGTGAATCGTGTTCTTGATCTAGTTATTCGCTATGTTATTTTTGAGCAATGCGATGATTGGCTGTATTAGTACACTGCAGTAAAGCAGACGCAAGAGCCTTGTTCATAGATAGTGCGGCTACTACTCAAGTAAATACGGTAGAATCTTTCATTCTCAATTTTGCAAGCTTACAAATAAATGCATCAAAAGGCATAAAAATTCAATGTAATTGTAAGCAATAGCTAAAAAAAAAAAAAAATCATCACGTAAAGGTTTCCAGTGATATCAAAAACACTCGCCTCTTCTCCTTTTACATGAATTCCAAATGGCATAAACAATTGCAAGCGTGGAGCCCCAACTGGTGCCCCATGCACGCAAGCACGTGCATGAACTTAGCTTTGGCAAGCTTGCGATTGCACATGCGGGCCCGCACGAGCGGAAGCATGGTGGTGGCCAGCCGCCCCGCTTGCAATCACCTATAGCCTCAACTCAAACCCCAAAAAGTGGCTCTAGTACAACCACATACTTGAATATGGTTCTCGCAGTCACCCAGAAACTTCACAACATCAACCCGCCGTCCTCTCCTCTTAAAACGGCCGACCTCGCCCTTTGTCGAGACCGACTTGAAACGTCCGAGCTTTTCTCAGAATAAGTATGAAATGACAAATGGCGCTGTCCATCCGGCAGCCCCAGGACACTTCTGACTAGGGCATAGTTCCTACTTTCTTGCGCGACGTTTTTTTATAGTGGGCTCGAAATAATCCCGACAACATTACGAGCGACCACTTCTCATAGGTAGTGGTTAGATTTGATATTGCAAATACTGCAAAGCCTTCACGTGCTGATCAGAAGAGTTCCGGGGCCACCCGACAGGGGACGCCGGTAAGACCCTAGGGTGCTCGCTCGAGCGACTGCAATTTAATGGGAGACACTTTCTGCGCAAATTAATTGCTCACAAGCAGGCGCACGTCACCATGTGGCAAGGAGGACGGCGGGCGACAAGGCTGAGCAAAGCCCAGAGATGCTTGCAGACAACCAATGTTCTGGCCTCCTCCTTGCAGCTTGTATTGCAGGCACGGTCGTCGTGAGCGGCTACACGCAGTTGCAGCACAGTCTATCTCACTCAAACGAAAGTGTGCGAACCAGCCGCATAACACGTAAGCTCACCTTCCTCCCTTGGCTCCTCGTCTCCGGATCCATCTCCCGCCCGCTCGGCGACGGGGGAGGTGGGAGAGCTGCGCTCCTCGTGCTCGCTCTCCGACCCGTTGCCCTCCCCACCGGAGGCGCTCCCCTCGTCCCCTTTGCCGCTGTCGTCATTGTCCGTGTTCTTACTCTCGGCGTCCGAGTCCCGGGCCTTGTTGTCCTCTTCAGAGTCCCGGGCCTTGCTGTCCTCGTCCTCGGCGTCGCTCTGCTGCGCCGGTGAGCCGCTGCCCTCATTGTCCGAACCCGCCGGACTCCTCCGACCTTCGCTGTTGTTGTTGGAGTCCGGCGACGCGGGCGGAGACTGCGATGAATTCGTAACGGTCGGCCACGCTGCTTACAGACTACTGCCGTGGTCACGGCCGGAGGGACCGCGAAACGATACTGGGACAAGCTCTATAAGTGAGTGCGGGCAATACAAGAATTTGTTTTAACACAGAATGTGTTTAATCAACCGATTTCCATGGAATTCTGCAATTGCTTCACTGTAACATTTGGCACTAAGAGCCGGTTGTAACAAAAAAGTGACGCCAAAAATTGTTACACCCATGGGGAACGACATAAAAAGACCTCGGTACCCGGCAGGATTTAACCTGACCACCTTGAGATTGTGAGTCAAGTGCCTTGCCAACTGAGCTATATCCCGGGCAGTGGTGGCTAGCACGCAAAATTGAAGTCATTGGCTTGGCGCGCGAAAGCGCAATCGCGTGCTTTAAGGCCAATTCTGTCATGCTGCACCATCTTACGGCGTGCGTCAAAAATGGGAGCAAATCTTCGGTAGGCAGTGCCGTTCAAGCAGCCTTTTCTTCTTCCCCAGGAAAGACCTGTCACACATTCTGTGCTTGCCAGTCTTTGTCAGCATGATCAAGCTTGTGTAACTTTTTTCCAAGATAGATTGTTATGACGAGACTTGACAGATTTTGTGAATGACAGGTTTTGTTAACGGTTTCTGTATGATACGAGCTTCTTTGCACGCTAATGGTGTGGGCATTTCTTAAAGGGGCACTGACACATCAAAATCATACTTTTTTTTATTATCCGAAACGATTGAAAACGATGCCGGGACATTGCCCTCAAATTTCGAAACTTGGGAATTCAGTATTTCTTAATTAAAAAAACAATTTCCAAACGCCGAATTTGAAGTTCCCGCGTGATCTGCGCCAGTGCAGCGAGTCAAATTTTGCGGTCTCCTGCGACTCGACTTTCTTTGGGACCTCTGCCGTTGCCACAGCAACCCGAGGCGAGGAGGAGGTGAGCAGGCGGAATAGAAGCCGGCGCGGGAAAAAACCGGTTTCTTCCCCGTCCAGAGCCGTACTGTCCCCGTCTCGCCGTTAGCGCCGCCAAGTTTTTTGAGGGGGGATACAAATCCAGGAAGCGACATTACACCAAAATCTGATTTTTGGTATTTCAAAAAGAGGGGCCTTAGTGCGTTCGCAATTGCGTTAAAAAACGTTTTACTCTTGCTGTTATTAAATGTTATAGAAATGTCGCCTACAAAGCTTCTAAATTTCCTGATTTTTGACATCACCGATCAAAAGAAGCAAGGAGGTGAGCGCGGGAAATATAAACGCCAAAAATAAAAAGGCGCGCGCGCGCTCGAAGAAATTTTTTTTCGCGATGCAGTTTTTTTTTGTGTGTTTATGACTACAACTTGCATCGTTTTAGACAATAAAAAATAATACGACCTTTGAGGTGTCAGTGCCCCTTTAAGGTGTGCTGTGTAGTGTGGGAGAATTGTTTTACACGAGGAATATGCACCAGGTGCAGACCACAGTCCGGAAAATATGGCACTAAACCGCCATTCACAGATATGCAACCGAGTTAGACCAAGAGAGACCAGACCGGTTTTTAAGCCTCTTGCGACGTCTCAGGACCAGCTTTGCTGCAGCACATCCGGTCCTAAGACGTCGCAAGAGGTTTAAAAACCGGTCTGGTCTCTCTCAGTCTATTCTTTTCAATAAAGATGTTCTTTCTCTCTCTCTCTCAGTCTAACTCGGTTGCATGTGTGTGAACAGGCCTTAATAAATTATAACTGTTATCCGAAAGCTATATTCCTTTGTTCCTTTCGTGTGAGCCTGGGATAGACAATGAGGCCATTTTTCGGGTAATCCCCTAAATGGATGTTATCCAAATGTCCACTGTAAACCCTGTTCGGGAGACAAGTTGATCTGCCTGTAATACAAGAGATCAAAAGAACAGCTCCAGCAGTGCGTACAAAAGGACAGAGATAATAGACTTAATTTGGAGAGATTGCCCATTGTACAAAGGACACCCGCTACTCCATAAACTTTAGCATTCACCTTTCTGAGTGCCACAGTACTTGTTTCACCTTTTACACTTGGCACTCTTTTTGGGGGTAAATTGAGGTGAAAAATGCCATTCAACATTCTTTTATGTCTCACCGGAGAGCTGGAATGTGAAACAAGAACCAAATGCACATTGCGTGTTTACTGCGCATAAAAAAATGACCGCATCTCCACGTGGTGAATGATGTTGATTGGGGCGAAGCTCTGGTGGTGCTGATGATACTGATTTTGTTCATAGGTAGTGCTGATGGTGCCGATTTTTTGTTTTCGTCTATAAACGTTGAGCCAATGCATGCAAAGTTTAACGCGATTATATACGCATTTGACCGCAGCACCCTCTCCTATAGACGTTGAGTGGCTACATGTAACGTTTCATCCATGACATCCCCAGCTCTTGAGTTACTACCACATCTCAGAACCCCTACTCGTCCCGCAGTCGTGGCCGAGGGGTTAAGGCGATGGACTAGAAATCCATTGGGGTCTCCCCGCACAGGTACGAATCCTGTCGACTGCGGAAACATTTTTTCTTTTTTTTAAGAAGACAGATGAGATAGCAATCGATGTGAGCACGGATGCCGGACGAACAAGGCTTCGCCCCTAAAAATTGTTGGTCGGGGGCAGGTTCCTTTGTTCCAAATGGCAAGAAGCACCGATTTTATTTGTATAACCCACTTAAACATTTGTTATTAATGAAAAAGCATTAAATACCCCATGGAGCAAAGCCGGCGGCAACTGTAACCACAAAAAAAAAAAGCAAAATAAATGCCCATTCTCTCATTGGCTGAGCAAAATGGCTCTTAGATAGCCATTGGCGGCAGCTCGGCTACCGCTCTAGTGTCAGGCATTGCTGGAGGGGGGGAAGGGGGGCCGCAAACACTTCTGCTTTTCTCAGCACTGAGGAACATGGCGGCGCCTCAGGCCTCTATATCGTCGGCGGCCGCAACCTCGGCAGTAGCAAAACATGGCCGTTCACGCCAGTACACCGCGGACGAACGACATTCATGCTTTCGCATTCACAACTCATAAAAAGTGCTTAGATGCTCCCAAATTTTTTTCTTTTTTTTGTGCTAAAAAAGATATAATACAGTTCAATAGTAATAGGTATGCTGCTTCAAGCCTACCTGCCTTTTTCAAAAGGTAAGTTATTTTTTCTTAACGATTTACTTTTTTTGTTTTAATACAAGATAGGGTTTATGCAAACAATTTACATATGCAGTGTTAAAAACTATGCATTTGCAACTGAAGGAAGATGATGCTCCTAAGCACGGTAAAATAAATGCACCTGATTTATGGGCGGTTGACCACACACAAAATGTTTACTTGGGCTTGGTTGACAAAGGATATACAAGTATTGGTCGATGCAGCAAACCAGTCATTGACCTTTATTTTCAGTTGTAGCAGGCACTACAAAATGTCAGTGTTGGGAAGTATTTAAGTACATTGTGCTTAAAGTACTTTTTCAAGTAGGTTTAAAAAACTCGTACTTAAAGTATTTTTTTCCTGGTACTTTTCGAGGAAGATGCAACTCCCGACTTGGAAGTATGTTCTCCAAATTTGGTCTTGTTAAATTTGTATCACAAAACGATACTTTGTCAACTCAGAAGAAACACTAGGAGGGATCCTTTACTCTCACCAGAAATGCGAGCACACGACACATCGCTCCATTTGTACTAAGGGCAGCTCTCCCGTGGCATTTCAAACTCGGCAAGAGTAAAACAATTACTATGTGGTCATTTTACTTTATCCGATATTCGCCGACATTTCAGAAAATGACTGATCCACCCCCATTACCCCTAAAACAATGCAAACCAGTTAAAAAAAAAAAAACATGTATAGGGGAATGAAAGGGCATCATGAAAGATTGAGTTAAAAAGTACTTGTACTCTGAAAGTACATTGTTTTTATAGTACTTTACTTCAAGTACATTGTGCATAGTGTAATTACTACTTTAGTTGAAGTACCTAACCTCTCACACTCCCGTGCCCTGCAAACTTTTGCTGCCGACTGTACATAACCTCTAATTTACTTTCTACTTTACTTCAAGTACTTTTTGGATGTACTTTACCCAACACTGCCAAATGTTCTAGGAATATTGCTATTCAGAATGTGCTTTGCAAGGCTGAACAACTCCAGCATGAACCACACGCAATGATTTTGTTTAAATGGGGAATGAGTGATAACACAGGAAGAGTCAAATGATTTCCTCATTTAAACCTTTCCTGAAATTATCCGGGTTGAAATTACCATATAAAATTAAAAGCGCTAACAAAAACAAGGACAAAAAGGAAGGCGAACAGGACGAGCGCTTACTCTCATTTGAACATATATTTAAAAGCAGCTTAAGCAAACAACCTCCGATAAAAAAAAATACACTGAATCGCTCAGTGACGTCACTCATCACCATGTGTCAATAAAGTCACTCTCCTTCTGATGCAGAAAAATTGACGGCTGGCTAACGCAGCCTTCAGTGCCCTTTTTCTTTATAGCATGTGTTTCAAGCACTTCCCTTGCAGCTTTTTCACGGGCCCGCCCCACGATCATGGTATTTTGAAAGTTGGGCTGGCACAGACAGTCTCTGCAATGAAGAGGCACGTGTCCTACAGTTGTTTGCTTAGTCAGTGTATTTTTTTTATTGGAGGTTGTTTGCTTAAGCTGTTTTTAAATAAATGTTCAGTTGAGAGTAAGCGCTCGTCCTGTTTACCTTCCTTTTTGTTCTTGTAGTTGTAAGCTCTTTTAAATTTATAAGTCATGAACCAACTCGCCCACTTGGCCACTTTAGTTAAATTACCAGTTTGTGCAAGGTCAGCTAAAGATTTAAATTAATGCCAAGGTTTCTGTCCAGTAATAGAAGTATCTGCCCTCCTATACGAGTAAAAGACAACATGCAGAACTTTATTATTTTCTGTTCTACTGAATTTCAGAGAAATTTGAATACCAGCAGATTTTAATAACAGAACGTTATTAACACCAATCAGCACGCAAAAAAAAAAAAAAAGTGATGCAGCGCTTGATTTGCGGAAATAAAACTGGCTTTCAAAAACAGGAGAAATAGATTCAAATAAAAAAAAATTAACCAAGCCTTTCTTTTGTGTGTGTGTGTGTGTGTGTGTGTGTTTGGTTGTCGGATCGGGACATCCAAACTCAAAATGGCTTCACTTTCCCCGTTCTACGAAATGCAGCTCACCGGACTCGCGACGTCGCAGGGTGCCTCATCTTCGCTCCCGGCATCCATGTCCGAGCCGGCAGAATTTGCTGAAACGCCAAAACCGATGTGAAATTTTAGTTAACACTATGTGAACGACCTGAACCGGCGCAGCACTGTCAAGTGTCTCCAAAACAATGCATTTCACCTGACACTTAGGACAGCTGGTTCGCGTTCGATAACGCACCGTAACCGAGTGGTATCTCTTCGAAGCTGCCAGATCAAGCGCCCAATGGACTAAATCCAGTGAATAATCATGACAGTGTACGGACACAGCTAACAGAATTGCAGAAAAGTTCGAAGCGTGATCTGCGCGATGCCGAGACATCGTCTGTCGTAACTTTTGTTGGCTTCCGACGCACCTCAGGTGTTGAAGATAAACAACTAGCAAATTAAGATATAACGTATACTCACACATTCTAGAGCGTTTCCTTCTTCTTTTTTTCTTATTTACCTAGGCGACAGAGAAAGCCGGCCAACAGGCCAGACCCCGAAAGAAGCACAATCAAGATCTCCAGCTCGCCCGACGACTCGTCTCCGGTCGGTTCGGCAAGCTTCTCGGTCAGATTCAGCCAACGATACTAAGACAGCGTTGAGGCGTTGAGTTGGTTTCGTATACAAAAATAAGTAAAACTACATTAATTAACTGTTTTAACTAAAAGTTAGTTTGAAAAACACATTACAATAAATGAATACCTAGATGCTTTATTCTATTTACTTTATAATTAAAAAAAATAAAGTTGATCTAGCTGCAAAGGTTGCAACGGTTGCACGAGTTGCACGTGTTGCATGATATGAGGGACATCAGCTGACATTCTGTGAAGGTCTGCCGGTTTGCGGCGAAGACTGCGAGTATCTGTTTCTGAAGCAATAACTTATGGTGGTGCAAAGACGTTTATTTTCCCCATCCTGCCTACATTTTAAGAATATATACGTTATGACCTATTTTCTTAGCGAAGTGATACAACAAAAGCGATGGTAGTATCTAGGGAGACTGCCGGGTGACACCTTAACACTGTGGTCCTGTGGTGGCGGGAGGTTGTTTATAATATTTCTTCCCTTTTGCGACTCCTCGCTCTTGGGAGTAGTTTCCTTGGGGTTTTTCGGAGATTGGGACGATCGTGAAGTTAGTGAAGTTAGTGCGCGCACGGCGTATGTATTCAAACCACCGGACGTCATGACGTCTCTTATCGCCGAGATCTTAATGCCCAAGGAGCCATTAGAAAGGGCTAACATCAAAGCCATCGTTTCAAAGCTGTCACGGACTATCGACGACTTGAAAGTAGACGTTCAGAAAGAGCTTGTGTCGAGGTACGATATCTTTCAACCGTACTACCACGACTCGAAACACCTCGCCGTTTGCCTCGACTCGGCCGTGAAGGAAGTGGACTCCGTGCTCAAGGATGTTCAAGACCTTGTCAAACCGCGTCTCGCCCAGACCACGACCGAGTTTGAACTTCTTTCACGTGAGCTCGAATCCCTAGAGCAACAATCTGTCGAGGTGAAAAAATACGCGCGCTTGCACGACTTGCTGGAGAGCGCAGAGGCGGAGTTCGTCGCGGAAAACTTGCTAAAATGCTCGCAGTTTCTCCAAGACGTGGCGGCTGTCATCGACGAGTTGGACGGCGGTCTCGACTCGAAGATGATCGAAGTGCTCAATACGGAACAAGTGATCAGATGCGAGCGGCTCATTTACAAGCTGTCCGAAGTTTGGAAGCGCTACGTCGTGTGGAAGGTCGGCAAGACACCGTACGTCACGGAACTCACTATCTCGACCACTGATGACGAAAGTACCGAAGCGTTTGTGCAGCTCTTGAAGGCATTGCAGCAGCAAAACCAGCTTCGCGACAGGGTGACCAAGCTTGGTCGTTCGTTGCTGAATGACGTCATCACCCCGATGGTAAAATATGAGACTAAGATTACCACGGAACCCAAGTCACCGACGCTTCGCGTGGATTTTGACGAATCCAAGGCGCCCGCCATCATAAATGCGCTGCAAAATCTTTCGACCGTCTTCAACTTTCTTACAAACAGGCTTCCAGACCGCGCCTCAGTTGGGATAGATCTGTTCCAAATGTTGGGAGAGGCGGTGGGTACGCAGTTCTCCAACATAGTTGTCGAGTGTTGCTTGGAACCGGCCGTCCCAAGCGACGCCAGCGGCCTGCACAGCTTTCCCTCTGAAACTTTGCTCAACCTGCACAACCAGTTGGTTGACATCAATTTCCTGTCGGCGTTGAAAACCCCATTCTCTAACTTCACCTCGGACCTCGAGTCTCTGTGCATTAGCAAGCGCAGCCAGACCATTCTTCTCAAGGCACGGGACCTGATGAAGGGCAAGCTGCACGAGACCGTCATGGTTGGAGAGCCGGCCACGACCGAAAAAACAAGGCAGCCAGTCTTGGACGATGGCTTGGACGAAAGTCTGTTTAAGTTTCCAAGGTGCCAAGTCAGCAAGTTCATGGAGGAGCTAGTGGCATTGCTCAAGACGACCCTCAAGGATATGCAAGATGGCAGTGAAGGACCTGCTTTGCAGACTTGGCACATGGGGACTGTGCGTGACATGTGCGAACTGTACAGTGGCATCGTCCCGTTGTATCATCAGCATGCCATCAAGACCATTCCGTTGCAAACGGCTGTTCACCACAACAACTGCATGTATTTAGCACACAGCCTACTCAAATTGACTCCTCAGGCAAACGGAACTACCTTAGTGGATCTCGCCCTAAAGCTTCGTCATCTTGCGGTCGTCCCATTTCTTGAGCAGATGAAGCGACAAAAGCAGTGTTTACTGGAGTTCTTGCAAGAGGCACCAGTTTCTGAAGACAGCGAGGACTTGGAACGTGCACTGAAGCGCTGCCTCTTTCATCTTCAGCAGCTCAAAAGGGCCTGGTGCGAAGTGCTGCCCATGTCGGTCTACTTCAAGGCTGCTGGCACCTTGCTGAACTCTGTGCTTGAACACATCATAGGCAGCATCTTCAGCATGGAGGACATCTCGTCAACACTCTCCCAAGACCTTGCCTCCGTGTTTGAGAAGGCCATTGAGCAGGCAGTGGACATATTTGATGTTCCTGACAGTCCAATGGATCCCAGGGTGGCAGCTCCCAACCATGTGGCCAAGTGGAAGAAGTTCACCGAAATGAAGAGCTTGTTCAGGTTTAGTCTGAGGGAAGTCGTGGACCGTTGGGCAGATGGGAAAGGTCCCCTGGCAGTCTGCTTTACGCCAGACGAACTGAAGAAGTTGATCCGTGCGCTGTTTCAGAACACAGACAGGAGAGCAGCCGCCTTAGCAAAAATTCACTAGAGTGCAGTGCTTCGACTGTTCTTTCCTGCCATTACCAGTTTACAAGCGCATGTTATGTTCTTGTGCTTGAAGGTCTGCCATGCTGTGCTATATGCTATTTTGCTACTTTTTCACATTAAACAGGTCACCCGACTAACCGAAATGACCATGTCACATGTCCTGAATGTTCTGTGTTGATTTTACCATTATAGATAAACAGTGCTGTAGCAACTTTATTATTCACACTTCCCGTGAGCTTAGTGGTGGCTTCCGTTGTATCAATGTCTAATAAGGTTGGGTAGGTGCTTCACTGAATCTACACTTTACAATGCCTGCAAAACTCACTAGGGTGTCTCAATGTGTCATTCAATGCAAAGCGTACATTGGTGAAAGGAAGAAAAATGTTTTATATTTTGTGAGTGCTCCTGCAAACGAAGCATTTTGCAGACCTACACTTGTGTCTTTTATGGCACAGCACACTCATTTTAGATTTTACATAGCTGTTTTAAGTACCATAGTTCTTGCTATCTGTGGCTTTAGCTTCCAGTGACAGGTCAACAAAATCAACTGGTGCATGGTAGTTGAAGCACAGAGTATCCAAGTAAGGGTAAACAGTGTTTTTAACAGACTTTTTTTTGTTCAGGCTGGGCATATACAAGTTCTGTAGGGAAAGATTGCATTCTATCAATCGTGTAGTTGTAAGGCATCATGAAATAGCAAATTATATATTTACCTGCCGCAATACAACACAGTCTGCACCCAGAATGGTGAGAACCAAGTTCTACGTTAAGGAGCCAAACGCTACCACAAGGCCTGCACATTATGTCGCCTTCAATGGATCCTCTAACTAGCCCCAAATGATGAACACATTGAAGCTCATTGAGAGAGAATACCTTTGAGACGTAATTATTGGCAAATTGATACTTTAGACCCATGTTTTAAAAAACTCAGCCTTTCCACTCTGGTGAAGAAGGAAGACCAATGAAGCTGTACTATGGTGGGAATGAAGTAATGGCCGGCCGCAAGTCGGCAAGCCAGAGTGGAAAGGCTGGAAAGGTTGCCGCCATCTGTGAGCGACGATGGCAAGCAGAAAACAGGCAAGCCAGTTGTCTGGTTGCCACCGTCGCTCATAGATGGCGATAGCTGTTCAGAGTGTTGTGTCGACATTCCTTTGCGGACGGGCACGATCCTGGGGAAACTAGCCCTTAACAGCTCCGCTCTAAAAAACTATCTCAAAACTCCGGTCTAAAAACATGCTTTTCGTGTAGCTTCTCGAATTATGAGGCGCTGGAGAAAACCAGGCCTCTGCGTTAAGTCCTTATTTTGAACTCTTTGTTTGCATTCCACCCATTCAAAAGCATGCGGGAAGGGCCTCAGCATGCACCTCGTAGCGCTGCGCCGCAGTGTTTTTCCGCAGCATAAAGGCCGTCCGCTTTCATCTCCGTCACCATGGCAACGAACACCGATTTTCCGAACGCCGTCTGCTAGAGCAGCCGCAGACTGTCGATGCGAAGTGGGGTGAATGCAGGCAAGGGGGGGGGGGGGGGGGGGGGAGGGAGAGGAGAGATAACTCGCTCCGACACTGCGGCGCAGCCATACGAGGTGCGTGCTGAGGCGTTTTCCACAGGCTTTTCTATGGGCACAACGCGAACAAAAAGAGTTTTAAATAAGAACTTAACGCTAGAAGACTGCTTTTCTCCAGCACCTCATAATTTGACGAGCATTACACGAAAAGCGTGTTTTCTTGGCCATCCTGGAACCTGTTTTGTTTATCTGTAACATATGGGTCTAAAGTTTCAAACTGCCTAACCGTAGAATGCCGCGCATCCGCCCATTCCACATTAAGCACCCATTACCAAATTTGCAAGATTTGAGAAAATACGCACAGTACATTTATATGTAAAATTGATGACCGGACAAGCGCCCGTCCCGTACTTTTTGGCGATTATCTCCAAGGTTTGATTGGGCGCTTGCCCGGTATTTGTCAGTATGTGAATACATTCCACATTATGGACAAGATTCAAGCTGGCCCCAAATTCTTCACTTTATCAAACAAACATTGGACTGAGGCATTCATACCGAAACCGGAAAACCACCGCGGAGAATTGTGACATCGTGAACATGTGACGTCAAAGAGCTCCGTTGGCGGGTGTGCGCGGGGAGTAAGAAAAGAAAGTGAAAACCCCATGAACCCCCGATTTTTGATCGGGGGTTTCTCTATAGCAAAAATGAGAAATTCTGAGCATATTGCGCTAAATTTGACAGGCTTTATCTTGGCTAATGGCTTGCACACCAGCCAGCGCATCCGTGCAATCCAATCCAATGGCACATCTGTGCATATGGTTATTGTTGCGTTGGTTTCGCACTGCCCGCGCTGCCGCAGCTCTTCCCGCTAGAGACATTCAGTGACTTATCTTCCCACCTGGCCCTCAGTCACGACGGTCACGACTCCTACCCAGTGTTCCCACCTGAGTGAGTCTCCAGGACTCTCCCTTCCTTTCCAAACAATTTATCTCTTTCTATCTGCCCGCTCTGCCGCACAGTGTAGAAACTGACATTGCTTTGTACGTGTTAATAAGCAATTTTTCACCAAGAGAATATCAGGCAGAAAAAAAATTGTGAGCAAGTTTTCGAACTCAAGATATCACTGAGGCGCGTTTCATTCTCTCAACGATAAGTGCAATAAGCGCGTGCCTTGCGCACGTTGGGAAGCACAAAATCGCGCTCAGCTGTTCGCATCGTCCATTCGTCGAAGGCCGAAGGTTGGTGGTGTTTTGGTTTTTCTTTTCGCTCTCACATCCGGTGGCGTGTTGCTTGGCATTTCGTTGCTTTAACAAGGAATGCGAGAATGGCCTTCGAGAAAGAAAAAAAATAAAAGGTGTGGCTTCTTGTACCGCTGTGTTCTTAAAACCAGCGTGCGTACAGTACACAAACAGAGCTGTCAGTTTGTGTTTAGTCAAAAGCCTTCTCGCGTCTTTTTTTTTTTTTTTTTTGTCCCCTTTCTTTTTGCTTCTTCGTTTGTTTGACCGATGTAAAAGAGGCGCGCAGTTAGTATTCGTGTTTGTCAGATTTATTTTTTTACTGAACTTTTGAGACATTCAGCTCTGTTATCTTTATGTTTACGCCGACGGCTATCACTTGTTTTGCCCAGAGTTCCTATCTGCGCAAAAACAACAAAAAAAAAAAAAAAAATACAATGGGGGTTGTGTAAATGTGCGGGGGTAGCTTTTTGAAAGATCTCGCGGCACACGAAAAATATTTTGGCAAATATATTGGCTGAAAGCAGTGGAGAAATACGTATGCTAGATTACTCGTTTCTTTCCTGAGTCACCACTTTTGCTCGCTCTGATTCAGCAGAATCTGGCTGAAAGCAGATGGCCTCTTGTTTTATTTTTACTTTTGGTCTTTACGAACGAAACGAACCTCACAGTAACGTGTTTGTGCTGTGTTAACCCCCCTTTCAACGACTCGTGTACAAGAAAAAAAAAAAAAAAAGCTTTTAATAGCGCATTAAAAAAAAAGTTTTTTTCTTCTTGTTCTTCACTGACGAAGCACATTTTGAGATAGAACATGACATCTTCCATATCATATCCTGCTGCTACATGTCCCTGTTTTTATCTTTTTTTCTCTCTCTCTCAAAAGGGCAACATCATGACAAATGCAAACACAATCTCCATGATAGCCTACCCTAAATCCCGAGAGATAGCCCACCTAACGTCAAGAGCGAATCTGGTGAAAATATAGAGTGGGCTAACTTTCGGTGTACAATCAAACAAAGTTGGGTAGTGAAGGAAGCAAAGATGATAGACTGTACTTCGCAGTCAGTAACTTTGCTTATATCTAGGGTTCTGCGTTTTCGGTTTCTATTTTTTCAAAATTCGGCATACTTTTTTCGGTGTTTATTTTAAAATTAAATTTTCGGTTTTTTTCGGCGTATATTTATGCCCACAAAAGTTTATCGGCTTTTTTCGGTGGATATAATAAGGACACCCACGGGCACCGGATCAGATGATCCCTGTTGCTCTGATATTTGTGATCACTCAAAGAATAACGGCACAGATACATTGAAAAAGAAATGGACACTTTATTTGGCAAATGTGTGCAACTGTAAAAAAAACAAGAAATACCTGAGAAGCACAAACAAGTGAGATATGAAGCCTATGCTCAAAAAAACATGGAACTTCACTTTCTGTACATCAGGATTACGTTATCTTATTATAGTACACACACACGTACGTTCCCAGGTTCTCCTCGTTGATCCGCACTCTTTCTTTCCTGTTAATATGGCCCTGAGCTTCGAGAATGCCCTCTCAACACTAATACTGGGCACTGGCAGGCTGAAGAAATGAAGCGCTGCCTGAGCCAAAATCGGCCAATCAACCAACTGTGACCGCCAAAAGGGAGACTGTGCGACTTTTTGAAGCTCAACACAACATGCAGAGCTTGCATCTAGTCAGTCTTCCTTACAACGAGTTTGAAAACACGCTCGTACGTGGCGAAGTTATGGGGCATTTCGGGCTTCACGTTCCGATCGATGATGCGCGCATTAAACCAAAACGTCGTGATGACACCCCTGTATCCCATACATTCGGACACGTTTTGATAGACACTGTCGTTCCACTTTTCCGCCACGGCTCTGCGGTACGACTGAAAGGTCAAAGTGACCTTTTCCGGTTAAAACTGAATTTTAGAAAATGGATTTGACGTACATTCATCGTTTTTTATCGATTTAAATAAAATTGCCGAACCTAAAAACTGACCTTTTTCGGTTAAAACCGAATTTCCGAAAATGTATTCGGCGTACTTTTATCGGTTTTTATCAGCTTAAACCGAAAACTCCGAACCCTACTTATATCCCACCATAGCTATCTAGCTGCATTTATGCCTAGGCAATCATTGATCCCCACATTACTATTACGAGGGGTGGGCTGTCTTTTGGTGTTTAGAAGGATATAGCAAATTAAGCCAAAAAGAGGGGTGGGCTCTGTTTTGGGGGGTGGGGCATCTCTCCGGATTTTATGCTAGAAGTTTTTTAGTTTGTGTTCGGGACGTTGCTCGAGAGCCTTTGTTGCATTGTGACATAAGGTCTCAGTATTTACTTCAGCCCTTGCCCAAATTTTTTTTTTTTTTTTTTTAAGTTTATGTTTTTTTTTTAGTTGATTGATTAGTTATGCCCAAAGCATCAGCATGCTTTCCCTCTGTTTAATGCTGCAATCATAACGTCACTTAGCATCCATGATGTTTGCTTACTATGGGGGGATGCATGGCTGCTGCATTTTGTTGCATAGGGCTTCATAAATTGAGTTAACGACAGACATGGTACTGAAAACCGGTCTTTCTGTCCAAGTCTATCGCCAGGAGATTATGGCAACAAAGCCTTTATCTGTTGCGGTTCATTTGAACAAAAGGGGAGAGAATGCCCTGTGTTCTTACCGTTCCTCAAGTCGGCAAAAGTCTAATAACCGGAGAGGCACTTGCTGCGTGGCAGTATATTGACCTTCTTAGATTGCTCATCAGTGTAGCCAAGCCTCTAATGCAGTCTAGACGCACCTGCATGGGAATACATCGCAATTGAGGGAGCACATTCAAAAGATGCCTTCATAAAAGTGAATACTATGTTCGTAATTTTTATCATACATGTGAAACATGTATATACTACGGGAAGTTGGGCGAGTTGGTGGTACATTTTATTGGTGGAAAAGAAACGGCGCCAAAAAACTGAGAATGAGAAGATGAAGTGCACATTTTTTGTTCTTGGTGCTGTTTCTTTTTTTTTTTCTTTTTCTATATTTAGCTTTGAAAACGACGCATAGTAATTTTTTGATATATGAATAGCTGTACAGAGTTTCACTCTTCCACAAACCTTTTATGCCGTGATGCAAATTTCAACAAAAAAAGTTGCACTGGGCCAGGTAAGAAAAGGCATCCATGTTTAGGGAACCATATGCACTGAACACATTTTTATCCCACCTCTCTTAGCTTGGCGTGGCATGGCTTCGGAGAGGACGGGGCCGTTCCCGCTTCTGGAGCTCGGGTCGACAGCAGACCTCGACAAGTGGCTCATCTTCAGCAACCTGAACAAAGCCTTTGTGTCGACGCTACGGATGGCCTGCGTCTTCGGCAGTTCGGGCAACGAGGCGCTGGTCGTAACCAGCAACGATGACGTCTACGCGCTCGGTTCCAACTCCAGTGGCTGCCTGGGCCTGGGTGACACTCACGGAAGTCTGGAGCCAAGAAAAGGTCTTGTTTGCTCTTTTTTTTTTTTTTTTTGGTAATGCATTCTTTATGGTGGCACGTTTTTTTTAGGAAAACTGCTCGCTGGTCTGGAAGCTTCAGCGGTTCTCACCCTAGTAAACTTTGCCACCATAAGCAAGTGGTGCTGGTCAGAGTAGGAGTAAGAAGAAAAAAAATTAAAAGCAAAAAACAAGTTTTTGTGAAAAATTTTGATAATGTTTTTTTAAAGCAGATTGCACAACATTTCAATTATTCCGAAATAATACGACGCTAGGTTTCAAGCGTAGACGGCGTTCTCGATTTGACGAGGCCAGGGGGATTTCACAAACGAGTAGAAGCATCCAGCGACTTTCCACCGTGGCTTCTTCGAACCCATATCCTTCCGCTGGAATCTCCGAGCAATCTACACTGGTTGCAGATTACAATATGCACTGGTTGCAGAGACACTTTTGATCTCGGAAATATTGCAAAACCTTTGCTCTAGGGAAATGCAGCTTTAGGGCCAGCTCTTAGATAGTTCCAGTGTGCCAGTGTGTTTTCTTGTCGCAAGATATCACGAAAGGTCGTAATGCACTCAGTCGTAAGCGGCCACAAATGTGTAAACCAGCCGTAAAGATTGTTAGCGATGCGATCTTGTGCCCTTCGGACGCCTCCGCAACTGTTTGCATCGTCTCCTCGCGTCGCAGTGGACGCGCTGTGCCGCAAGGGCATCCAGGGCCTGGCCTACGGGAGCGGACCCCACGTGCTGGCGGTCACGCAGTCGGGAGACCTGCTGAGCTGGGGTCACAACGGCTACTGCCAGCTGGGCAACAACTGCAACACCCAGGGCCTTGTGCCCTCCTCCATCGTGGTCACCATGCACCACCAAGTTGCGCACGTGGCCTGCGGGTCGCACCACTCCCTTGCCCTCACCTGTGCGGGAGAGGCAAGTAAAATTCTGCCAACGAGGAATTGTGGCTGCAAAAGGAAGGCAATACTCTCTGTTGTTTACTGGTCACTCTGTGCGGAGAGCAAGGCATCTGATTCTTGCGCAGGAGTTGCGGTCATGTCAGAATGACACCGAGCTCTGGTTGGCTTTGATTGAAGGGATTTTGGGTAGACCAATGCCTTGAATTTCACCCCCTATTTTTTTCCTTCGGCCAATAAGTGCTCGGTGTTCTGACATCATCACAACCCCTGTGCAAGAAGCACATGAACTTGCGCTCCGCATAATCTCGTTGCCAGAATCGCGAGGAACTCAGTCGCTCGCATTCAGACATGTAAATCTGTGAACTGTCCTTAAACATTCAAACCCAGTATAGTTTCGTGGCCCCTTGACGAAACACATGCTATGACCGAGCGACGCAATGTGGGCGATTTACTGGGCTCTTTGGATGTCCGTTACGAGCATGTCGTATGCTTCCTGAAGAGAAATTAACTGGAATGGCCCGGTTTAGCAAGCACACTCAATAAACCGAACCGACCGGTTGGGATGGACTAGTTAGTTTCCGAAAGTTTATGTTCTTCGATCGCTCCCAACCATTGCCGTTGCTCTTGCAGGTGTATGCATGGGGCCAGAATAACTGTGGCCAGGTTGGGTCGGGCTCAACCACAAACCAGCCTACCCCCCGCAAGGTGACCTCGGGTATTGGTGAGTGGACTTAGTTTTGGTTTCCCCTACCTCATTGAAGAGTGACAGACCGATTTCACCAGCCAGTTTCCCAGGCAAAAATTTTCAGCTGGGATCCAACTGTCCCAGTTCGAGCGGGTTCCAGTTCAAGTGGGTTTCAGTTCCCAGTTGGAGTTGGTCTCAGCTTGAATTGGTCCTAGTTACCGCTTGTGCCAACTCCAGCAACAACGAAACACGACACAAAATGGAAGGTTCTCAAGTTTTTATTTTTAAAAACTTTAGCCACTGCTTGCAACGATTGAATCACCTTAGTTTATGCCAGATGAAGGAAGATCGGCTGCTGGCGTCTGTCAGCCTCAGTGAAGACTTCTTCAGCTTCTCTCCGCATCGCTTAAAGAAGGGTGCTCGCCCATTTTCCTGCATTCTGCAGGTGAATTCCTGATATACGATGCGGTAGCACTCCCACCTTGCAATCCAACATTTCTAATTGCTTGTGTCACAACGAAGCATTTTCGAAGTTGACTTCCCGCCATTTTCGCCACTGTGCTCTCCGCGGCGGTTATCTCTTCCGTCTGGTTTTCCCTGGATGCCCTCCAATCACTGAACTGTATCTTTCTATCCTCGAAGTTCACCGCTGCCACCATGGTGTGTTTACAGTTGGGTCCAAAAAAGCACAATACACCAACTTAGGCGGTGGCTCCCCTTCTCTATCGACCACCTCGTCCGGCATTGATCTGGCCCGCGTCTCATGTGCAGCACCATCTGTCGACGGTGCATACCACTAATCCGCACACGCAGGCCACGGCAACCGGCTATGTCCGATTGCCCAAAAAATAAAATTATTCCTTAAAAAAAATAGTGTAGGTATTTAAATAAATGTTTTAAGGTATTTTATATATGTACATAAATGTTCATTTAGGTAAACACATTTTATGCCACTAATCATATTTTCCAATTAAAAAAAATTATGTAGCTAATTAAAAAAGAAAAATTTTATAAATGCATAAAGGTATCTATTGATTAAAAATGTCCCTATTTTATGAATCTAGAAATGTAATTATCTTTAGTTTTCTTCATTAGCAAAAATCTATACACTCCCAACTTGTCAAAATTGTCGCCCCACGTGAACTGGAAATGGGAAAACCATTGGAAGTCCGACTGGGAATCACTCCAGCCAGTTAATTCTTTAACTGGTCCCAGGTTACTCCTACTCTTTCCCCAACTGGGCATGATCGAACCAGTTGACTCTCAATTGGGAATGGTTCAAACTGTTGACGTATCAGCTGGTCCCAGTTAGTCCCAGCTGTTTCCCAATTGGTGCCAGGTAGTCCCAGTTGAAACCAGTTAAGATGCCAACTGGTGTTTGTTAGAAATTTTTGCCTGGGTTTGCTATTCCACTGCTGGTATGTGTTTGAAACTGCGTCGAGCTATTTCGGGCACTGACACCTGCGAAACAAAGATGGGGTGTTGTCACGCGGAACAATTGTGAAATTGGTCTTTTGGTTTGTGTCCAAAAAGTCGGACGGCCAGTAAATTTTGTGTATGTAGAGCGGTGCAGTGGAATCTATCGCGTAAATTTTAATGCAGATGTGTTTTTTTTTTTTTTTTGAATGAGCAGATTGTATATTTTAGTTGCAACTTCAGGTACAACTGAATGTAAGATGTGATTAATGTGATGTCTTTTGACGTCTGACCAGACATGTGCGAACAGGGGATTTAGAGTATAAAGCAACTTTTGAAGCAAATAGTGGTTTTGGCCAAATATTCTGTAATAGAATATCAAATCATTTTCTTAAGCCTTCTAACTAACTAGAAAAGAAAGAAAAAAAAAAAAAAAAAAAAGAATGTAACGCTGTCAAACAAGGAAAGAGAATTCCTTCAACAGACAGTGAAGGGCCCACATGAGCCTGGATGAATGAGCCACTGTCATTCACGGGGCTGGTCGTAGGTGCACAAGTCCGCGACGGCGGATCATTTGGTTCTTTCTTTCTCTTTTTTTTTCTTGTTAGTAAACATAGTTGTGAGTGGCACTCTTTTCTGTCCTGTTCTTCTTCTATCTACTTTGTGCGCTAAATACCTCAATATGTTAGACTACCGAATAGCCCAAATGTCAACGTTACTTCTCTACCGCACCGTGCAGTAGCTTAAAGGGCCAGTGCAACAATTTTTATACTCTGGCCAATTAACTGCAAGAATTAATCTCTGTCATCTATGGCACAAAGAACAGAAAACCATATTTTCTTGCGCACAGTAAATTTTATTAAAAGAAAACGAAACAAATCAAAGGTCAAAGTGCCTCTCAAATCTCCACGTCGACTTTCGAGTGACATACTCTGGGGGATCACCTGGTTTCCCGTTGGCTTCTCTCTTCAGAGACCACAGCGGCTTCCTCTGTGACTGTCGACTTTTCAAGGCTAAGCATCGTTAAAAGTCGCGGCGAGCGATCGACACAAAAAAAACGGTTAGCCACAGGCTGACAGAGCGTAGCAGCGGAGGAGGTCAGGTTTTGTTGACCTCTGCATGTCCCCCAGAGATGTCACTGTGGTTCCCATAACCGCCACACGTGGCTGCAGATCTTATTTTCTTCTTTTTGAGATAAAAAAAAAAAAAATTGGGTTGTGTGTATGTTTATACAGCCTTGGTCTGCCTCAACAAGCGATAAGTCTGTCAGCTGTAGATGGGAAATTTAGCCAGTGCATCTAGTACAACCGCTAGCCTGGGGCCTTGCACCACGTAGTAGTGATACACAACCGCACGCCGGGACGATGCTCTTCCAGATCGAAACGGGCAGGGGTGGGAATTGAGCCCACGATCCTGGGTTCTGCAGCATGAGCTTTTGCTCCATATGCTCCGAACTGGTCTGTTCCTCTTTTGGTGATTATGCAGCAGAATAAGTTTTTTGGGGGCAAGGTGACACGATTTTGGTCACTTGTACCTAGATAAATAACATAAACATTACAAACTGCAAATTCTTTCAACATTAAAATCATTCCACTACACCTTTAAACCTGGGTTTTCAATTAAAAACCCTACTGAACTCGTGTAGGTTTTTCCTCAGCCTCCACTTGTCCATTTCTAAGCCAAGCCTACATTGGGTTGGCAAGTGAACAAACTATTTGACATAAAATTCAACCTATAGAAATGCCTAGCTATACCTTATCTAGGGGATTTATAAGTATCCTCGCCATATGTGAATATATTTTCTTCAGTCACAAATGATTAACGCAGGTTGACAGGACGGCCAGTTCTCTATTTTAGAGAAAAATAAAGAATTTGAATTTGAATTTTGACACTTTCATTGCAATGTAGATATCAACATTCACAAAGTTTCAGTTTCTTTGTTAAATGCACCAGTGCGTGCATGCGCCATCCCGCTTCTTACCACAGACTGGTGCATTGCGGTAAAGCAACACCCTTAGAAGATTTCTATGCGGGTGTTGCTTTTCTGCAGTGCACTGGTGCTCGGTAAGAAGCACACTCAAAGGGACTAACTTGCTGCAATCAACACTTAGAAATATAGGAATATCACAGTTTACCTCGAAGCATATATTTAATAGAGTATTATTCGAAGACACTATTTGAAAATTTAAGTGTCTGCAAAACCCTACATTTGATCATGAACCAGTTATTTTCTCTAAACTGGGAGGTATAATCTCATCTGTATTGAATGCAGTTCGGTGGAGCAAGTGATGACAATATCTGTTCCTCTCTGACAGGTGGAAGACGTTGCATTGGAATCGCCTGTGGCCAAACATCATCCATGGCCGTCATGGAGAATGGGGAGGTATGTCATCTTATCACTGAATTTTCCTCTGGGAAACATGGCAAGCAGAAGCATTTACCTCTCAAAATGTTTGTTGAAAGTTTGTCTAGCTCTGGCATTAGGACACATTATTTAAAATAACACAAGAATAAGATTGTCTTCAAAAATCTGTTCATTTAGAATGACCAGTGTGATGGGAGGTGGCATCACCTGTGTGGTGGTTTTCCTAGCCCGTTCCAGGAATAAGTACATTACATAATGTCTCTAGTTTGTGGGAATGGGAGATGGTCCACGTGCAATTACGAGACAGCATCTACAGTGCAACCCGCTTATAACAGTACCAGATATAATGATGTACTGCTCATAACAATCAGTTTCTAAAGTTTCTAGACTGGAAATGATCAGTTTCTAGTCCAGATACAACGATAATCGGTTATAACGATTGAACTTTTGGGTTTTTTCATTATCATTATAAGTGGGTTTTACTGTACACATAAGACCTACGCATTCACATGTACAGTGCTAATCACACTAGTCTATAACGCGCGAGCGTGCGGCTTTCTCCGGAGAGCGCTAGACTGGTGGCATTCGCGGAAATTAAGCTAGTCACGTGGCACAACATGGAACAGCCCTCTTGAGGGGTGTCATCCTGCTCACTCTATCAGCTGGCGGCGAACGCGGAAGGCTGCTTGCACGTTTTTTACAAACACCATTGCTCGAACAATAAACAGACTGAAGCATGAAGTCGTATCAACAATGTCGTCATCAAAAAACAAAAATATATCATAAAGCACTTTATTTTTATCGCTTATCAAGCTGATAGAGTGGGCAGGACACCCCTCGAGCGGGCCATTCTATGTTGCGCCACGTGACTAGCTTAGTTTCCGCGAATACCGCCAGCCCAGCGCTCCCCAGAGAAAGCCGCTCGCTCGCGCGTTATAGACAAGTGTGATTAGCACTGTACATAAACATGAGTTTATATGTGCATGTGAGAACTAAGACTCGCTTGGCTTCTGCTGTAGTGAGTTGTGTTGTCTCCGCTTTCTACTGTGTACTACACATATTTTATTAATCTCCCTCAAACCCATTGTCATCTATCTATGCTGGACTAAAAAACCGAGTTTGCTTACATAACACCTCCGAGGGGCCACATTCTTCGCATGTCTGGTTCCTGCACCCAACCACTCGGTTGCTCAATGAACCATTTTTATGCTGGGCTAGAAGGCGAGGTGCGGAGATCACTCGTTTTTGCCAGGTCTCCCGCTTCATGCCTCCTGTGTCACTATCACCATTATGCTTTCTGTAAGTGGGCAGCAGCGCCTCGATGGCAAAGACCAGTTAATTAGTCAGATTGGGTTCTAAATGAAGTGGAGCAGGCAAGAAATATGTTGCGGCTTATAGGCATGAATTGCGAGACCGCCCCCGCTATTGTTACACCTCCTCTTCTGGCACACCATACCACTCAGAACAAGAGTGCAATTCTTCCCTTGTTTTCCGGTTTCCGTGTCTTAAACGGTGCCGTTGCCTCGCAGGTGTTTGGCTGGGGTTACAATGGCAACGGGCAGCTTGGGCTCGGCAACAACGTCAACCAAACCAGTCCCTGCCGAGTCACCAATTTGCAGGGGGTCGTCGTCCAAAAGGCAAGGCGGCTTTGGCTCGCTCGTTCTGCCTTTTGAGTTTGTGCGATGCTTAGAGCTTTTCAGAGTTGCTGGAAAGCTGTGCTTTTCATTGGGCAAGTATCCAAAAGCCAGCGACAGCTGGTAGCAATGATTCTACAAAACGATGTGACCTTTGTGGTATTAAAGGCAAACGAGTTCACGACCCAAGAAGTGTCACCCGAACATCAAGTTCGTTTTTTGTTTTGCCTTGAAGTTACCTAATAGAAAAAAGAAAAAGCTTTTCCACGCTTGTTAAATACTATGGAAGAGGGTTGTTTTTGTTTCTCTTTTCACTTTGACAAATTAGCAGTTCCCACAAATTGCCTTGGATTCGTAAAGCATGAAAGAGGAATTGGAAGTATGATACGACTTCATTTGAACACAGTAAATAGGTTGTTTTGTAGTCATGTGCGAGTAGTGGATTTTGAGTTGAAAGTGAACTCGAAGCGAAGAATAATTTTGGCAGATATCGAATAGTCGTTTCTCTAAGCCTTTAACTACTGCACCATGCTTAAAAACAAAAACCCAGCTGAACTTGTGAAGGTTGTTCCCAAGTTTTCACTTGTCTATTTCTAAGCTAAATTATTTTAATCTAACTAGCTATATTTATCGACTGTGGCCTCAGAAAGTTCAATGCCTACATTGTGTTGGCAAGTAAATGATGCTTTTGACATAAAATTAAACCTCCGAAGCATTCAGCTATACCTAATCGAGGGGATTTATAAATATTTTTGCTGTATACAGGTACCTTATCTCCATTCACGAATAATTAATGCAGGTTGTCGGGGCATCTCAGCCTATACTCTGTTCACCCTTAATTATGCTAAGGCTAGAAGCTCCGCCATCAGTGTGAGCTTGCTGGCTCTCGCAGTGCACTTTTGTGCTAGCAGGGGCGGAAAGCTCATGCTGAAGGCGGAGCTTCTAGTCTCAGCTTAAGGGCAAACGGAGTATAGCCGGTTTAATTTTTAAATCTTTTATGCAATGTAGATATTCACAAAATTTCCATTTTATTTTTTTACTACATTAGATGCATGCATGCATTATCCTGCTTTGAAAGTCTGCTTTCCTCGTAAGCACACGGCTGCAACACTTGCACTTTTCAAAAAGTTGATCGCAACAGGTTAGCCCCGTAAAGCACGCTTCTTACCGAGCACTGTTGCACTGTTGAGAAGCAACTCCCGCGGAAGCGAGCTCCGCAAGTTTTGCTTCTCCGCAGTGTACCAGTGTTCGTTAAGAAGCACGCTCCACAGGGCTAATCTGTTGCGATGAACACTTCCAAAAATGTGAATGTTGCAGTTTGCCTCGAAGCAAATATTAAATAGCGTCTTATTTGAAACTACTATTCAAATATTCGCAAACACTATCGTTTTGTTAATCTCGAACTGGACGCAAAAACAAGCTGCTTCAAAAAGCATGCTCGTGTCCCTTCCATTTTTTTTTTTTTAATAGAAAAAGGTGTGATTGAAACCAAGTAAAAAATCTGATTCAAACCAGATACTTTACAGGTCCGACTTATTCATGTTGCTTCAGTTATTATAGCTGTTTTCTTTTTCCCTTCCGCACTGATTGTCGCAGGTCGTATGTGGTTACGCCCACACCATGGCCCTGTCGGACGAGGGTGTGCTCTACACCTGGGGCGCCAACTCCTACGGGCAACTGGGCACGGGGAACAAGGCCAACCAAGTCAGCCCTTTCAGAATGCCCACCGAGATCGGGAGGTGGGTGCGCTCTTTCCACCAGTCCTCTGCTGCCGCTTTAGTCTTTTGCCTACCCTAGAGCCATAGAATGAGCTGGAGTATCAACACTCCATTCCTCAATCATCTTGTGGGCGCCGCCATCTTTGGTACTTTGTGCAGATGAGGTGCAATTGGCTATAATTAATGTTTAAATGTGCAATTTCCCAAGCTTTAAATGCTACGGTGTTGGGAAGCTGTTGCTGTCCATCTTAACATTTCTGGAGAAGGAAAAGCATGTTTTGTGACTTCAGATAAAACTTTGGATAACTGGCAACCTTGTTTCCAAGCACCAAGGTGGCTGAAATGTTGCTTTACGGTATAGCTTATTCAGTGGCCTACCTGTTTTCTCCAAATGCGTGACACCCAATCTGCCCTCCACCAGTTGTCTCAGATTCATTAATGCAGCACCCGCAACAACGTCGCTTTGTGCTCTGTGGTTAAGTGCTTGCTGATTGCGAACGTTCGCCAGGTTCGTTTCACATCATCCAAACCGTTACTCGTGGAAGGCATTGCTAAGTTGACTAGCCCACAGCTCGTGCTGATGGTGACATATGAATATTTCCTCGTAGTTTAGATCTTCCTGTAGCACTGAGATTTCGAAACTGTCCAATTCGGACCTAACTTCCTCCTTGTAATGTTTGCTGTGAAGAGTGAAATTATGTTGTATGGATGTTTAAACAATGGGAAGTTGTCTACCCTGAAATGGCATCTGGTATCTGTGTCCTAGATGCACAACATGGTCAGTGCAATACAACCTAACCTGTGGTTTATGACGACGTGCTTCGCGTGATTGACCGTGTACGATCTTGTGCTGATGTGACGCCCTTCCAGACCAAAATAGGCTGGGGTGGGGTTGAAGCCTATAAATGATTCCGGAGTTCTGTAGTGCAAGCCTTGTGTATGGAGAGCATGAAAAGCTCTCGCAATTATGCAAAACGGTGTCTTCTGCACATGGAGACGTGAGCATGAACTTTCAGAACGTGATAAGTATAAACGAGGATCATAACCAATCACTTGGCAACATTGAGAATATGTGGAGCATGCACATTGACGAGAAAGCCAAGTATGCACCGCCATTGGTTCACATTTGAGGGATTCAAATGCTCGTGAACGCATTTATTTGGCAGGAAGACTTATGATGTCTGGAATTGGCAGATTGACCTGCACGGCATATATACTAGAAACTTTCACGGAAATTTTTTGCCTCTGTGAATTGTGATGGAGCATTGAGGTAATTTATGAAAAAACTGTCTCTTCGGTATATGACAAAGGTGCTCTAAATGCATAGCATTTATAAGTCTCCCACGACTCCACGGTGTCGCATGGCATCGGTGTTGCGTGACGTCGCAGTGCCACGTTACATTATAGTGTTACATGACATCAGTGCTGCGTAAGAAGTGACATGAGAGGGGACACAAAAAACCTGAGAGGGGACGCAAAAAACCTGAGAGGGGACGCAAAAAACCCGAGAGGGGACGCGAAAAACCCGAGAGGGGATGCAAAAAACTTGAGAGCTGGCCCCGTAAATGCGACACATTTGACACTCTTTGTATTGCCCTTCCCCCTCACTGCTCTTTCACGTTTCCCCCACTTCTCGTTGGTGCGAACAGGGTGGTGGAGATTGCAGCGTCTCACTACAACCACATCTCGGCGGCGGCGACGCAGACGTCGAAAGTGTACATGTGGGGCCAGTGCAGGGGCCAGTCGGTGACTTCGCCCACCGAGACATCGTTCCACTCCATCCACGACGTGTTCGCCAGCTTTGCCTGCCCTGCGGTCACCTGGAAGCCCATGGCGCTCGGTACGACGGTCTTCTTGCTTTTGCCTCATTGTTCCAGCAGTCCCAGTCAGAGGTGCCGGTACGGCAAAACTCGTTCGTAGCAAACTGGCTGGCGACACGGATGTGTGTCTTTATCATTGGTAGTTTGAGAGTCATGAAATGCGACAAATAGGCTAAGGGAGGCGTCGGCAGCCTGTGAACCGGGTGCGGCCTGCGAGGCGGTGTTGTGCATCCCCCCCCGCCGTGCCACTGGGAATAACCTCACTCCCCTCCAACGCACTAGCACTCAAGGACACTCCGAACAAGCTCGCGAGATTTGCCGGATAGGGTGTGCTAATCAGCTTATCCCCAAAAAGACAGTAAGCTGAAGAATGCATTTGCAGTGAACAGCTTCATTGATTTTTCCGCCGGCCTCCCCGAATCGAAGTTTTGAAATCTATGAAATCTCGCAGCAGCCTGGATCAACATGTTTGCCACATCACGTATATCTGCAAACATACTTTTTCAAGATAAAGATGGTCAAGTCAATAGTGGGTCTTGCAAACGACAGACGAGCAGCTCCAAAATGTCTGCGACTTTCAGTTAGGGGTTTTGACGCGAGTGTTCGTATTTTGGCAAGCAAGCAGGCAATATTGAATGCCCAAAATCTTATTGAGAGGTGACTCTGTCAATCTTACATTATGTGTGCCTGAATCAAGAGAACATCTGGTCATGTTGCTTCGAGTATGTGACAGTGTTTTATTTTTTCTCTCTATGGGCTGATTTGCCCCCGCCTCAAAATCTCCGTTTCTCCGCTTTGCAGAGATTTGGTCCACAGCAGCAAACTGTAGCTTACAACGAGGGAGCACATAACTAGACTAAATGTTTTGCAGTAGTTGCGAGACCAAGTGTACGCACCATCTACGAGAAGTGGTCGCTTGTAACGTCAGAATTATTTCAAACCCACAGTGAAATGACATAAAACTTGCAGATGAGAAGGGTTTCTGGGCTTCCCGAGAGGTGGCCCCAGTGTGACCTCTTGTCATAAGCCGTCACGAGTGCTTGAAACACAGTTGGTTAAACGCATATCTGAACTAGCCTTGATGCCGCTAGAGCCTGCGGAAATCGGGAGCCTTTAGATGTCCCGTTAAGCTTGTCAATATATATTTTTTTTGTGTGTGTTTCATTACAGACATCTGTCATTCCAACAAGGTCAGTGACAGTGTAAAGATGGCCTTCAATGATCCTGTAAGTACTCTTGTATTTCCCTCGTTTTGCAATTTTTTTTTTTTTTTTTTTTTGTAAATTGCAATTAACAGATGCGTAGAAAGATTTGTGGCATGATGAGGAGAAAAGTGTTAGAGATTTTAGTTGCACTGTACGTATGGCTGAATATACTTTAAAATATTTAGTCAAGAAAAATAAAGAATGTTCAAAAAACTCTAATAGCAATAGAGACTATGCAACCACCTGTCTGAGCCAACCCCTTGCTTGTCGTTTTGCAATTGCTTTTTTTCCGCACTTGACATTGCGGTGGCGATGTGCACCTGTTGTTCATGTACAATACAGTTTCTGGGTGGAGAGTTGCAAACGAGCCAAAATCGGTCCTTTTTTTTTTAGTAGTTTTTGGGGGAAGGCCAAGAGAAGTGAAAAGCTTCTTTTTTTTTTTAAATTATTGCTGAATTCTAGTAACTGTTTCATCTTTCTGTGTGTTTTGAATATTTTCACTGTTCCTTTGTTTCACTGCGAATGAGTGTTCCTACCCTTTTGACTAGGTTGTTTTTCCTCCTTGTTGCTTTTCTCCTTTTTTCCTCTATGCCCTCACACAAAGAAGTTCGGCATCTGTCATTTCTACACACTTGTATGTATATGGCCAGAAATTTCAGAAATGCTTAAGAATTGAAACTATTGCATAATACTTTATTACCAATTTATTAGCTTCAAGCAAAACTGAAACTACTCTAATGCTCTAAATTTGCAGAGCTTTTTGTTTTGTTTTTACATTGTCTCGCTTATTTTTAAAGTTTAATTCAGAAGCTACAAAAGCATTTTGTTTTCTTCTTATTTTCTCCAGAGCACCAGCGACCTCAAGTTTTGCGTGGAAGGGAGGCTGATACACGTGCACAAGGCCATCCTCAAAATTAGGCAAGTTGTCAGTTTCAAAATGTGGATGGTGATACAGTAGCAACTTTTACCCAAGAAATGTTTTTGTTTTTTAATAATTTGCATAACATAACTTTCTGCCTTGTCCTTTGATTTTAGGTGTGAACACTTCAGGTCCATGTTCCAGTCTCATTGGGAGGAAGATGACAAAGAGTGAGTCTTGATTTTCAGTTTTCTCACGTGGAGCACCACTCCTGAATTTTGAATCTGTCTTCTCTGGAAAACAGAGCGAGCCAAAATTGATTGCCTTAAGGATGCAGTTGCATCTTCACGGGGGCTTTCACAACACCTCAGTCGAGGTAGAGGGAGCTTCCTCGGGAGACAGCGACCAAGAGTTGTGTTCTTTTGCGAATACAAAAACTCTTGTCCGAAGAGAAATGGCAAAACTGCAAATGCCTCCAAAGTGTATAGTGCCATAGTATATCCAGCTTTCATTTTATATGCTCGGATAAAACTCGGAAGTTTGAATTACAGGCAATAGCTGTGACTACGACTGAGTTGCACCGTAATTGCTCGGTCTGGTCTTGGTTACCCATCCACTCAGTACGCGGCCGGAAACGTTCATCGCTCGCTCATGCTAACAAACTGCGTGCAGTGAGTCACCTGTCACACGAGGTCGGAGCATCTTGCAGGTTTCAACGAGACTGCACTTTTGACTCGATGAGACGAGCTCCAAAGAATAAATCCGCAGGTTTTCACCAGTGTGCAACACAGTGACAGAGTGTAGTACCACCCGCTTTTATGCATATCCACTCTTTATATACTCAATCACATACAGCCTCGTGGTCACCGAAGTATGTTTGAAAGAGAACACACTGTGCGCTGCCTAAAACTATATCTAAACTGGTACTGTTACGAGCAATATGTCGCTTCATATCTGATAGCACAGACAAACCGAGTTCTGTTTTCTACGGTGAGAAATATGTAGCGGCATCCCCTGCCCACCGTAGGAGTAGAAGATACCGCCATTTGGCAAGAGACAAGTACCTTGCCTGGCGTCGCAGTGCAGGGCCCGTGCGAATGCACAAAAAGCGGAGTTTTCCGTGTGGCACAACGCCGACTCCATGAACGCAGCGGTATAACCTTGTCGCAACAGATCTGGTTTCGGTAGACACTCGGTTACAACGTACCAATCTGTCAAGTTTGGTTGGTCAATTCCCGTCTATATATATGCCATGGAGTCTACTTCACTCATTACAGATTTTGTTATAACATTCATTTGGATAAAACTGACTATATTAGGGTGTTTGTACTAAGTAGTTCACTCTTCCATTATAACACACTTCAGCGGCAGACATTATTTCGGACACTTACGCTGCTTTGGTTTAATAGCAGTGACGTCCGATTTGCGAACTGTCGTCATTGCACTTGGCACCTCTCAGGCCTCGTACAACCCAAAGGGCGTGGCAATGACAATCATCGGCACAGCTCAGTAATAAAAAAAAAATAAATTGCTTTCTTCAAAGTTCAGCTGTTTCAATAAACCATTTCTTCTCTAACACCCATTCATATTTTGTCAGTCTTGCTGGTTAGAACACTCAAGTCATAATCCATCTCAAAGCCTCTAGTACTAGTATCTGCATATTCTGCATACTCCTTTTACTACAGACCAAAATCTTCATCACTACCGAGGTCTGTTATATAATGAGTTTGTACCGTATCCATATAAAAAAGTCACACCTTCAAATATGACCGACGTATTAGGGGCAAAGCTCCTTTGGGTCTAGCCTTGTCCGGCGTCCGTGCTCACATTGATTGCCATTCCATCAGTCTTCTTTAAAAAAGAAACAAAATGTTTGCGCAGTCGACAGGATTCGAACCTGTGCGGGGAGACCCCAATGAATTTCTAGTCCATCGCCTTAACCACTCGGCCACGACTGCGGGACGAGTAGGGGGCTCCGAGATGTGCTAGTAACTCAAGAGCTGGGGATGTCATACATGAAACGTTGCATGTAGCCACTCAACGTCTATACAGGAGAGGGCGCTGCAGTCAAATGCATATATAATCGCGCTAAACTTTGCATGCATTGGCTCAATGTTTATAGACGAGAAAGCGTTGCGGTCAAATGCTTAAATGCGTATATACCACGTTCCATACCACGCATTCTCTTTCTGACATGGACCGTTGACTTAAGCGGTGGAGATGCGTTCCCACAGCTTCTAGCGGATCCAAACTGATCCGCTAGAGGAACCACTGACTCTGCATTTCACCGACCATAAAGCAGTAATAATGAATTCGAAACGCAACCCAGAACTCAGCACTACCTATGAGCAATAAAAAAAAAATCGGCACCATCATCACTACCTATGAACAATAAAATCAGTATCATCAGCACCACCAGAGCTTCTCCCCAATCAACATCATTCACCACGTGGAGATGCGGTCATTTTGTTTCTTCTGTCTCCCCCCCCAGCACGGTGGACGTGACGACATTCCCGTACAGCGTTTACAAAGCATTCCTCGAGTATCTGTACACTGACGAAGTGCAGCTGCCGCCGGAAGACGCCATCGGACTTCTGGACTTGGCCAATTCCTACTGCGAGACTCAGCTCAAGCGCCACTGCGAGCGGATCATCAAGAACGGCATCCTGGTGGAGAACGTGGCGATGCTCTACGCGGCTGCCATCAAGTTTGATGCCAAGGTAATGCTCAGGTACACAACGGGAGGGTATGAGGGTTGCCCGCTTTAGACCGTCTGTTCCGTCCATAATATGTGCACCGCGGTTGAAGTTACCGAGCCTCCGAAATGTCACCCGTTGAAGGGACAGTGACACCCCCCAAGAAAAATGTTTTTATTTTTTGCCAATCGATCCATTAAGGTGTCCGAAGACTATCCAGTCAGTATTTTGCAACAGCGTCACATCGTTTTAATAAAGTAAAAAAATGCGACTGCTTGAAATCGAAATTGGATTGGGAAGGAAGGAATATAATACAGGAGAAAGTTACCGCAAGTCACGTGGCTGTGCAACTTTTTTTTTTTCAATCGACGTATTTTCAGTTTTTTACAAGCCAAAAAAAAAATGGGTATCATATCTTCTGTCTGTTTTTAGACTGAGTGTGTGCCTTCGATGACCCACGACTTTGATTATCTTTGGTGGTTGTGTCTAAACCATAGAAAACGGCACGTGACCACGGAGAAGAAAGTGGGCGTGACTCAAACCGGCCAGCTCTCGATCGGCAGTTTTCGGAAAGAAAGAAAACTGATATCGAGCTGCAGATTGTGTTCTGGGTAGTTGGGCTCTCGTATGTCATGTATGTACAAATAAAGCGTTGGCAAGCCTAAATGCCCTGTCAGTGTCCGTTTAAGGAGATGGCAATGCTCCATTCCGTACCCAGCGGCATTGCACCGCCAATGGCATTGTGCCACCAACAGCGTTGCACCGCACGCAGTGGGGGTCCAGGCAGTGCACTAACACTCCCCACTCTGCTACAGGGTAGGAACTGCGTATCGGTGCCATCGCACCTCCGTTGCATTAGATAAAATGTCGAGCCAGGAGATTTTTGCAAGCTTAGAAGTTTAGTTAGTGGAGCGAGAATTACCATAATATCCCAAGAGATTGCCCACCTCAAATGAAGAGCTAGTCATGTGAAAATAAAGAGTGGGCTAACTTTCAATGTTCAGTCAAGAAAAGCTGAAAAAAATTCTATCTTTAGGTTATGTGTCCCTGCCAAACTTGTTATTGCAGCGAGGGGCAATGAAGCAAAGACTTAACACAACCCCGAAACTGCATGAAGCAAAAACTATACACTCGCACACACACACACACATGCAACGAACAGAGAATTTGCATGTGCGTGTCATTTTTGCTTCCTGCATTCTCGGGGTTGTGTTATGTCTAGTAATATCCACCAGCTTGTTTGCACCCCGACTCTCACTTAAGCAAAGATGACTGTCCTTCCAGTCAGCAATGTTTGCTCGTATCCCGCCGTAGCCAAGTAGTGGAATTTACGCCAAGGCCACCATTGATCCCAACGTCACAATTACTACAGTCGGTGACAGGTCAAGAACGAAGTGGAGGCTCCTCCCACCTCTTTCCACTTCAGCAGAGCGAACACTGGAGAGGAGGTCGCCTCCTCTCCAGCTTGGAGGAGCTCCCCTTGAACTCTTGATTTGTCAGACTATATAGCCCATGGGCTATCTATCGGTATTTAAAACAAAAATAGGGGTGGGTTTTTCTTTTGAGGGTGGTACATCTCCCGGAATATCACGGTAGTACCGTGCTGAGCAGCTGTGTCCTCCTCCTTGCGGTTTCAGGACCTGGAAGACTTCTGCTTCCACTTTGCCATGAACCACCTGACAGCTGTGGTTCAGACGGAGGCATTCAACAGGCTCGAGGGCTCCACCATCAAAACCTTCATCTCCAAGGCCGCCGTCTATGGGGCCTTCAAGTACTGACGGTTGCAGGAGCCCTCTTTCCCAGGGTCAAACGCTTCTTCCTAGGCCGGAAAAAGTCTCGACGCGCTGGGGAGGAGTAATTTTAGCCTTTGTCATTTTTTTGTACCGTACAAGCCGTTTGCTCTTCTTTATAAATTAGGACCCTCCCCCCCCCCCTCGCTTTAAAATTGTAGCGGAAAGAAAAAAGATTATTTGGCCTTGCTTGGACGTTTTTTGGCGTCCCTCAAGAAACATTAAAGCGAAGGAAGCTCCTGATGGCCGATGCCAAATGTACGAGACTTTATAAGGTTTCTGCAGCTTTCTAACAAACTGTTTTTGGTCCCGAGGTGCAGTTTTTATCGATCTAATATAATTGTGCACGCTTTTCCACGTATGTGTAGCTAAGTGCGATCTTGGGGCTCGTGCCTAGTGTTTATTCTCGTCTATGGCTTGTGTCGCGCAAGCAGAGAGGATTTGATCTGCCCTCGACCATACAGATTTTTATCCTCGACATACAATCCTCAGTGTCATACTAGTAACAAAAAGAGAAAAAAAAAAGGGAACAAAAAGTTTTTTTGTTATCGTTGCATTCCGGTTTCGCAGTGGTGGCGTGCCCTCCTGCAGCTTTGTAAAGATGCGAGGTTCCGATACTGAGGTGCCGTTTTTAATTGTGTATCTGATAATATATATTTTATCCTGGGTATAGCAAAATGCAGTTTTTACTCTGTATAGCTCGTATCTTGCACTTACTCTCATTTATTTTTTGTGCCTCGTGAACTTGAAAATATTTCAAACTCTGACATACGATGTGTCGTAGTAACAAAAAATAATTTGTTACGGGTTTCTTTGTTTTTTTTCTTTTTGAGTGCTGGCACGAGTGTAAATAAGCTGAAAATATCTACCACACTGCAAGACGTGTAGCTCTCTGCCCGTGTTCCAGCGCTAAAAAAGGTCAACAGTGTTCAAAAGATGCAGCGGAAGCACTCCATACGCTGCTGTGGTAGTCATATGCACTCCGACGTCTGTGATATTTTGTGGGGGTTAGCAAGGGTACTACTGTTATAGCCAATGTGAAAACATTCTACCCTTTCAAGAAATTCTTATCCAATGTTGCGCACGTTTCTTCTGTCCCAAGTAAGAAAATTGAAGCTTGTCGGTTGCAAATCTTTCATTGGAAGGAATCAGTGACAGTTTATGCGCCATTATTAAACTGTTGTCCGTGTTTTAAGAGCTACACATGCCAGTTCTGTATTCATTGTATTTTCTTTGGGACCAGTAATATCGTCCCACAAAGATTTGCATCTTCCAAAAAAAAAAAAAAAAAAAACCTTGACTTGTTTGAAAGACAGTATCCCCTTCTGGCCTGCACAACTTGCCCTGTAAAGTTTGTACCTGGATAAGGTTTTGATAAACATTTTTTACTCTGTGTCCACGGTGTGCTGTCTGCATTCTGGACGATGGGCTAGAACATACCGTAGGAAGAAAAACGTTTTTATTTGCTTCCTCCTGCTCTACGCCAATCTTAATTGGTGTTACTGATAAGATGAGAACAACAAGGAGGCCTTTCTGTAGTCCCATCTCCAGCACAAGCGTCTTGCCTTCGATAACACTTTGGCGTCTTTGAGTGTGCACGAGCAGCCACAGAAGGTAACTAGCATGCGTTGGAGGCAAGGCATCTGAAAGAGACCCCCCCGGTCTTATTCTTTTGATAACTGTAGCGAGGGACGCTAAGCGAAGCTGCTGACCACACGCGTCTGCATCATTTTAGGTGAACGGAACTGACCATTCTCCCGTTGCAAAATGCCTGTACTCCGGTTGCATGGGAGTGTTCTCTCGCCGTTAATCCAACTGCAATTTGAAGACGTCCTAAAAATGTATGTCAGTTATGTATTCTTTGTTCTCAATTTTAGTTATTACGGTGTTTCTGAAAGCGGCAAGGTTATCCTGCAAAGTTTTATGCAGTGGTCAATAAATCGCAAGCCATTCCCCTCGGTGAAGGTGGATGATTAGCGGAGCTGTTTAGCGCACAACATAGACCCGCCACGAGGAGCCAGAGGAAACTAGACCCGCACGACAGGATTGCCACCCAACGGAAAGTAGACACTCGCGACAGGACCGCCACTTCGGGAGAGCGGAAGGAAAGGAAACGAGGCACGCAAGCGCTTGGAACGACGACAAAGAGAGGGCAGTGCGAGCGTAGACGTGGGTCGCACAGCGGCAAATCTTTGAGAAACCTTTATTATCTACCTGAAGGTCGACTGATCTTGAAAATGGTCCCTATTAATAAATAGTCTACTGAATAGACCTATTGCTAAATTACCCAAGTATCAAGAAGAATGCAGAGAATGGTGTTCCACGCACTGCACATGCCGGCGTCTGCAGCAGTCGCTGTTCTAAAGCAAAAGCCTAAAAGCCCATTCACACACTTGCACTCCTTAGAACAGAGACCCTTAAAACCTCTAAAAATCTTACGATGAGAGAACACACTGGCGCCATCTATGCGGTGACCCTGGAACTGCGTTTCACTAGAGCGAAGGTTTGGCAGCATTTGCGAGGTCAAATGTATGTACTACCTATGAGAAACATTCGTTTATAACATTGACATAAGTTTTTCGAGCCAAGAAAGAAAGAATGATGTGCGAAAAACAGAAAATATACGGGACCGCCAAGTGTTCCACTACTGCCCGATAGGTGGTGCCAATGTGTCCTCTCGTAAAAGATTTTAAAAGGGTTCAAGGCACTTGGTCCTAAGAAGTCGCAAGTGTGTGAACGGGCCTTAAAACAAATGGTATCTTGCATCTTTATTTTGGTTATTTACTTTGAATCTTCTATACGGGGAAGGCATGCGCGTGCAGCTGTTTGAGCGTAGAGTTTTTGCTGACACACATAAAAAATCTACGGAACCCTAGCCATAAACAGCCTAGCTGTAAAATGGGAACCGCACCTTTTCCTTTTTTAGGAACTTTCAGTTTCTTGATAAACGGTGTTCCCTTTATGACCTGCACAACTTGCTCTGTAAAGCTTTCACCTCAAGAGTCTTGAGAACCACTACCGTAAAATGCGGGGGGAGCACCCAGCCCAGTTTAGCTGAAAACTGGGTCAATCTAGACCTGGACGCTTGTCCAGTCGAATCAGGCATTTAACATATAATTTGCAGAATCCCCAAATTTAGGAAATGTCAATAATGGGCGCTTGAACATTTTACGGTATTTTACGGTATATTTTAAATCTTCGGCGTATTGTGTACCCTTTCTGGACGGGCACCCTCGTGCCAATGACTCCCGCCAAACGTGGCGAAAAGAGTGCGTGCCTCGACAATGAACTTCTTAAAGAATGGCAGTTTTATTAGGTGGAGGAAAGAAACACTCTGAAAAAGTCACTCTTGGGAGCTTGCTTTCAAGATGCAATTTCTCTGAGCTATACATAAACAGTCTCGAGTGATGGGAGAACGGAAAGGGGTACTAGAAAGCAACAAGAAACAAACTGCAACAGGGGAAACTAGGAGTCTCAAAAATAACCGTTATACATAATTCTTATTTACACTTGGAATAGGCTCCAGAAATTGACCCCCTCCCAGCCCCCCAAAAAATGCAAATACAGAAATGGCAAGAAGAAAAGCTTGAGTCACAGCTAAATCCTTGGAAATCCAGGGCAGAAGTCACCTTCTTGCAAGGTTCCTCGTGCCAACGTCGCACTTCATTACCTAGACCCCCGAATCGCACTCCTTATATAAAGCAACAAAGTGTCGCTGTCGCGAGCGCTGTCGACGTTTCAAGGTCGGCGAAACGTTAGTTTCACGCTGCTCAGTTTTCGCCAACAGAGCCGCGACCGCCGATTTCTTTGGGAGTTGCTCTCCAACCTCGGCGAGCTGTATGCTACTCGATTCCCTCCAGCGAAACCACGAATCTTACCAACCAAAACCCGGCCAAAAAGGAAACAATGTGATGGGCAGAAAAGAGCAGTGGTTCAACCCCCCCCACATCGTGTATCTACAACATTGTTCGTGCAACGAGTGCGGAGAAAACAACGCCCCAAACTAAAAGAAAAAAAAAAGTGAAAATTGTTGCACGTTGCGGCACAACGTACTCCCCCCCTTTTAAAAACTGAAGACGCCACTTCATGAGGTGTCCATCTCCACAGGCTCCTCCTTGATTGTGACGTCCGTCGAATTTGCCACTTGCATTCCCACGCCGTCGGAGAGAGGCGCCGTTGCCGCGGCAAAGGGCTGCGACGCCGGCACCGGCGACGATACGGGTGCCGGCGAGAACACGCTCTTCACGGCGACAGAGGAAGGTGGCTGCGCCATGGTCACAACGACGACCTTGGTGAGCGGCGCCGTGGAGGTGACTCCCTTGGTCTGGAGCCCGCCCTGGCTCGGGGCCGCCGTGACTATCTTGACCAGCGTCGGCGTGGAGCCCGCCGCACTCGCGTTGTTCGTCGCGGCCGTCAGGGGGCTCGGCGGGGCGGAGGGGCGAGGGGGGTTGGACGTCACGATGACATACTTCTGCGTGCCGCCCGCCAGCGTCGCGGTGGGAACGCGTGGCGCCGGTACCAGGGTCGGGGCACGCGGCGTCGCCTGGAGTAACCTGGTTGGCTGTCGCGTGGAGAAAAACAAATCTGGCGTAAGCAAGAGAAAAATTTGACTGGCTTAAACGTCTCGTTGAAAACTCCGAGGCCGAGTCGCAGCTCGCTTGAAGGGGCGGTGCTCACCTGCGTCACCGTGAGCGTGGTGCGAGCCACAGATGCGGTGGTGGTGGGCTGCATGCGTGCCCTCACCACCTGCGCATGGAGCAGGTGGCCCAGGTAGCCGTACTCCGCCCGGTACTCGTCCGGGTTGTCCGGCGGAGAGCGCGTTGCCTTCAGCACGGGTGCCACCACCCGCTGCAAACATGACGGACACCACGACTCTCAAAAGGTGTTGAGAAACCGCAAATCATTTGCGTGGCTGGCCCTGTTTCCCATAAAAAGTCGGTCAGGTATATTGACGCATTGCAGCTCGAAGCACACTCTTAAAAAATCCAGGACGTCTCACTTTCCTGCCAATCGCTTGGGATGGCCCAATCACTGGTATCTACAAGGAAAGCTCGACGAATGACGAAACTTAAAATATGTTTGGAACCAAAAGCAAAAACATTCTGCGCTGCAGAATGCGTCTCACTTTTCTGCCAATCGCTGGGGACGGCCAATCGCTACCATCTACAAGGTGAGCTCGATGAATGACGAGACTTAAAATATGTTTGGAACCAAAAACAAAAACATTCTGCTTTGTGTGAAGTCTAGGCATATTTTCAGCCTTCAGCCTAGTGATTCACCTAGCTCCTTTTGTAGACCGCAGCGATAAGCTCTCCCGAGCGCTTCGTGGTAAAGTAGACACTCCTGATTTCTTAGAGAGCACAGGGAGCGAAAGCTCGGGCTGGGTTCAATCTCTGCGTCTGCCCATTACGATCTGGAAGAATGTCGTACCGGCATGCAATCGTGTACTACCATTGCGGGATGGACGTTGTGAAATGCCAGGCTAGCAATGACTGAATTTTTCGTCCATGGCAGAGACACTAGATGCCCACTGGGGCTGACAAACTTCCCGCAGTGCAAACATACACGCGACACAAATGAGGCCTAATTAAAAATAGATCGCCGAGTGAGAGAACGATGAAAGAGGCCGAGAGGGAAAGGATATTCAATGTAAAAAAAATCGGGCCACAAAAAAAAAAAAAAAAAAAAAAAAATGCAGCATGGATTTTGTGACGGATTAGCCCTTTGAAGGGCCTTCATGAATTGTTTCCTTGACGAATATTGTCGCACTACAAACTAGTACAAACTCTGCCACACGCTTCCTACCCTTGGCGTAGTGAGATAACTGTCGCTTCGCAAGTCCATTTCTTGGCGTAATGGTAGATCGTCTGGCTCAGAATCTGGGGTTCGGTTCTTGTTGGGGGACGCTCAGAATTTAGTTCTTTTAATTATGTGTTCTCTTGCGTTGTTTTCTTCCTGAAATCCGCGTCGCTCATATCGTGATGATTTTTCACCACACTTTCCTTGGAAATCCCCAGGGGGTTGAAGACGGAAGCAGAACGCGCAAAATCCCGAGCGCTAACATCCGTTGTCCCAAGAGAAAGAACAATAGAGCGACGGCGGAAAAAGGAAGAGACGATAGGTTAGGAGTGTTTATTTTGTTGCGGCGAGCTGAAGTTAACAGAGTGCTTGCCAACTACTACTTTTCTTATACAATGCGTGATACCAGTGTTTTCCTGCAAAATAAGCTACCCCCTAAAGATAACCCACCCATACCCTTGGCATGATTCGGTATTTTTCCCAAAATACTGAGACAGCCCACTTCTAGTAAATGCACTGCCATGGTGATGGTGATTTTGACGGAAATAAGGACAATGAGGCAGGTGACGACTGTTGACTGGGGAAAATGGCCGTCTTTGGTTCATAGCCCTCCTGCTACAAGTTTGAAAGGTCGCAGCACCTACGTGACAAAGTGATTGAAATTTTGTTTGAAGACAATAGCGTTCAAAGGTTTCGAGGGTGACTCAACAAAGTGTAAACAAACCTCTGCATTCTTTTGCTACAACTTTTTTACAGCGAAGCTGTTAAGGGCTGGGTTCCCAAGGATCGTGTCCCTGTATGTCGACACAAACCTACCTGGACACCTACCGCCATCTATAAGAGACGGCAGCAAGCACACAACCAGTGTGGTTTGATGGCGGCAACCTTTCCAGCTATAATATTTCTTTAACTTTTCTTGGTTATACATTGAAAGTCAGCCCACTCCCTGTTTTCACCCGACTTGCTCTCGATTATAAATCGGCTATCTCTAGGGATATTACGGTAGGCAGACTTTACACGCGAGGTTTTCTCGCATCTTTGCGTAAATTAGGGCGTTGCCAGCAACACGAGCGCACCGGGACTGCCGGCATCTGTGTCTATGCCTCGCCATTCCGGAGAGACCTTTATGCGTGGGACCGTTCTCCTCCAGACATTAGTTCTACGGGGATCCCAGCCCTTAGACACAACCTGTTATGACAGAACGGCGACGAGGAAAAACAAGGGGTCTCACCAGGGCGAGCTGCTTGATGTGCTCGGCCGCCTTCTTGTCCACGGGGGAGGTGCTGGGCTCTTCGAGGCCCTGCCGCAGCTTCTCTCCCAGCTGCCGAATGCGGGGCAGCACAAACGACCGCACCACCTCTGGCCCCAGCTCGGCCAGGCCTGACACAGCCCCGTAGTGGGACGCCAGTGGCATCTTGTCGTTCTGCAGCGCCCGGCTGAACATGCGCGTCACTCGCGTCTGCACGTTGTTGGTGCTCGTGTTGAAGTTCCTGCACAAGACAGACGGGGGACCATGGTCAAAGGCGATCCAAACTCTCCCGTCGTCGGGGTGGATTTAAGGAGGGCGAGCAACCTCTGCTGCCGCCGCCAGAGAGCCATCAAGAGAAACAATTTTTATAGAAAAAAACTATATACAGCAGCTCTTTCTGCAGCAGAAATGTTTAGTTTTTGGTGAAATGGTAAATATTAGGTCCACAAAATGGATCTGGGTAATCCGTCGCCAGTGACATCACATCCGTCCGTGACATTCGATCTCTCTGCAGACTTCCCTCAAAGCCTAACCTATAAATCAGCCTTTGTCCCGTCGGTCTTCGGGTAGAGCCTTTGAAGTGGCCTTGAAGCAGCTTTGGTTAGGTGGCCGAATGCCGAGCGGGTTTGAGGTCGGTTTGCAAGCGCCTCCAAAACTCGAGTCGCATCCAATTTGCGGTCTATCGAGTGACGCTCAATGCGGCAGCATTGAGCGTCGCACTGCTTGATGTGGACTGTGGAAAACCGGCATACGAGAAAATTTAAATAGAAATTGCTGACTATGACAAGCTCTTCATCCTTCCACATTTCAAGAAATGAGCACAGTTTTAAGTTAAGCGGTCTGCACTGTTAAGAACCGTTACCTGCTGTTAAGACGAAAGAAAATTAAACAAGAAACTAAATTAATTTAATTCGTTTTGGGCTTTAATAATATAGTTGCCAAACATTTTAGCCACTTCTTTGTTGCCGTCAAGGTATGCTGCGCAACACTGTCGGCGCAAACACGATTTTCGTGTTTCGTCGCATTTCACATTAAAAGAGTACTGGCGGACGTCGTCTGGGCACTTTCCACCACTACTGTAGTTTCAATGACAGCACTTCACTACTGAGAGAAAAACGGAAAACTGGCAATGGCCTGATGTTATGTCATGGAACGATGTCATGGAACCATACATCAGTGCCACCCTCCTCCCCCAATCGAGGCTGCACGAAACAAGGGTGATATCCTGGAGTTGAAATTGTCGCTGGCAAGTAGACGACTGGCGGCCACTCGGAAGATGTGACCTCGTTGCAGTGCACCGTCACAAACGTGGCTACACTCACTTGCAGATCTGCGCCATGAGCCGAGAGGCAAAGTCCCTCAGTGCCCAGTGGTTGTCCACGTCTGGTCTGGTGCAGAGCTGCCGGCTTACAATGCACGTGGCCACGGACGGAATCAGCTCGTGAAGCTGGAGGTGTCGGGAGGAAAGCAAGTCGACAGTCAGATGCAGACGGCTTTCACCGATCACAGACGAACGAAAGAGGCACATATGAAGGACAAACAGAGAAAATGCGAATGACGCACACCTCTTACATCGATCTCGAGTCGTCACATTTCAATTTTGAGCAGCGTAGAACAACGCCGTCTAAAACTTAATCACTGACGAAAGAACAATAAAATAAATAAAATACTTACATATTTTTCCAGGTACAGTGTTTGGTTGTCCAGTAGAGCTTTAACCATTCGGATCAGGTAGATGAGGAACGCCAGATTGTTCTGCACGACGTTCACCTTCACCTGTGGGAAAGCGGGGTGTGCAAAAAGTTAGTCTTTGTTCCCCACATTTGCAGGCGTTGGCCGAACACGGGCGAGAGGAGAAAAGTGGAAGACGAGCCGGAATGCCTCACCCCTTCCGAGATGAAAGTGCACAAGCGTGGCAGCATCTGGTGCAAACCGGGATCCGAAGCCAAGCTCTGCAGCGCTTCCTGAAATGCCCCACTTCTCGTCAAAAAATAAGCACTGGGCGAATTCAAAAATTCTATCAAACCTTTTTTTTTTTAATTCAAAATTTAGGTTGTTTGGTATTTAGATTCGAAATTCATAATATTACAATTTACAACTGGCCCTGGAGAGAGTTCCCACGAGAGAGAGAAACACCTCCTGTGACTCACCGCTCTCCGAGAGTCGTCGGACCCCACGCATGCCTCCGTGATTTCTTTGTAGTACAACTGCTGCTCCTGTTTACAAGAGCAAGGAAGAAAAGGCAACCAATGAAGTAAACAAAACAAAAGAGAACCAATTCCTTCCGTACGTTCAAGTCATCCAGAAACAGGCTGCCTGCACTGGAATCGATGCACAATTTCGAGATTCTGTCGATTTTACTCTCACTAGGAAACTATAACTCGTCAAGGACCTCTTAGTTTGTCGCAGCATCGTTTTCAACCACACAGAAAGTCGAGGGCCGATGAGACGGTTGAGAAAAACTAGTGATGGGCAGAACTTTTGCCAAATCGAAAGTTCGGTGCCGAATCTTCGGATTCGGCAAAGCCAAACTTTTGCCGAACTTTTCTAAAGATACGGCAAAGATTCGGCAAAAATACATTGTTACTAGATTCGTTGATATCATGTTTTTTTTCTGGTGAAAAAACGCTTTTATGTTTCTTTTTTCCTTAACTTAAATGCAACATGTTTACTAAATAAGGTAATATTCTACAAGATAATAGTATCGGTGTCGTTTTTGTGTGTTTACTGGCAATTTTAGTGACTCCTTGCAGAAGTGGCATGACAACGAGGTTGGGTAGATGGTAGAAGCGAGCGTGGCGCAGTCACGAATCACGCTACGAGAGTTTCGGTTTTGAGGCATCATCAACGCAAGCCTGGCAAGCCTGCATGTGTGTGTACGGTGTGTACATTGCTAAAATGAAGGCAATAGCGCTGCGTTCTTGCTTTCTCTGGGAGTCATCGTTTCGTGCGCGAAAACGAATGCAACGGTTGCTGAGCCTTCACCCATGAAGAGATAACAATATTGTAAATATGCATGTTCTTCGATTTGAGTCACTTGACTTCAGCTTTGCATGAAAATGTGCATCCCATATTCGCAACGTCTCGTTTTTAACCTTCAAAATGCCTGTTTCTGGTGTTAGGACACACACAAACGTTTCGGAAGATGGGGAGAGTGAATGTCGGATTTGCAACGTCGAGCGTTATAGTTATGTGTTTAGTTTTATGCAGATACATGAAAATCGCAAAATAACACTACTGAAAAAGCAATATTATTTTGTTTTGGAATACACTACTCCTGAGCCCAAAACAGAATTATTATAATTGCGAGGGGTGCTTTAAAGTAAAGCGCCGTTCACACTCTTGCGACCGGGTAAGACGGAGAGAACGGACCTGTTTTGAAGCCTTTTGCGACTTCTTAGGACCGGATGCGCTGCAGCACGGAGCTGGTCCTAAGAGATCGCAAGAGGCTTAAAAACCGGTCTGGTCTCTCTCGGCCGTACTCGGTTGCAAGAATGTGAACGGGCCTTAATTGTCGGCCAATGTCTCAATGTTTCAGAATGCACCGCATCACTTGTCACTTGCGCAGTGGACTGCGTAAATTAGTGGTCGATCTTCTATTCTTGACGCAGAAAATATTGAAGAGAACCACACTTGCTGACAAACGCACAGTTACCGCGTTGCCTACCCCACACCGCGCCGTAACCACTGGTTGTACTACACTGCACGATCGTCACCGCACGACTGCACGGCGTCCATTTGCAATCCAAGGCTCCGTCGCGTTCTCGCGCGTGCGCAGACATTTGCCGAATTTTTGCCGAATCTTTGCCGAACTTTCCTGCAAAAGTTCGGCATTCGCCGAACTTTGCCGAATCTGAAGTTCGGCAGATTCGGTCCATCACTAATAAAAACTGCCTAGAGAAAAAAGAACCAAAAGTGTTTGCTACCAGTTCTGTTTTTCAAACGAGTTTCGTTGGACGTTTTCGGGTTTTATATTCTCCTCAAATCGTCTGCCTAGTCCAACCAGATTTGGAAAGCGCGTCAGCAAGTGTCACTTTGTTTTGGCGCAAATATTTTCTTATCACGCCAAACGCTCCATGGCAGTGGCAACTGACAATGGTACAACTGTAAGGTTCATATTTGCCTTGTACTGCACGACTTACTTTTCCCTCAAAGACACACACATGCTACAGTTGAGGAGACATATAAACGAATAAATGAGTGGACCCTTCGTAACGGAAGGCACCCTGAGCCACGAGGCCTTCAGTTCACGTACCACGGAGAGTTCGTGTGTTGCGAGCTGTTTGACCTTGACCGTCTCGACATGCTTGGTGCGCTCCTGCTTGGTGGGCAACCCCGGCACCTTGGTGCTCCCTGGCAGCACAGCCTTGTTCAGCTTGGTCACGGGATCAATGCTCTCCACCCGCTGCAGGTCTTTGGACACTGGAAAGAACGCCGAGAGCCCAACGTCACTCGGACGCCTCGAGTTGGCAAGACACACTGCATTCACCGAGCCCTAATTTGCAGACATTTTACGAGCCAACTTCGATGCATCATTGTTCATAAAGTCTGCCTTTAAGCTACTGTATAAGTAGTGTTTAGGATCATCTTTTTATGAAGTAAACTCAATCTATGCACCCTAAGCGTTCTAGAAAAGCCAACTCATGCGTGACCTCTTTCTTTATTAAAAAAAAAAACACGGCCAAACATTGCATTGCAACTCACCTCCGAGATTTGTTTAAAAAAGAAATGGGCTTGTCGCGATGCTCGGTTTTAATTTTAATAGAAGAAAAAGTTTTTTTTAATAGGGCACTTCGAGAAATGAAACACAGCTTGCAAACGATGAGGATACAAAGAAATATAAGTACACAGCACTAGTCCTGTGTCCTTCTAATTCTTTAAGCCTTCGTCGTTTGCACATTGTGTTCCATTTTTTGAAGTGTGCACCAACTAGCTCGCATCGCCACCCTAATAGGGCACGACTGCTATCAAGATAGCTGGCAGCATGCTCTGGCTACAAGCCGGAAAAAGGGACATTGAAATCACTTGCAAAGCTCAATTGTCGCTGCTAATTTCTCTGGTCGGCGAGTTGAGGTGAAAAGCTGACTCAGGTTTTTATTTATTTTATTCTTGTTTTTCTTTAATAGATAGCACACTGAAGAAAAAATGGATTTCTCATCTGGGTTCTGTGGACGCTCGGGATTTATTGGGGTCAATATTTAGTCAAACTTGAAGATTCATCTCGCGGCCCCTTAACATAAAATATTGGGGGAGCACCCAACGCCGTAGTAGCATGTATAAATACCAGATAAATTTGAAACAATAAAATTTAAGAAAACAAAATGGCAGCAACCTTTATTTTTTAAGGTCCTATAATGCACAAGACGTGAATTTTCCCGCTAAATGTAGCGGGTAACTGAATTTGTGTATAGGTCTTAAGATACCAATTTCTCCGCTAAGTTTACAGGAAATCCAGCGACAGACGGACAGAGAAAATTAACTTTGCGATTGGGGGTAGCACTAAAAAGCATTTCATGCTTTAAAAGCTCCAAAGGTGGAACGCCCACGGAAGCAAGCACCAGAAAAGGACGACCTACCCGGTGGTGGATTCTCAGGAACAGTGGGCTGGATTCCTTCTATGCTTAGCCAGTGGGCTGAAATTGGAGGAAAAATGAACCAGTTTAAACAGCCATCAAGTTGCACCTCTGTAAGTCTGAAGTTGCTTACACCCAAGGCTAGATTCACGCTGGAATGCCGGCATCGATGGTGCAGCTCTCAGATGATTGTGGCAAATTGTCACGCTGACATCAGTTAACAACACAGGCAAAACTACTGTATCGACAAACTCTTCACTTCTGAGTACCTAAAGACCGAGTACTCCACTGTGAGCCGCACCTAAAGGCTGGTTCACACACTTGTAACTCCTTAGAACAGAGCAGCTTAAAATCTTTAAATCTTTTGCGACGAGAGAGCACACTGACAAGCTGGTGCCATCAATGTGGTGACCCTGGAATTGCATTTCACTAGAATGTTAGGCGTATTCGCGAGGACAAAAGTATGTACACCACCTATCGAGTAGCAGTGTTCCACTGCCATCCGATAGGTGGTGCCAGTGTGTCTTCTCGCCATAAGAGATTTTAAGAGGTTTCAAAGCACTCGGTTCTAGGAAGTTGGAAGTATGTGAATGGTTCTTAAAGGTGCACTAAAGAAGCTTCTGGGATTGTCTGATCTTGGTGATAACTTATCTCACAGGCTCCAAGCATTCTAGAAATCCAAAATTTATGCTTGTGCGACATCTATTTCCCTACTAAAATTGTGATAGATGTTTGTGCCGTGCCCCTTTCTGAGTAGAAAAATCTGGAGCACAGAATCTAGCGGGGGCGCTGGCGGTGTGATGATAGGCGTGTGTGAGCCAGTCGCAAGCCGCCCCTCTAGCAAAAACAACTTGCAACTGGCTGTCGTGCGTGCGCCTGTCGTCACACCGTTTGCGCTTCTGCTGAATCCTGTGCTCCAGATTTTTCTGCTCAGAAAGGGGCACTGCACAAACTTCAATCATATTTTTAGTAGGAAAATAGACGTCACACGAGCATAATTTTTCGATTTTTGGGATGCTAAAATTCCGTAGAATAACTTATCACCAAGAACAGACAATCTCAGAAATGTCTTTAGTGCACCTTTAAGCATCAGTGGTGCCGCAAAGAGACGGTAAATGTCTACAAGGCTGTAGAAACCAGATTTTCTAAGATGCATTGCTGGCACTTAATCCGGTTGTGAGCTTAGATCGAAAACCTACTTAAACATGCGCTGGCTTGTTCAACCATCTACACGGATCAGGTCGGAATCCACACACAAATTGGGAATGCGAGGTGAAATAAACATACCACCGGATCCACATCAATAAGCCCAAAAGGTTAACCAAGCCAAGCACAACTATGTCGTCTTCCATTAGTTCTCTTCAATTTAGAAAGTTCTCCAGTCACTCAGCAGCACACTAAAAAAAGGTTACAGTTACATAAAGGGATCCAGTTCCTGAATAAGTTTCTATACTCGTAGCGATCGCACACAAATTTATGAAGATCAATGAATATGTGGGAGTGCATTCCTAAAGACTGGCACCAAATCTATTCTTCAACTACAGTTTGTTGTAGGTTTCGAATAGCAAAACAAGCCTGTTTGTTTTCTCCTCTCCACTTGCCCTTTCCCCAGCACTTGCTCTGTGAGTGAAGCGAAGGGCTTTTGTGGGAGGAACTTGTCTTACTACTTTTAAACTACAACACAATATAGCAGCTAATTTTGTCAAGAGGCAAAAAAAGTGCAGCAACCCTGGATGGGTTGCTTGTTACATTCCAAAGCGTAAAACGCGGAGAAATGCAAAACTCTCCGTCAAACATACCAAACGCCTGGATACCCTAAAAAACGGACATCTTTAAGTGAAGGAAACACTTCAAAAGTGTGAAGAGAAGATGTGAAAGGAATTGCAGTCACCCTTTATAGAAACGTCCAGAGGTAGTTTGGGCAGCTGCGAGCTGATGACGTCGTTCAGCTCCAATTCTTTCTCCTCAACAAAGAAGAGCTCCCGGCCCCCACCGCTGGCATAGCGGAAAGGCACGTAGTCCGGACAGTGAAATCCGTACAGTGGCTGCGGGATGAACAAAGAAGTCGCAGATTAGATAATATGCAAGAACCCAAAGTCTCGAACACTCGAAGCCATTCACAAACTCAGCAAGCAGAAGCTGAGTTAGCTACATTCAAGTGGGGTAAGGAAAAGAAAAACAGAAAAGGCAACAAGGGTGAAAAGAGCCGACAAATACGGCTTGTGCTTATGTTGGTTTAATGACTTGTCGAGTTTAGCTACACTTTTCTAACAATGCAGCAAAATTACTCGTCTTTACCTGTTGCTATTTTGCTTTTATTTCCAAGGAAGGAACGGTGAAAGTTTATTTAATTGCTGCAATTTCGCTTCTTTTTAACTAAGTAAACGTGTCTGATAGATCAAGCGAAAGCATCACACAGTTTGGTGCCGGAAGGTAACGCTTCGTTAGTTTCTGAACAGTCGCGACAACATTCGACGATTAATAACGACCAAAAATGAAAAAAAGGTGATCGGGCCTCGCTGAAACAGTACGAAAAAAACACCCGAAAAAGTGGATGTACGTACTTCAACGTTCTTCATCTTCAGCGCATTGTCGAAGTCGGCCGTGGAAAGTCGCCTCCGCTTTGCATGTCCCATAAACTTGCTTGCGTCCTGAAAATACGGCAAAAAGACATCTCGATCCTGCCCGCAAAGCTCGCGAAGCACAATCGCCAGGCAGGTTCGCGGACAGTAGGGGCAAATTAAGTTCGCCGCGAGCGCGCACGATCGCGCATTGGGTTTGAAATCGGGTGCGCTTGGCGCGCGATCAGACACACGCGAACGGGCGCACCGCTCCCGCTTTCTGTCAAGGAGAGAAAGCGGTGTTTTTCCCGCGCCGCCAACACGAGCAAGCATCGTCAAAGTTACACAAAACACGTGCACAAGACCCGAAATGGTCGATCTTTTCTAAAATTCGGACGAAAAAACGAGGCCATACCTGCGCTGTAACTTTGAGGCGGTATGTGATTTCATCCGCCAGCTCTTTGGCCGCTTCATCGGGTAAATTCGAAATTCCGATAGATTCCGCGATAACCTTCATCGACTCGGGTGAAAGGTTGCTAACTGTTCTTGACTCTTTCGAAGCCATGTTGAAAAGTGCTCTATAAGTTTAAGTACGATAGCGGTGTCTAAACACCGAGAAACAATCATCGTGGAGCCTTCCGAACAACGCCACGAACAAACGGCGCCATGTTACTTGGAGCCTCCCCAGAGATCAGGCGTGCACTTTCACTTAAAACCTGGTATTGTTTCATAGCGCTACATGCCGGTCAAAATATTTATTTTCACACAATATATAGATGACTAAATCGTGTATATCCGCATATTAACACTTAACATAGCACATCGTTTAGTTTAATACCCGTAAATTTGCATAACCCGTGAATATTTTTTTACGGTAGCTCGCGCTATCTGGTGACGATGGCAGAAGTGTCACGACTAGGCGCGGTATTCGCGGTATTTTCAAATCGTGATTTCGCATAAAACGAGAAAACTAGAGTTATTACAATAAACGCTAAGGAGAAAACGCCCAGAACCCATGCTGATTATCTCTGTTGTCGATTGTTCACTCCTTTTTTAAAGCGCAGCTCTTAGGGGCCCGTTTCCGGCTTGAGCGGCGTCGGCGTCGCCGTCGCCGTCGGCGTAACCCGCGTAACCGCGCGGTGCATTATGGGTAAATTTCCCCGCTAAATCTAGCGGAAAAATTTCCCCGCTAGATTTAGCGGAAAAATTTCTCCGCTAAATCTAGCGGAAAATATTCCCCGCTAAATCTAGCAGAAAAATTTTCCCGCTAAATCTAGCGGAAAAATTTTTCCGCAATATCTAGCGGAAAAATTTCCCCGCTAAATTTAGCGGAAAAATTTCTCCGCTAAATTTAGCGGAAAAATTTCCCCGCTAGATTTAGCGGAAAAATTTCCCGGCTAAATCTAGCGGAAAAACTTTCCCCGCTAGATTTAGCGGAAAAAATTCCCCACTAAATCTAGCGGAAAAATTTTCCCGCTAAATCTAGCGGGAAAAGTGCCCCGCTAAATCTAGCGGAAAAAATTCCCCGCTAAATTTAGCGGATTTTTTTTTGGGGGGGGTCACGTTACCCCCCCCCCCCCCCCCCCCCCCCCCCCCCCCAAGGTCACATGACCCCCCCCCCCCCCCGCCCCGAGAACAGGTAACCCTCAGTACCCTTCCCTCCTCCTCCTCAAGAGCTGCGCTCCAATTCGGTGTTACAGGAAGTTGTAAACGGCTTTCTTTTTTTTTCCCTTTAACGTGTTGGTGATTGTTTTGTTAGAACAAGCTTTCGAACACATTTCATGATTTTTGTGGAAATTGTTCTCCAGTCAGAAACAATAAAAAAGACATGCCGGGAAAGTGATGGAGAGGAGGAGACGAGTGTGCGCTTGGACGTCAGAACGCCGAGCTCCGATTGGAATGATTAGTGGGTAGACCTAAAACTAGCGTCCTTTGTCTGTACTAGCACTCGTCAAACGCGTTAAAATGCGAGAACCAAAAGCCGGACGGCGCCGAGGCACGTTCGACAAGTGCAGTGGAGACAAAGACACTAATCCATGGGCGTGCCAACCGGGGGGGAAGGGGGGGCGCTTGCTTCCTCCCCCTCCTCCTTCTCCTCCTCCTCCTCCTCCTCCCCCCCCCCCCCCCCAAAAAAAAAAAAAAAAAAAAAAAAAAAAACAGCCGCCAGTGGGCAGCAAAACACTGGCCGGCGGCGCTAAAGGAAAACCAAGGGGCACCGTCCCCGGCCCGGGGGGGGGGGGGGGGTCGGGTCTGGTTTGTTTTCCCACTCAATTCTGATGTCCCCCGCGCACTCTCGTCTCCTCCCCTCCCTCATTTTCTCGGCGCATAGTCATAAATAAGTTACTCAAGAAATGAAAGCGCCTGCTGTGCAAAGTGTCGGAGTAGCCGAACAGCTGTGATTGTCTGCTGTTAATGTTTGGGTAAATTACTTCCCTTGTGAGCCATTTCCACTGAGATCAGTGGCCATTTCCACGCTTGCGTGCGTGCGCGCGGCACGAGTCAGTCGTTTTGTTTTGCATCACTACTAAGACTCGGACGAACTGCGCTGGTCACCGCGCATGCCACAAACACCACCACTGACTGCGACTGTTCTTTTAGTCATACATATATATATATGTATATAATGTAGGCCCTTAATTATTCTGGAAATTACGAACACGTGGCAACATGGGTATAAAAAAGTAGCGACTAATAAAAATTCTAATTGCGTAAATATTTAGAAGTAACGAATTACAATTGCAATAATTACAGTAATTCAATTATTACCTAATTAGTATACCCTTGCGTACAACCAAGTTATACAAATATATATGCTATGTATATGAAATATAAATTACTAGCTATTGCCTAAATTTGTGCGAAGCATCCAGAGTTCTGGAGCCCGAGACTGCATGTGGAACACACACACACGCGCGCGCTCATGCACGCACACACGCACGCAGACACACACACACACGAGCGCGGGCGCACGCACACACAAATGTGTGTTGTTGCTGTTTTAATTTCGTTTATACAAATAAGAAATATTGACCTGGTCAGTTCGCAGATACCTCATTTTTGTGGTCAACGTGCTCCGTATAGCGCAGTCGAACGTAGGAGCGATCGCGTCGTTTGCATTCAGAAGAAAAACGAAAAAACAGCAGCATGGCTCGAGCGTTTCGTTAGAAATTGACGCACCGTCGGCGGGCTTCGCCAAGCAAGTGTGAAAAGGGTTTCGCCACGCAGTACGCGCGTATCGCAGTGAAAGCAACCTCCTGTAGCCGAGTTCGGGCGTATATCGAGGAGAAAGACATGACCGCGCAATCTAGTGGCTGCGTATATATTTATTTAATTTATTGAGGACAAACAATTACAATAATAATAACCTAGCCATTGTTGTTCAAATGTCCCGCTAGTGGCAGCCAGCGAATTCCGGCCCAAATCCCCAAGTTGCGATTCGACACGCACATTCAGGCCATTCCTACACCAACGTTGATTCAGATTCCCTACTTATTTCTACAAATCGCGCGGGTACACATCACGGATGGCGTGACGCACACTACAAGAGTTTTCGGCCAGTAAGGGCTAGAACGTCACAACCTTCGACTCCTCGGCGTTCATTTCACGAGCGTCAAATGAACCTATCCTGCGAACCCAGCGGAGCGCGCCGAGGAGGAGCGACCAAAACTTGCGGAGAAATACATTTCTTCCTGGCTACGGTCGCTCATTACGCCATGGTATTAAGACAATTGTTCTGGCCTCTCAATAACCGACGTGGACACGGGTGACGGACCGAAAGAGCTTGAGATCCGGTACGCATTACATTTTCAATTTCGATTTCTTGGTGCGTGACGCGCCTAGTCTTCGTCCGCGACACGCATTTGATCATCGCTGTCTGGATGCCTCTGGATTTCACGGTCGTGATTATATTCATTGGCTTGCAAATGAAGGACTAACCAGTGTTGATATACATGGGTGAATTTGTTTTCTACTGACTGCAAGGGGAGACATGACTTGAGCAGTATGCCAGAGGAAGAACTGAAGAACCGATCTGCACAGACTGGTGTGGACCTTGGGGATGCGCAAGACAGCACGGGCACTTGTAACCAAGGTGAAGTAACTTAATTTACATCACGATCATTTAATTTAGTTTACATGCATATATATGTCAGATCATGAGGTTAAATATTCGATGTATAGCTATCGACCTCAGCCTACCTGACAATGGGTTTCAATATTTTGGTCTCTTTGCAAATTGTACTCCACAGGCAATGAAATCCAGCTGACACCTCTGTCCCCGCCTGGCTTTGTAGTGCTGGTGGTCAGCATCACAAGCGCACTGTTCAGCATTTACAAAGGAAGCATTCTGTTGAGAATGCTCAAGCAGCACACTATGAATGAGGTAAGAACTTAATTATCAACTCTCGCGAGAAAAACATTAGCAGAACTTGATGTGTAGAAAAGCAAGGGCATCCTTAATTGTCTTTAGATGTATCGACCCTTCCATTCTCATTGGTACTTCAGGAAGAAGCACGTTTTGGAATACCACAACGCGCAGATGCATTTCACGGAACAGTTTTTGTGTGCCAAGGTGCGCTCTACTGCGTCCAGGTAAGCTCAAACTCGAAACGGGTTGCAATGAATGCAGCGGCAAAGGAGCACATCGCGCAGTTATGCACGCTTCCCCGCACACTACAGCCTCGCAACGGGAAAGCCCACTTTACAAGCAGCCTCGGGAAGACCGAAGGGCCTTTCACTGACGTTTCCAGAGTCGCGTTACTTTCGCGCGAGGCTGATGCAGCTCGTTATAATCGAGGCTCTCATGCGAACTCTTGGCGAACAAAAGCTTGACCGTTACAGAAACTACTGTAGTACCCCAAACCTTGCAGATCTACTTGCTGGTGAACTACTCCAATCGACGCAGGAAGATTTCCTGGATGGTACTGTTGGCGTTTGTGGTGTGCAGTCTTCTGCTGAGCGACTTTGAAGAACCACTTCACAGCGTCTTCTTCCTGAGCAGTGCCGTCCTTGCCACAGTGTGCGTTGTCTTCCGCCGCACTCAACTCAAGACGTCCAGCTACTGAACTCTGATGGAAGATGTCCTTTTCATGCAGTCATCACATTGCTTAGCTTTTAACATATGGCACGTCAGTACTGCCCTGCAACTTCGTTGTCGCCAGCACGTCTGTGATAGGTCTTATTGTCTGTGTGCCGTCTTAGAAAAATTGTTATGTGTATCTTTTCCTCCAAGCTTAATATTAATTACTTAGGAGTGTAGCAAAGACAAAACTGGGAAGTGTTCCACCTTCAGTCCGAGCGCACTGGACGCCACGAGCTATCCCAGCCGATCCAGCGCCAGGAGAAAATCGTGCGACCTGCCGGTTGCGCAGAGCGACACAGGGAGCTCAAGGTCACATGACACTCAATGCTAGATTGGCTGGGATGGCTCCTAGCGTCCGTTGCGCACGGACTGAAGGTGAAACGGAGTATAGCCCTCTACTTTTCTAGTTACATCTATACTTGCATTGGATACGCATGGTCACATGAAACTACAATGAACAGATATAAACCGAGAACGTTATCGAGTTTTCACACCATCAGTGGCAAACACTGAAGCCAGGTCTGCATACCAATGTCACGGCATAGACATTTTTATAGAAGCACAAGATCTAAAATTGAATGCAGTTCAAATGAACATGCACTAAACTGGGCATTCTTTTAGTTCAAAGCACTAGAACTTTGCCATATCTGCAATGGTAATAGGATTCAGTTGCTGTGCAATAACCACATCAATTCCTCCCTGCTGGTTGGATTGCACCAACTAACTGTGTATGTGGCGTGCCCAAACAAGAACCAAGCTGCCAAGTTATGAACCAGTCTACTGTAACTATCGTTTCCAATGAATGTATCAACCCTTGCTATTGGAGGAAAGAATTCTAAACAGCACTTTGGATGCAAGTAAAAAAAACCTTGAGCCTTTCCACTCTGGTGAAGGAAGAAGCCGTACTACCGTACTATCTGGGAAGGAAGTAATGGCTGGCCGCAAGTTGGCAAGCCAGAGTGGAAAGGCTGGAAAGGTTGCCGCGATCTATGAGCGACGGCGGCAACCAGACAACCGCCAAACAACACTCTGGACAGTTACTGCCATCTATGAGCGACGGCGGCAACGCCGGTAGTCTGGGTGCCGCCGTCGCTCAAAGATGACGGTAGCTGTCCAGCGTTGCGTCGACATCTCTTTGGGGACAGACACTATCCTGCGGACACAAGCCCTTAACAGCTCCGCTGTAAAATGTCTACTTGTCATAAGAATGTAACAAGACTGGTATCGCTAAAGGAGGCAAGATAAATCATTATGAGAAAAATAACTTTAAATAAATTGCAACAAGTGATGCATGCAAGTACTATGGCAGATACAACAGCTCATACAATCTTTCCTTTATTGTTACAACACCAGGCAATAGTATGTTTACACACAGGGACAATGTCTATGGACACTCTTCCCGACATACCAACCAATACCAGCAATATTAGCACTTTTTCATCTTCGTCCACATAGCGGTCACTAAAACAAGTCTTCATATCCTTGCACAAAGCGTAAAACAAAATCCAGAGCTTGTAATGCTCGATTCACGCTTTGTCCAAACACTTTTTTCTGCACGCGTAAAACATGGGCAGTAGTGGTTACATCAAAAATAAGTACCTCCCGCTATAAATAGCCATTAAAAAAAAAAAAGAAAGAAAAAGAAGGTGCAGGTTGAAGAGTTTAAAAATTGAAAACCCTTCATTCGAAGAAAAAGCCATACACACATTCAGATCTCTACGATAGAAGACTTCTGTTGTTCTCCCAACACTCTTGAACATACGAGATCACTTTTCTTTTTTTTTAACAAGAGGTACACACAAACAGAGTATGACAGCACATGTTTGGCACAGGTGTATGATGGAGTGTATACATTATAATATAGATACATGCGGCTTCCATGCCTTTAAAATCCTATCATTGATATTGTTATAAACTCTCATAGACACCCTGGTAGGGGGCCACCCTATGCAATCTTGCACAAAATGACCAACTTTTTATGCACATACACAAAAAATATGTATGTGGTGGCAGAAAACACTCAAGGAAAAAAAAAAGTGGGACATTGCACTTGACAAAGGAAGGCCCTGCACTTGGGATACCACCATCTGGACTTTACAAATAAACACTGACACCTTTGACTGGCCAGTCTGGATGAAAAGGTATGAGTGTGCTGGATGGACTTGATCACCCAAAAGTACTAGGAAATAAGAGCACAAATATTGCTTACTCCTAACTGCACATTTATAATTTGTCTTGTATAGTTTGTACTTTGAAATGACCAGAAAGAGGTTATCACAAGACGTTCTGGGGCAAACCACGAGCCCGGAAGTTTCCCTAGGTATAGCGCAAAAACAATTCAAGAAAAGGAAAATATTTTCTGCACATCACAGGTGAGACCGTTGCAATCACAATCTCTTGGCAGTTTGTCAGTGTGGAAAAAAAAAGACACCAAAAATATTATATAAAAAGGGGTAGGGTCAGTTTGTGAACACCTCTTGCAATGCACTCGGGCAAATTTACGCATTGATACCTTACCTTTGCTCCTTGTAAAGCATGTAAAGGCGCATAGAAAATTTTACCAATCTAACTCGGCTTGCCAGGCCAACAGCGTATGCCGCAATCGTAAACCCCCCCCACCCCCCTCCTCCTCCAAAAAAAAAAAAAAAAAAAAAGGCATGGGACAAAAAATTAAGGCACTACAGACAGGTACAGATAGCTCGGGTTGTGAGGAATCGCAACATATGCATGTGCCCAGCAGTCTCTGAAAAGAAGCTGCCTCTCAAGCACCACTGTGAAACCTAGGACGTGTAATACTGACATGGAGATCAACCGGTGCACACCAGAGGAAGCTGTCCTTTCCCAATATAGGTCTCGGCTGTCCCCACTTCCAAGAATGTGGCGTGCCCCCACACATTTTTAAGTGCTTTAACCCTTAGTTCATGTAAAAAAAAAATTACACAGATTTAGTTATGTTGCAACTAATCTTATGCAGCACCCCTAGACTGTGGTGAGGAATACAGTGGTGGAATGAAGAGGTGCCTCAAATGTTTCAACTGGACAATGCTGCCTTAGTTTTAGCTTTAAAAGAAGTATGCAATATGCCCTTTTGAGCCAATTTACTCCGAGGTAGAACCTTTTTGCTGTGTACCAGACTGAATGACAAGGTGTGTACCAGACTGAATGACAAGGTTTTTGGTATAAATTCTGAAGCTCCGTAAAAGGAAAAATGAAGGCATGCTTCATGAGCATTCATCCACGAGCGCCTCAGTCAAGCCTTCTCTTAGGGAAAACAAGGTGAATTTGTTTCAAACAGTGGATGCCCCATCCATTGCCCCAACCCCTTAACCATTGAACAAGGCTGCAAGACTACACAAAATGAGGTTCTTGCTGTGAAAGACTGAGCTGCCACTTTTAATATAAATCTTTCCACATGAAAAAAAAAAATTACAAGGTCACCTTACAACGCTTGGGTTCTCCCTGGGAACAAACGACACACTGCAACCTAGACAGCCTCCCTCCTTTTGGAGAGAAGGAAAATTGCACATATGCCTACACCTAAACCGATAGTGCTCTCTGCTTGTGGTCTACTAATGGCGGAAGAGAAAAACAATTTAGTCCCTGGGAGCCCGTATGCCGAGGTACCGTGATAGACGCCGAGCATTCTCGACGCCACCATTTTCGTTATGCATTGCTCCACCAAAAAAAAAAGTAGCCAGTGGAAATCGGCATTGCATGTTTGGACGGGTACACCTTCCACCCATTGCAGTCTACCGCAAAAACCGGGTCTGAAACCGCGAGAAAGGGAGGGCGGAGAACTCAGCGGAGGAGGAGGCCGTTTGCGGTGGTGCCGGGTGAATCCTGCAGGGGCTTCCACATGGGCCTGGGGTGAGAGGAGGCGAGCCCCCTGCCCCTGCCGCACTTAGGGGCACTGCGACCGGGGAGTGCCTGCCCCTGGTGGCGAGGAAGTGTGGCCGCCGCCAAACAGGCAGTCCCGCCAGGTGCCTGCTGAGCCGCCGACGGCATGCTTGGCGTTTGGAACCCCGCCACGCTCACGGTGGGGGCGACTGCCATCAGGCAGGTCCCGTTCACCACCTGCGCATACGTGGAAAAGGGCGGCCTCTGCACGATGGCACCCGTAGGGTCTCTTCAATTGAAAACTACCGACCGAGAGTTACTGATCAAGAGCTACTAGTAGAGAGCTATCAATCAAGAGCTACCGATTGAGGGCTACACGGGTAGATTTGCATCATGTGACATTTGTTTCCAAGCCAGCACCTTGTGGTCAGTGCAGAATTTATCAGTTCGTAGGAACCGCCATTTTCTCGTCTATCCCGTGCCTTGCCCTACAAGAAACTGAAGCGGAAGCTATGGGAATTGCAACACCGATAAAAACCATGTGCGTCGGTTTCTATTGGATCAGTGCATCTCGGTTTAACTGGCCCAGACGATGCACATATTGAAACAATACACCGTGCCATTTCCAACTACACCGTGCCATTTCCAACTGGTTCCCGATTAGACCTGGCAGCATGCGGCTTTGCCTTTGTTAATTGTACGAAGTACGGACCGTACGAGTGTTGTCTACAATAACTGTGCTTCAAAATTCTTTTTTTTTTTTTTTTTTTTTTTAATTTAAAGACAATGTTAGGGGATTTTAGTAACACCAGAGCGGTCTCTGGCAGACTGTTTCAGCAAGCAAAACAGTTCCTACATTCTTTGTGTGGCACTTTGCCAAAAGGTGGCTACAACCAGCAACAGTGATTCTACGTAATAAAATGGCTGAAGTTACTGTTCTCTCAAGTGTTGCCCTTTTCTAGAAACCCTTTTGTAGAAACTCGGTACGAACACAATCATCTAAGTTCGGTTATTCACGACAGGACTACGTAAATATGCTTGGCGTCTTACATATGAAAAAAGCATGCTATGAAGTTGCACACTTGTGCCTACTTTTGAGCCTTTGGATCTTCAAGTATAAGCTAGTACCAGGGATAGGCAAAATACATGCAAATATGTATTGAAATACTAATACAAAATACTTCGTCAAAAATGTATTTAATTACAAATCTAATTACATTTCCAAAAAAGCATTTAAGTACAAGATACAGATACAACCAAATGTATTTGGTCTGCTCCAAATACTTTTCCAAATACATTCTTCAAAATTTGCGTCAGCGACTTCAGGGCACCTGCAACGAGTTTCTGGGTATCTCATTTTAATTTTGCATCGCACACTCGGGAGTTAGTGTGCGAGGCTCTAGTAACGCAATAAAAATATAATAAAAAAAAATATGTAATCAGCTTGGACGTAATCGGTGAAAAAAGTACAGAGCTTCAAGCAAATTTTTTTGGCGATTACATTTTGGTATAGACCAACAAGGAACCGAGACAACGAAGACGCGCAGCACTAGCTAGAGAATTCTTTATTGTTGCAACTCGTGCCTTTTACGAAAATCTGGACGACCCGCGCATTCAGAATATTCCAGGCAAAAATATGGATGGAAATCAGGCTGGAAAGCATCACAAGTTGTCACAGGCACTTATTTAGCCAGTCTGACTGTAAACGTCGATTTTGTCACTATTCTTGCCTTGGACTAGCACCGTAATCAGAGTCACTAAACGCTTGTGCTTGATTGAGAGACGCTGCATTGGGTGCAGAACATAGCTTTCGTTCTGCTCTGGACAGTGACAATAAACTTGAGCGATGTATTTTTGCCCACAAAATTGTATTTTTTTACAATTGTATTTGAAATACCCACATTTTAGTATTTAAATACACCCGTCAAATACATTACCCAATTTGTAATTAAATAGAAATGCAAAATACACAAAGTATTTGAAATACATATTTCAAATACTTCTATTAGAAATATTGCCCATCCCTGGCTAGTACATAGCATTGCTCTTCTTCTATGAACATGACACTGAACATGTCTGGGCAGTCCTGCAGCGGATAACCAAGGTTAAACATTCGTGTTGGTACCGACTCGCTACGAAGGGTTTTCTAGACACGCCAAATGAGCTACACTTCGGTCACATTGTTGCACAGGATCACTGTTGCTGCTTGTCGCCACCTTTCTGCTTCGGCATTAAAAATGCGCAATCGCAAAGGCATTGTGTACTCTTGCAGTCGGAGCTACCTAAAACATGCAGCATCCACCTCACCCGCAATCAGTGGTGGAACGACAAGAGGTGATTAGGATCAATTCTTGTATCAAAGAACAAAGGGTTTTGGAGCAGAAATTTCCACTTTTGGAGCAGACAATTTCGAGTTTTCATGTCAGAAAATTTTATACTGTCTCTAACAGTTAGCCGGTGGAAAAAACTGCATTTGTTGAAGAGTTGGCAGACCACGTAGTGTCATACTTACAGGGGACCTGGCCGCTACAGATATTTATATATTTATTGAACAACCGTATGCAGGCAATTTTGCAGACGTCTTAATTACCCATTAGGATTACCAAAGACATCTTCAGTCTCTGTTTAAAGTAAAAAAATGTTTTTGGCTACTCTATAGCCAAAAACATCTTTTTATCACGGTGACGTAATTGTCGCGAGTTCATCAAATGGGCACTTTTGTGTTAGAGGAGTCCAGCCATACCTAATTGAGGTGATTAATAAATCAACTTGCTATATCTAAATTTTTTTTTTTTTTTTTTAATTCTGAATTGAAAAGAAAAAACCTTAATAATGAAGACAAGTTGTTAAAAGGTCGCTGACTAACGCATGCCCTTGAATAATAACTGCAGTTAATTTTGAAGATTTTATATCAACAATCACGTTACCCTTCCCTTTTTTTAGTGAACCAGGCACACGCACGTGCATTATAACGCATTAAAGGTGTGTTTTTCGTGCAAGTATGCGGCTGCACTATGGCGAAGCGAGTCACGAGATTGCGGTGTCAGCTCCACAAGGATTGCTTCTCCACACTGCACCGGCGCTTGGGGAGGAGCGCACTTAAGGGATCTAGCCCGCTGCGACCAACACTTCAAAAAGTATGAATATCGCAGTTTATTTTAAAACTAACATTAAATAGCGTATTTGAAACTACTATTCGAAAATTCAAATATTCGCAGAACCCTACTCTTCGCTCATGGTACTAAGCCAACAGAAAAAACAATAAAAAAAACTACTTTAATTTTTAGTGGCGTCACCAACTATGCCACGTGCCAGACACTTTCAGTCTCCTTTTGGAGAACAGCTCCCATTTGGCGCAGACATGGCGCAAATTGTGCACAAATATAGCCTTTGGAGCAGCACATAGCAGGTCATTCGTTCTAGCAGTTTGGCACAAATGGAGTCCAGGGAATTTTCAAATGTTGCTTCCTCCTCTTTGGGGCTCGTCTCGGATTGACTGCCGTCGAAGACGCAGATGCCGTCAAAGAAGTTCGATCTATTATTCTTCTGGACCGTCAGCAATGAAGTCCCCAGAGCTGACATGCCTCTAAGCTTGCTGGAAGCTGGACGTTCGAAAAAGCTACCCTGTTGCTCTCACCTCGTCGGCGACAATCAAAGTATCTTGAAGGTTAAAAAGAAAAGGCAAGTGTCTACACTTAGCGTAAACTTTTTTGGTGCTGTGAGACTAGCATGGTTTGAAACACTCCTTTTTTTTTTTCTACATACTGTTTGCAAATGGAATTTGCTCCCCAAATCAAATCTCTTTAAATTGTGCATCCTCGTTTTTAGACCTATTGAACGGGTTGCCAGAATATTGATATTTCAGGGTTTATTAAAATCATAATATTGTACTTTTTTTTCTCTCGCTTCTATAATGCAGTTTTTGCGTTTTTTTTTTTTCATATAGAAAATAGTGACACGTTTTTCCCACGCTCTGGGCAGGGTTCCATTTATTTTAGGAGAGTTTAGTGCTCTGCACCAATTATGGGTACAGTGGTAGCACACCTTCGTGTCAATCTTCGTCTTTCGTCGAGATATTTCAACGGTGTTTCTCCTACCTTGTCTGGCCCTTGGCAACAATTATGTGAGAAAAAATATACTGTAAAATCCCGTAAGGGCTCCCTCCCCCGAGAGATCGCCCATCCCATTTTTCTGGCTAAATATCGGAAACATAAAAATTCCGAAACATCGCACACCCCCCGATTCCTGTTAGACGTCAAGCGATGACCAACGGGAATCGCGCATCAACGGCGCGACTGACGGTACCGGTGTGTCCGAGAAGCGAGTTCATAGTGGGTTTTCGTGGTTTTGTCTGAGATCTGCGCACGATATCAACTCGCGTCACACGGTAGTTCTTTCCGCGTGTATATTGCATCATGAAATGCGAATCTGCTGCGTTCGCGATTTGCAGTATCCGTTTCCGAGTTCGTAGCGGATTCCCGTGTTTTCGTCCGCGATCTGCGCGCGCAATATCGATTTTTATCTGCAAGTAACACGCACGAGTTGTTCCCGCATGTATATTGCATTGTGAAATGCGATTCTGTTACGTCCACTATCGGTGGCATTTGTTTCTGTGGACATGCGAGTTTGTAGCGTATTCCCGTGTTTTTGTCCGCAATCTGCGCGCGCGATATCGGCTTCCGTGACGGGCAAGATTGTAGCGGGTTCCCACATCTTCATTGCACCATGAAACTTGAATCTGCTGTGTCCGCGAAATCCGTTCCCCGAGATGCTAGTTCTTTACTGGCTTCCGCAAGGTCCTGCGCACCGTGAAATGTGAATCTGATGCGTCGGCCACTAGCGATATCCTTTCCCGTGACACAGGAGGTTGTAGCGAATTCCCGCGTGTTTATCGCATCGTGAAATGCGAATTTGCCGTGTCCGCGATCTGCGGTATCAGTTCACGTGTCACGTGGTTTGAGCGGGTGCCCGGGCGCTGATCATTAATTTTTGATAAAGTTTTGCTGTGGCATCCCCAAAGATAGCCCACCCCATGTTTTTCACCATTTATCTCTTCATTTTGGGTGGGCGCTCTTACGGGATTTTACGGTAATAACACGACGACATGTTGACGCCAAATAAGGCAAAAGGCGGGCATCCCAGCCCCTGACCTTGGGCACCGTCCGCATTGGCGAGGGGGGTCTCAGGGGGTGCAGTGTAGCGGCGCTGCCGTGGGGGAAGGAACTGGCGGCAAGGGACGGCAGGTTGCTGCTCGACGCCCGCTGCTGACTTGCCGGAGGGCACACAGGGAGGCTTGGCGCCGGCATTGTCGTCCAGTACGGGGCGCCCGGGGACTGCGGCGGAGGAGCAGTCCAGGGACGCGGAGGCCGGCTGGTGGAAGCCGGGGTTGCCGCCGCCGGCCTTGGGCCCTGGCAGACGACGCAACGCTTCTCAATCGCGCGCTTGAGAGTGCATTTCGGGGGAGGAGGGGGAAAGGGGGGTTGGTCTCTATACCAGATAGAGACCGGTACGCTGTTTACAAACAAGTCGCTGTTTTCCCGCAGATTGAGATGTTTTAAAATCCCCCCCCCCCCCCCTAACAGCTGCAGACATAGCAAGTCATTAATTTGTTGGTAGCATGCATACTCAAGTAACAAGCAACTTGCGAATTCTTGCACTCTCAGCAGAGCTAGTGAAGGTATCAAATATCTGCACTAACCCACCTCCAAAGAAGCAAACTGAAACCAATTTATACAGCCCCCAACTTTGGTCTTGAAGGGTCACAATACATACACTAGTTAGCCACACTGAATGCCTGTTAGTACTTGCATGCATTCCGATTGATTACAGTACAACTCGGTGACAGGTTAAGAGTTCAGGGAAGACTCCACCCACCTCTTTTCACTTTAGCAAAGCAAGCACTGTAGAGGAGGTCGCCACCTCTCCAGCGTTTGCTCTGCTATAATAGAAGGAGGTGGGAGAAGCTTCCCCCAAACTTTTAACTCGTCACAGGCTATAGTTATCTTTTGCCAGTGAGTCTTATATCTTTTGCCAGTGAGTCGTATCCAGCACCACAGCCTTGTGACAGTTTGTAAGATGAAGGAGATTTAATTGGCACGCTACGGCCGAATTTGATTATATCTAACGTGGGTACATAGAATTATTGCCTATATCGAACCGTTGTAAAGTTCCGATAACAATTCCGCACATTTTAATCTTTTTATACCAAACGCGATTGGGCTCATAATGAATATATCAAACCCTCCCGTGCCGGATCGCATGTGCTCCGGAGGTGCGCACAGCAGGCATCGCCGCAACACACCGGCGCATGGCAGGTGCTTGCAACTAAAATGCTGGACCAGCACCATACGCATGTCGTTGGCACACCACATAGGGCACTGCGGCGTCGCCGAGCACCACACCCGTGCCACTTGCACTTTTTCAGCTCCTTTGCGTTTGCGTTGTATAGTCTGTCCCTTTCTGATCGCGATGGCTCCCAGTGTGAGGAAACGAATGTCGGCTTTGCCACGGTTCCCGCGATGTCGTCGATGGCATCGTCACGGTAACCACGGCAGAGATGACAGACATCAAGAGCGCCACCTCGTTGTTCAGGGGCGGCCAGCAGGCGCAGACACTGAGGACTTTGTGCCGCCTCCGAGCTCGAGCAAAGCTGTCGCTGCTGTGGCCCTACTACGCCACTACTGTGGTGCCGTTGAGGGCAGCGGACTTGCATCCGTCGACCGCTTAGGTACCGTGGAGCAGACCTTTATCGCGTACGAGACGAGTTCAAAGAAATGGGCGGCACATATGATGTGGTTTTTTTCGCTTCAATAAATTCTTGTTGTCTTTTTAAGAAACTGTTCCAATCGATGGTGAAGCACGGGACGGTAAGAGCCAAGAGTTAGCTTGCTACTGTGTCGGCTTTATTGCTCTTACTAAAACTTTCTGCTTCATTTCGTATAAAATTTTTTTCTATATCAAACTACATTACGATCCTTGCGCTGTTCGATATAAGCGGGCTTGACTGTATCAACAACCTCCAACTTTAACTGCCAAATAGTAAGAGAAGCAAGCCCCTTCAAAGCAACTAGTGCACAGTTTGACAATGTAAAGCAAGGAAGTGATCAATCAGACAGTAACCCACATTTGTACAGATGACACCCCGAGTGATTAATTTGTTACCTGCCTTTCACCCATGCTTGTAGAGTATTAGCCTATTCAAAATAAGTCTGCAGGCTAGTAGTGGTTGGATCCGACAGCTTTGTATTTATGCTTGGACTACATCCACATAATTCATTCGGTTGGCCTACCACTACCACATATTGCCCGCAATCTGTTATCGTGTATCAGAGGAAGGAATTCTGCCGCTATCTGTAAGCTAAAATATACTGCTTAAAGACATAACCAGCACACGTCAGCAACAAAACCTTGAAACCGCTTGAACTTAGCCAAAGAACAAGAAACATTCAACAGACAGCATACTGAAGCAAGACAAGGATATGAAGTTTTTCCTTCCGCACATCTGAGTATCACTGCAGTTGTCTCATTTGGTTCTTGAAGCTTCATGAATTTTTCGAATACTGCAATAATTATGACTGTGATAACCAAAACACTACTGCATGCAGTGCAGCGGTGGCATGCTGCACTTCTACTCTGAAACCGAAGAACAGCAGCAGACAAGGCGAGTAGCCCTCCACCAGAGCACTTGTCAGTATGGACACAGAACATGAAAGGCAACGATTAGGAAAGATGAGGTAAATAGGACACACAACCACCAACCTGTTGTCAACGGAAGCCGAATACCAGGCAGAACCAAAGGACAATGCATGCACAAAGAAACAACCAAAGGGCCATTGAGCAGAAAGGGCCACCAAGTGAGAAGCCACCGAAGATAAAAGAATGGATATAATCAAGGAGAAAAAGAAAATGGTGAATTGTTTGTGAACACCACCATGAAAAGATTCCCATGAGACAGGAATCTGTTGGGAGTCCAGACCACATGTCCACACCCAAGCCAAGCTGGAGCAGATGAGACAAGCAAGGTACAATGTTTGCAAGTAGGTACATGCAAGACGGACCAGATCCGCTCAGGAGGCAGATTGTGGACAGACCAGGCGAGGCACGATGCTCGCATAGAGGGACAACAACCCACCGATCACAACGTCGACTTACAGAAGCTGTTCAATCCGACAGCAGCCATCGATGCCGTGAGCGCTCCGCTGCCGCCGCCTCCTCCGTCCTCCTTACGGAGCATTAGGCCCAGGGCACCTACCTCAGTGCCCGTCTCGACAATGGCCGGATCCTGGTATTCCGAGGACGTGTCACCGCCGCCGATTCCGCCCCCCATGCTCATCATGGCGGCGGTCGGATAGACGTAGGTGGGGTGGCCCACACTCTGCTGGGGGTGAGAAATGGCTCCACCTGGTGACAAGCACTTGCGACCATGACAAAATCGACTACACTCCGTTCACCCCTAAGAACAGTGTGGTGGAGGCTACATGCTCGCTGGACAAGTAGCGGGTATATCTTTTGCCACGTAACTGTGCTACCGCCCATGGCCACGTGCATAAAGAGGCGGACGATCGGTCCTGCGCAAGTCTAGCTACCACCGCACTGTCAACTTAGGAGTGAACGCAGTATAGTTGAGAGACACATGGTTTGAACTTCAATAGAGGCAGAAGCTATGGTTCCATTCACAGTACGGTAAAGTTACCGCCATACTTTGTCCCACCCTACAATAGCTAAGGACCGCCAGACTTAATTGCAAGCAATTTGGGAACCTTGTGATATGTTCTGCCCCAACGTGAGCATGTAAGGGCTCTACACCATGTGGTAGGACGAGAGAGTATAGTAGTCAGATAGGGATGGCAATGCAAGATGGCTGCTCGCTTCCTTCCTAGAGATGTGCCACATGTTTATTCTCAGCAGCTTCGAAGAGAGTTGCACATACGTGGGAAGCCTTACAGCAGTGGTTCTCAAATGGGGGTCCGCAACAGCATTCTAGGGGTCAACGAAGCCCTGCCAGTCAAGCCCAACAATAAGTTTTTTTTGTTTTTTTTTTCAGATGGAGAAGATACATTTCAATTTTCGGGCGAGCTTTCTCCTGTGTATGTCAATACGTCTACGAGAAGTTAAAGAAGTTACTTCACACCAGCCGTTATATTCATTTATTAAATCATTGTTCTAATCAACTTATACCTTTCCCTTCTCACCCATACTGGGTCCTCCATTATCTCCACCGATCCAAAAGGAGTCCACGAAGCATCAACGGTTGAGAACCACTACCTTAGAGAATGACTGTGAAAAGAAACTGTGTGCCTCGGTCGGCAGTTCCCCATTTTCCTTCACACCCAAAGAACGTAGAACACGCCAATACATCTCACTTCCTGGCATTATTTTTTTTTTTAAACTTTGTCTAAAGTATACGTTGCCCCAACACCTGCATGTAAACATCTGAAGTATTGCTACCAAGTTGCACCCACCTAAGCAACTAAGTATGTCGAACATTCTAAATCCATCGTCATCAACTGTAAATGTCTCGTACGATTATTACTTGAAACCATATTGACCGCAGTCGTTCCAATTGCCTCCCGAACCCACACAAGAAACCCGTAAGCATGCGGTAACTACTCGCCCATGGCAACAAGAAATCTAGCATTGAGCATTAAAAGAAATCTAGCACATGCAGCGCAAGCAGCTGTTTCTTTGTAGTCACATACACCAAGCAGAAAGGAAAGGTTTCACACCTGAAAGACCGGCCAGAGAGAGGAATGTGCGAAGATCGAAGAAAAGAAGGTGTAGCCATCGAGCGTCACAAAAAAGGAAAGGAAGAGGAGAGGAAAGGAAGTGGGAGAAGGTCAGGTGGGAAGGAGGGGGTCCGGAACGCGCGTCTCTCGGCCCCTCCCGCCCCCGGCTCAGAAGGTTCGGTCCGGGAGCAAATACGGCTGCAGCCCCAAGCAGGAGGCGCTGCCCGTGTGCAGGAATGTGTCCGGCCCCATCGGGGGAGGGGACTGTGGCATCCCCGAGTCCGCCGAACCTCCCTACGGGGGGGTCCCGGACAGAAAAAAGAGGGACACTTCTAGAAGATGGAGGAGCAGCAGCACAGCACAGAACCTACAAGTTACTGGCCTTCCCGTTATCACTACGAACTTAGTTTGTCTGCTTTCGTGTTTACGTTCGTGAACAAACTCGTTCAACTACGTCGAGCTAGAGTCACTGGCAGAATGAGAATGGCAAGGCATCCCTTACTGATGTCCCGCCTCCAGAATTGGCCAGTTGCCTTTTGAAGTCTTTCGGCTGTGCGTGAACATTCAGAGCGGCTCGCAAAACACTGAAGTGCTATAAAAGTTAAGAAGCTTGTGCTGGAGGTGGGACGTCTGAAAGGCACCCCTGCCGTTCCCATTCTGTCAATGACTATAAGCTAATTAGAGAAAAGAGACCCCCTGACTTGCTCTAGATTTGCATGTAGATACAGAAAGTTGTACTTTGCAGCCATTCGCTGTAGCACAAACTTAATGCTTCAGGCGCAAGCTAGAGGCTTTAAGGGAGGACACTACCCCAAAAAGTGAACGATTGAACCACATGTCTGATTTAGATTACATTTACAGGGCTTGTTTCTGCTGAGAACATTTGTGCCAAATTTTGTAAACCTAAATAAAGTGCAAAAAAAAAAAAAAAAAAAGATTGCAAATGTTTAAAGATTAAAGTGGGCGTATCTGAGTAGGAAAACTATTGTTTTGAAATTACTTATGACTTCATTTTCATGTGTTATATTGCTTTAGGACAATTCAGAGCCAGATAGCTATGGAGCTATGTTTCTCTACTATGCCATCTTTCATGACAAAAAAGCCACATAAACACAAATACTGCTTTTGAATTTCCATCCTTTGTCTAAAACTCTAGTTCTTGAGCATGAAAAATGACAAAAATAATAAATACAAGCTCATACCTATGTTCCCCTTAAAATTTCACCCCAGAAAAACTCAAAAATAAATCAAAGTTATGTAATAACAAAACAATAGTTTTCCTGAAGTGAAATTTATGCCAAAAAGTGGAATGGAAAAAAAAATGTGTTCAAAGTGCTCCAACCTCTACCTTTTCTTTAGCATCGGTGGACCGAAAATAATTTATAAAAAATGAACTATGCAGTGTAAACTAATGAAACTGTTTGGGAATACTCTCTTAATGTTGGTGGAAGTAAATAGGACATTTTTCAAAATCAACTTTTTTTTGGCAGAAGTTGTTTTTTCTGGGTTGTCTCCCCCCTTTATAAGAGCTTTTGCCGATGAGCGTTCGCAAAGCAGAGACTGCTTCTAAAGCGACGAACTCACGCCTGCAGCCTCTGCTATCGTGTTTTCCATTAAGTACTCTCCAAATGTTTTGTGCCTATTGTGAGTGGCGCTGTGCCCCAAGTCTGAACAATATTTTCTTCATTCTGTCGAACGTTGAGAGAAAGGTTTCCTGCCCTGCTAAACAATGTTATCTAGGGCAGCCTTTGCAGTGAACTGAAGTAGTTTCCACTATAGGTAGTCTCAGGTTGAAATACAACAGATGGAATAAAAATCGAAGCTCCTCAGACCTTGGCTTTTTCTGCTACCAAAAGGAAAGTAAACAATGAAAGTAAGAAGAAGAAAAAAAAGGAAGGTTACTTACAGGAGGTGCCCACCTCCACTGCCCACTCGAAGCATTCCACTGAGACGGAATCTGCAAAAGGCAATAAAACCGAACCAGCTGTATTGTAGAAGCATCGTGTGCTGCAAACAGTCTGCATACAGGATGCACTGTAATAGAGAACAGAACGTTTGTAACCCAAAAAGACAAATTCTGTCCGTTAGGTTACTGCTCCAAATCGAGGTCTTTCCATCGTACTAGCAGTTTTGACGACAGCCTTTCAATTATAAAAGAAAAGTTAAAGAAAAAGAATCCCACGATCACTTGCTCACCAAAAGTATAGTGCAGTGTAGAGTACAAAACAAGACACTCACGACGTTCTGGTACTGGTAAGCCGTGTGCTGCGGATAGTACATGGACGGCTGGTACACCACAGGGTAACTGGATGTGGTTGCAGCGGGTGTGGTGGTCTGGAAGATAGCAGAAACGCGCACAAAAAAAAGAAAAAAAGCTTTTCTAACACACTTCTTTGAACGGAGAAACCGCTGAGAAGCCTTGTCCGCTGACGTTTTCAACACTTCGAGCTCAGTCCTCCAGGGCCCGTTTGCTCGAAGCTGGTTAACTAACCGCGGTTAACCGGATTTCCCTACGAGGGGGAATTTTGGGTCACGTGACCGGCAGAGTGAGTACGGCGGGGAAACATGGCGGTGCCCCGGTGAGTGAGCGCCGCTCGGTTTGGAACTAATACGTCGTAGTAGCTGCAGTAGCGGGCGAGTGAGTCAGCAATGAATGGTGCAGGAGGTTTTCGCGTTGCTTTACCTCACTTAAAACGCAAAACAGGAGCAATGACCTCGCCGCATTTTTTAGATAAGACTTTCGACTCTGGCCATTCCTAAGCCTAAATGAACGCGATAATTGTCGGCCTGGCAACGTCTTTGGAAAATGGATTGCCTTGACCCAATCGGCCGGGTATTGATAGCACACAAAAGCAGAGTGTGTTCCCATAGACCTTTTGCTAAATTTAAAAAGCACCGAGGTGCATGCTACGAATTTAGTTACACGCGCTGTACCTGCTGGCGTCTGCAGTAATAACTGTTCTGAAGCAAATAGCCTAAAACAAATTTTGCCGTCCACGCGCGTTCGTCAATGATTTATAATGATTATTTACTCCAAATCTTTTGTAAGTAAAAGGCCACCACGCGCGGATCGTAGAATTACACTTCCAGTGTTCTTCTCAATGTTCGGGTAATTTACTAATAGGTCAATTTTCAGTGGAGCCGAGTTACAGGTTTTTTTCAATTTATGATGGTGTTATATACAGTTCTTACATGCTGGCCAACCATGCTGCCGGTGTACCGCCCGCCTTTCATTGCTCACTTCTTTCTCATTGTTTCTAGGACTGAACTTCGTCGTCCTCTTTCGAACTCTGAAAGAAATTTCCACCGAGGCTTTTCTTCACTTCATACAGCCAAATATTTAGAAAAATTCCAAACAAGGGTTAATTTAGTTTTACCTTGCCGATTATTTGTACCATAAGCAATAAAAATTGTTTCTTAAACTCAAATGTATGCCGCGCTGCGTCGCGAAAACCAGGCAGCGCGCATTTTTTGGGTCCCCCCATTTCGGGAACCTTTCCACGGAAGCCACGTATATTCGCTACAGCCAGTAGGTGACACCAGCTACCACCCCATAATAAAACACGGAGCTATCGCTCATCCAGCCCTCGTCAAACTTTCTAGTTACTTGTAGGTACCTAGTAGGAAAGGGCTTAACCGCGGTTAAAGTTAACCGGCTTCGAGCAAACGGGCCCAGAAGCTTTAAACGCAAGCTCACAACTCCCTACGGGCTAGTTCCACAGGTTGTCTCGGAACAAGCCAGCAGAGCCGGCTGCCACCAGGAGATACGATTAACTGTTTCAACTATGGCCGGGGTGAGATTTCGATCGCTGCGAGACCTCTCGCGGAGCGAGCTAAGGTATTTTGACCAGATGATGTATGCTAACACGAGAGAAGAAAGGGGCTTGCTCACCATCAAAAGCCATTTGCAAAAGAAAATAAAACGAGAAAACACCAGTCTGTTAATTGTACCAAAAAAGGATGGCGGTCTGCTACAAACAGACTGCAGGGGCAACGTGATACCGGACACAAGCTTAAGCTGAGATAGCCTGCAATTTTAAGTCGCAAGCGATCAACATTCCGCACATCCTTTGCGGGACCCGAGTTGCTGTGCTGCCGCGTAGAAGCCGAAATCTACCGGCAAATGAAGGAGCACTGAACACAAGCACATCAGAAGCCGCAAGACCTCTCCCCCAATCCGTGTGTTGGTGAGAAGTTCACACTAAAATAACATCCTATTGTGGAAACGCAAATGAGTAAAAAAAATTGTCTATTGGTCAATAACGCTCGCTCAGCAGAAAGTTCGGATACCATGCCCAATATGATACCAGGAAGGTTCTCGCACTCGCCAGGATCGACATTAGGACACCTGGTGAGCGAGGTATCGTGAGCAACTTCCTCCACATATATTTTAGATTGTCTATTTCTTATGTACCGCACGAGTATCTGTTTTAGTGCTCGCCAAGTTTCAGGAACTGTGTTTCGCCATACGAGACTTGTGCCTCCTTTGATGTGTTGAGATGTCCATTTACTCACTTGCCCCTCCAACACTATAATGCCCTCACGAGCCACAAGGGGCACCCGAAATAAATAAATGAAATTTACCTGGGAGGTGGCAGAATACTGGTATGCCGTCTCGGGGGTCACAAAGAAGGCCATGCCATTGTGGTATGTGTATGGAATCCCGTTGTGGTACAGGATTGTCCCATTTGGCACAGATTGGGTGGGATCTGAAGATGCGCAGAACTCTATGCAACGAATTCCCAATCACTGTCATTTCACATCACAGCAACTAATAAAAAAAAAAAAAAAAAAAAAAAAAAAAAAACAGCTGGTGCAAGTATATATAAATTAAGGCCCGCTCACACTCTTGCGACCTCTTAAACCTGGGTTCCTTAAAACTTCTTAAACCAGAGAACACACTGGCACCATCTATTGGGAAGCAATGTAAACTCGGAAGTCCGGCATATTTTTTTTTTATTTCTCGCGCATTATCCTTTCTTTCTTGGCTCGAAAAACTTTTGTCAATGTTGTAAAGGAGCCTTTCTATGGGTATTACGCACATTTGACCTCGGAAATCCCGCAAAACCTTCACTCTTGTGAAATGCAGTTCTAGGGTCACCGCATAGATGGCGCCACAATGCCAGTGTGTTCCCTCATTCTAAAAACATTTAAGAAGTTTTAAGAGATCTCGTCTCTCTCAGTCGTACTCGGTCGCAAGAGTGTGAACGGGCCTTTAGGCCAGAGCTCAGGTTTGTACCATATTTTGTTTTATGATGAACCACAGTAAACGTTACAGGCCACCTCAGCTAATCCAGCGAGTGAACGATCACAGACCAGCATCCCAAGAGTCAAGCAATACTCGTGAGGCATTGATCTTGTCGACTAGCTTCCTCTGCGGTCCGTCATAAGATGAAGCGAAGTATAGACAGGGGCAAATTAGGGCAGAAGCTCACGAACCCTTGACTGCTTTCATGATGAACAGCAGTTCGTTATGAACCTGAAGCCTATATATGCGCAACTCAGCTCATACACGATTGTGGAACAGAGGTCATGAGGATTCTCTAGATCCGCTGTTCTGCGAGATGCCAGTTTGAAGAGATGGCCGGTTCAGTCCTTGTCCTGCGTCTTGCTTCTGAAGGGCCCACACCTGCCTCAAAATGGTGCTTGCAGTTCTTTCACGTAATATACAGTGCAAATCACCACAGCTGAGGAGTCTCACTTAAAGGGACCATGAAATGACCTTTTTACTTTTTCCAGATAACTTTTACATTAAACCGTCAATGTTCACTGAATGCCGAACAGGCATCCGTTTTCGTCTCGGTTTATTAACTTCTACACAAAAAATTAATGAAATATCGACTTTTTCTTTTTCTCCAACTGACCGCAAAACAAGCCGTGACGTATGCTGTTTCCGGAAGCAGAAGTTCTCTCGGCAGTAGGAGAATGGGAGCGTTAGCGGCGACGAGTTGGGGTGCGCCGGTAGGTTTTACTGCGCTGATATCACCGACGTATTTTCTGAATCGGCGCCTCTCATCGCCGCATTGCAGCTGAGCGAAATTCAATGAGATATGTTGCGCTACAGTGACAGCATGGGACTAGTCCCATACGCCGGTATGCCTGTTGGGAAGTGCAGCGCACGACCGGCTTGTGCAGCAAGTCTTCCGGTGAAGATTCCAGAAGTCAACCCAACTGATTGTTGGTAAAAGGCGGCCCGTGTCAGTCGTTTGCAAAGAGACGTAGATAGAAACAAATTGCCGCGGTGTTTTTCGCAGCCTCGGAGATGCAGGAGCGAGCCGACGTTAAAAAAGATATGATTGAACTACAAGTGTCAGCAAGAGCCACGTAAATACCTGTTCACACTCGGAGAGGACGCGCGCGTTTGATGGAAGTGCTGTATTCGCGCTGTTGGCAAGCGCTTCGGGACCGTTCTTTTACGACTGCAACTCGATACTGACGCGACACTCGGCAAAGAAAGGTTGGACCGGCATTGGACGCATACCTCCCACGAACTGTTATAGCTCGACAGTGACGTGCAGTCTGTCAGAATAAAAATGGCATACCAATAACAATGTGTACATACCGTGTTACGAAGGTAATCCATACGTCGTTTATTTCAGCTCTATATCACACAAAACAAGAAGATAGAATCAACGGGTCCCATTTCGACGAGTGTTCGTCAACACTGCCTCGGAAAACAAGGGGAAGAGATTGACCTCACCTCTTAATCTAAAATTGAGGTCAGCGATCAAACTATAATACGGGAAGGGTCCACAAGGGTCGCGTGGGCATATTCCATTCAGCACGCCAGCCGATCGTAGGCAGACGGTCTTTCGACGAAGCAACGCTGCGCCGAGTCGGAGTGCCTGCTAAGCCTATATTCTGAGCAGTTCGCTTTGTCGGAGTCTATGAATTTTCTCGGGTGTTTGTAGATCCAGTGTTCTTGTTCGTCGTGGTCTGTTTTAAGTACCGTTTTTCTTGCTGCTTGAAGTCGGCACACGCGAGAACACGTAGAAAAATAAAGGTTCAGTCAGTCAGAGTTTTGAGAGGAAGGAAATCAAAGGAAATAAACGTTCGTTGGTCGTCGAACTGAAGTCGGCCCTGCCCTACTGAACACGTGCAGTAGTTGCTTCGTTTACCACACGATAGATGGCGCTTGGCTCTCGGCATTATCAAATTTGGCAATTTTCGCCACACATCTCTAATTATGCTACAAAATGTGGATCTGAATATTATTTAACAAAACTTTTAGGAAACATTTGCCGGCTATTTATTGTTTACGATCGCAATGCTGGTGAGGTAGGCTCTTACCCAATAGGCGACATGGATTCGGCTGACGTGCTCCGTTTCCGCGGATGCATCATAGTGAAAAGGCGAAGAAAAGAAGGCGCAGAAGAGTCCAGTTTTCTTTTAAAAGTTCTATAGCAAATAATTTTTTTTGGCTCCCTATTTTTGTGCTTTTGTTTCTTTTCACACCTTTTATGACGTGCGGTGGATGAAATTCGATTTTAAAATCATTTCATGGTCCCTTTAAGATTAAATCCTAGACCTAAGGACCTTCTAGCCTAAGCTTCTCCAATTTATGCGGTTATTTTTCAATCATCAAGTATACAAACAGCTGTTCTTTCAACTTATCTCGGAATCACTAACCAAGACAAATCCAAACTTAAACTATATATAGATAGAAAAAAAGTGCTCGAGGTTATTTTTATCAACTACAATTCCTAAATACACAATTTTTACTTGAATAGCAAGAAAGAAAAAAAAAAATTTTTTAAATTATTAGCAGTTGCATTGCAAAGCAGTATTTGAAAGGAAGAACCAACAACTCACCATACACTCGTGTAAAAGGCTGCAACAAATTAAGAGCAAGGTGAGAATTGCTACACAAAAAACTGACCAGCATGAACATTTCTTCATTTCAACTCACTAAGATCTTCGCAGAAGAAATTTAAACAGAAAAAAAAAAAAAGATTTTAAGATAAAAACCACTAACCTGCTTTTTTATGGCTGGGGCAATGTTCAGTCTCCTCTCTCTGAGCATTACATTAGCTCCCTGCAAATAAAAATAAAATCAATGTGGAATGCAGATACAACCACAGGGATGCTCTGCATATTGTACTGCTGAAGACAAAAAAAAACAAAAAAAACTGAGCAAAAATATTAGCCCGTAGTTACAGAAAAAGTATTCTACTTACATTGCCGAAATAGTCTCCTTTGAATGCACAATTTTAGACAAAAGTAACAGAAGTCGAGATATGATCAATTTAAATATCCAGAGAGCCCCTGCTCTTCACAACAGAAGTATTGGTGCTTTAGTATGTGCTCATGATATGCTAGCTTACTGAACCGCGACTGAAGACATACAGAAGATTTTCAGGTTTTGACCGAAGTTGGGCATTTCCCATGGCAGACATTCATTTCCCATGGCAAACAAACACGATCCAGTCTTTGTGGTTCCCATTCACCACAAAGGGTGGGCAATGGTCACTTAGCTCCAAGTTTACAGAGTGCCAAAAGAGTCATCAAACTTCTGAGCAACAGACCAATATAATGAAGCATACTCTTTAAGAGAATATTTAACAGCCCTGTCCAAAGGAAAAAGCAAAACAAAAACAAGACAACTTACAGATGTTTGTGCCCTCTGAGCTTCTTCCTCGCTATCAAATGTCACAAAGCCGTAACTGCAAAACGTGCAAGGACAATTAAAAAAGGTGCCAAATTTTGCTAAAATATATCGCACTACTACCTTATAATTCTGCACAGACATACAAAAAATCAATCCTTTGCTTTTGTATGAGCATTCATTTAATTAAAGAAGGCACTGAGACCTTGCATCACTTAAAAAGCTGTATCCACAAGTTTTTTTAAGAAGCATTCTCTTCCCCTCTCTGTGTCTGTTAAAGGGGGAGCACAGTCATTTTATGTACAGCATTTTCTGGGATATAGTACACAAACTGTACAGAAGATTTTAATGTAGACTAAACACCAGGTGTGGACTATGCACGGCGAGCATACTATACGCCCGGTGTGGACTATCTAAGCACAAACTTTTATTTTCGACCCCGAATTTGCCTTTGCGGACTATGTACCGGCTGCGGACTACCGTATTTACTCGCATAATGAACGCACCCCCCACAACGGGCAACAATATTTTGACTTCCTTTTTCCCTCCTGTAATGAACGCACCTTTAATTTTGGGATCCACGAGTCTCGAATTACGTCCAATTTAGCAAGCCACCAAGCCAGTTTTCTTTTGCCGCCAAGCGGTCAGGCCAAGTCAAGCCAAGCCAGGCCAGGCTGCACACGTAATGGCCGCAAGTGCGTGGTTGCTGTAGTTACGGAAGTGATCAATCGTGAAACCGAGCGTCGAGCACACTTGACGAAGCTTGGGTCGAGGAATTGACAAGCCCCGGACATTCTTTGCCTAACGGCTGCATTGATGTCAACAAACAAGCCACTGCCTGTGGTCCGCTTTCGGATATTGAGATTGTTTAAGCGGTTAGGCCTAATTTCGCATACTGCGGGTAAATGTGTTTATTTAATCCGTAACGGAACGGCACAGCGAGGTGCATGCTGCACTGTAGGCTGAGAGTGTCTGGTAGCCTCTCTGTGAACGAAACTTGATCCGTGCGAGCGGGCTTGTTGCTTTTCAAACTGAGTGAGCTTCATAGGGCACTTTTCCTCCAGCTAAAGGCACCCCCAAAGCGCCCTCAAAAGGTTTGCAATTTACAAAGCACGGTTTTGTGCCGCGCCCCCGACCAGCCATGGGTGCGCCTCCATCACTGGAGACGTGACACAGTACCTTGCCGTGTCATATTGGCACCTAATATGACATTTGCACGAACTGTGTAAATGCAAAAATTTTACCCCGTGTAATGAGGAACTCCCTCCTCCCTCTTTCCCCCCCCCCCCCCCCCCCCCCCCCAATATGCTTAAATTTTTCGGGGAAAAAAAATGTGTTCATTATGTGAGTAAATACGGTACAGCCCGGAAAACACAATAAGCATCTGAAGAAATGTCCATCCACACTGGTCTCAAAAGCGACATGCGGAAGTCAACTGTGCTGCTTTATTCCTTTATTTTGTTTATTAGTACTTACGGTATATTTAAATCAGTTATTAGTGAACAAACAATTTATTCCTACTTTTCTAATTTACCTTAAAAAATGTATTTATTTGAGTAGTGCTTCATTCCGAGAGTTAACAAGAAAGACTATCCTCCTAAAGTGGCATCTCAGTCCAAAATGCTCCCAAAAATTCTTTTCAAACATTCCATTTTATAAATGCCCTCCAGGCTTTTTAATACTGCACCCTTTCCAGGGTGGTTATACAACAGAAACAGAGGCGACCTCACTCATCGCTCGTGCCTTCTCAATCCAAGACCACTAGAGTAGTCAGCTTGGCCTCTTCTATAGCATACAATTTATTTCCTGGTCAGAGTCCGGTTTCGAACTGATGTTCGGGGGCTAACGAAAGGACAAAGGCTTTCAGGGCCTTGAAGATGAAGACTTTGTATTCAACAAGCTAGAAGCAAGTGCCAACTCGCACAATAGGCTGTAATGAAACATGCCATTACAGCGACACACTCACCCTTTGGAAACTCCGGCTCTATCTGCAATAATTTTTGTGTTTGTTACTACGCCGTAGCGCGAGAAGAGCTCATGAAGTTCTGCCTCTGTAGTCTACAGAAAAAGAGAGAGAGAAAGGTAATGAGATACAAGCATCAACCACCACTTTATTTTTTAGGGCCTAGAGTTTTCGGCGTCGACATTTAGTCAAATTCGGCGGGCGCTTACTGGCAACTGTTTTAAAGGGATACTACAACGAAATTTCGGCGCTTATTTTTTTTATTTAGATGTGTTTAAAGGAGCAGTATCATAACAGACGCACCAATATCTTGTTAAAAAAGAGATGAAAAGGAACTTTAAAGAACTAATCGACTAGCAAAGAGCACCTGGTGGATGTCGCTAACGCCTCGTTTGTAATGCCCATCTAGGAACCTTGACAGGTAGTGACGATAACTGTCTTGCCTCCGGCCACCACGAGAGAAGTGGGGAAGGAGGAACTCCCCTCTTTCTGAGAATCTTTTGTGCAACACAGAAGTCACTATTGTCCTACAAGATTATAAAAGATTAAAAGCCGCTTCGGTGGCTGGAACAACCAGGACATCCTCTCGACGTCAGCCTCATCGTAGCTTTGCTCGTCCCGAGACGAACTACGTCACGATTGCGTTGGATGTCACGCATGGTAGGCGCTCCACAGGCGCCTGCCATAGTGGGCCGTTTATAACGAAAAATACGGCCACCAGGCTCAAAATACAAACGTGCAATTGTCATCTACGGATATTGTGGATCATATTGAACCTATTTTTGAACACGACGGGTATATTTCAAATTCTGTTGAAGTATCCCTTTAATGTTCACTGAACATTGCATCGACCGGCGTTTATCTTTTACAATTTCTCGCGTCTAAAGCCATTTGGTGCCCTCAGCTTTAAAAGGCGATCGGACCAGACGAGACCCACCAGCTGTGAGGCCACCTTTGCACGAAAGTAGAGACTGTCTTCCAGAAGAAGTTACAAGGGTACCTGCCGTCGTCACATACGGTAGTTTGCTTCCGCAGTCACGAAGGCCGTCAACACGGTCGCAGGCGCCCTTTTGCATCCGGCCCGTCAGTAAGCTTTTGACAGTAAGCTCGTCAACGTCTTTCAAAAGGTTTAAATTACTGCCACGCATTTAGACCTGTTTTCCGTGTGGCGAGGCAACCGTGGCATCTGGTCATTTTTTCGTCCGAAACAACCCACGAAAAACTCTGAAACGACAAGTCTGCCATACTCACTGTGGGAGAAATGCCTCCGACAAAGATGCGCTTGGGCACCATGGTGCCATAGCGGGGAGCGTTGAGGGACGAGGGAGACGAAGAGTGAGAGCCCTCGGTGCTGTTCGTGGACTGGAAACCGGGAAGAGGACACACCGTGAGAAAAATGACATCACCTTCAACCCCCCAACCCCAGGGAGGGGCATCGTCCTTCACCCCCGAGGGGGTAATATATATAGGGGGCACACCGGGGGCAGGCTTGGAAGAATGAAGGGAAGATTTACAATCAAAAATAGGAGGTTAGCTGATGATACATATAAATTTTTAGCTTACCCGGGACGCATGAAATCGGCAAGCAAAAATATAGTTGATGGTACAAAAGTCGAAACGTTCAATGGAAATTATGCATTCAAAGCACAATGGACATATTATGTGCCATATATGCCAAAATCAGAACGAAACAATGCAGCCTCTGGTTTTAGAATGTACAAGTCTTTGTCGTGCTCTCCCAAAGGGGTCAGCAGATTTGGTGGCAGCGCTCGGATTTGCGGACGAGAATGAAGAATGGAGGAGAAGTGTTACAATTGCAAAGAGGAGAATGAAAAACTAATGGATACAGTCTAGGGAAAATAAAATAAGGACAAACAATTAGCACAGCTGGGGGACAGGAGGGACAGAGAAATATTGGGACTCCCTCCCCAAGGCTATGGCCCAAAGCCTCAAACCTGTCGCCAAGTGGGTCTGGTTCAAGGAGAAACACCGATAAGGTTGACTAGAGAAAACTTGGAGACTTCCTCGCCCGGGGGAGGAGGCAAGAGGCGGTGTTTAAATTTTTTTTGCCCAATCTCCCAAAGGTTTTTTTGTTTTTTTTAATTACTCTGCCTGTCAAGTGATAGTTGCAGGGAGGTAGAGAGAGAAGAATTTTATGTAATTTAAGGCTAGGTGGTGCAAGCTACCACCCAGTATAAAGGAAACAGCCAATATCCATCCTTCCATCCGGGAAAGGGCATTGAGAGAATCTACCTTGTAACCCAAAACATGCTAAATAAAAAAAATTCAATGTTGAGGGTTTTATAACTCAAGTCAAGTCAAAACTGAGGATTAGTTTTGACCACCTGTGGATTCTGTGGCATGCTCTACTGAGACTTCAGCTACACAGTGCCTTCCATGCGATAATTACTGCCTTCCCTGGATGGATGGATGGATGGTAATGGGTACATCCTTTGTAACGAGCGGCAGCTTGTGTCACCTAGCCTAACCGTTCGTCATCCCTTTTTTTTAAATGTGTATAAATTTTTTTCTAACACAACCCTCCCCCCTTTTAAAGTGTTCCCATTGCTTATTTTTATCTGTATTTTCCCTACTCCCTAGATCTTTTCCACAAACCTTCTCTTAGTTGCCGCAATTCTTTCCCTATCCATTTGTCCGTATCTGCAAATCCCAGAGTCCCCTCCAAATCTGTAATCATCCTCCCACCTCCCAAAAGGGTGGGACGAAGCCCCGTGCACCTTAAAATTACATGTCCTTTAGTTTCCCTATTGCAGCTGCATACGTCGCACAGTGTCTATTTCCTGGAATTTAGCCCTATATGTCTTCGTTGTTAGAACACCCATTATAGCTTCAAACAGCAACGAGCTCCCCAATGAATTATCATACGACTGTTCCTTCTTTAATTCTTGCTTTTGTGCCCTTGTCACAGAATTCACTATTTTTATCTTTTTTTTTGAGTCTTCACGAGGGAGCGCATCCAGTCGTCGGACGGCCATTGCCCCACGGGGTCAGCAGGAGAGCTGGGGCCATTGGCTTGTGCTGTCTTGTAGCCCCCGCTAGTTGGGAACTGCGGGAGAGGTCCACTCTCGAGGAGGGTGTGGCGGAATGTTCTGTCCCCAACTAGGGCGGTTTCTCCCTTTTTTGTTGTTGTTGTGTTGTCTTGTCAAGGAAAGAAATGGGAAAGTGAGGACCTCGGCTTGGTTTTGAGCCAAGTCGAGGCAGTGTATGCCGAGACTGAACCGGTGGGTGGACGCGACGCGCAAGTTGGGAGCGACAGAAGGCGGGAAGAGCTCGGAGCGGCTCTGCAGGCCCTCAAGTGTGTGCTCGTGGACGAGTGTGGTGCCGAGGAGCATCTCACGGAGCATTGAAGCACGCACAGACTTCCCCGTTTCGACCAGCGCCGCAACGGGCCCGCGTCACCCACACCACTCTCCGGACCCAGGTTGACTTCACTCACTTTCGTAGAATTGTATAACATTTAGAGCTATTATTGTATTCTACTTTATTGTTTTTGTTTGTTTGTTTGTTCTTGTCTAGTGTCCAGGGTGGACAATGCCTTTAAACCGTTGCTGTGCCGGTTATTTTTTTTTATGTATGAGTAGTGCCTGCATGCAAAGGAAAGCAGTGTTTTTTTCCCCTTGAATTTCATTGCGTGTAAAGCGCCGCGTACGAGAAGGGCAGGAGTTGGTTTGTGTTTGTTACTTTTTTTGTGTTTGATGTTGCGGTTTTGAGTGCGAGTCAAGTAAAGCGTTCATTATTTAAATCCAACATCTGTCTCGTTCCTCGCCCCTCACAGTGAATCCGTCCACCAGGGTGTGGACCTATTGTCCGGTCAGCGGTCCTAACAAAATTATAAATTTTGTTTGCACGGGGATCATTTCAATCTTAATTTTCTGAACCTGTGACAGCCCTGTACATTGTTAAAGCTGATTTCCCTTCAATTCTCTCTTCCCACGATTTCCACTCAGTTTCTTTTACTCCCTTTTCTACCGATATGCTCTCATCGGCCCCATCTCGTTGAATGTATTAAACCTCAACTTGTGGTTCAGTTTATCCAGTGTTCAGACTTTTCCTATATATATATATACACTTTATATATTGATACTATATACTAGACATGGATGTTTTCTCAACGTACCAAGGACACTACACTCGCCTTGCGAACAGGATTATTTATACAAACGCATACCGAGCAAATCAGACTGGTATAGCATGTGATATAGAGCTTTAGTCATCACATTTGAAATATATATTTAATGTTAAATTTGTGTAAAATTATCTAGCAGCATTTTATACAGGTAAAAACCGGAGTCATGGCCAGCTCCTGTTCTCATACCCCATTCACACGGTCAGCATAAAGCTTTAACCTAGGCCCCTATGCTATCGGCAAATCAGCCCGTGCTCTTGGGCCGCGAGCACACGCCACGCGCGGAAGATTGTGAATCGATTGACCGCAAAAAATAAAGGTCTCTCAGCTAAAGGTACCTTTACGGTCGTGTGAATGGGGTATTATACCCCATTCACACGACTGTAAAGGGCCTTGAAGGTCGTTAAGGGCCGCTTCAGACGGAGCAATTTCACCCAGCAACTTGACGTCGCAACACCAGCAACACGGGCTGCCCGCGTTCACACGCAGCAACCGAATTGCTCCGACTTGCCATCCTCAACATTAAAGGGGCGATGCAACAATTTTTGTATTTTGAGCAAGTACCGCTTAGAACGAATCCCCGACGTTAATGACCTGTGAAATACCCGTTCGTTTTTCACTACACGCAATCGAAGTCGCAGAAAAAAAAAATAAAGAAAAACGAGCAGAATTCACCCCCTCAACTCGCAGCCAGAAGAAGCGGCCACGTGATCTGGAGCCGATTATATGCTGCCAATGTTGATCATAGCATTGCACTGGGGTTGGCAAGGCACAGGACACGCGCTGAGTTTCAGGCATTGTTATGGTTCGGCTGTTGTCATTGCAGCGATTGGACACAGGACACTACCCGAATGCTTCTCGAGCTATAGATTATCACGAGCTCAAATCGAGTGCCCACGCAATGCTCGGGTCCAATCTATGAGCCGCATTCAAATATCGTCACTGGGCGGTACTGCTACCGCCGAGCTACGTCATCAGGTTTTGCGAAGGAGAGATTGAATGAAAACGCTCGGTTTTGTTTTCAAAATTCCAGCGCAAAAAAGAGTTTCTTGGTCAGTGGCTTTGCGTGCGAGTATCCTTGAGTCCCATTAGTGCCAGTAAGCTCGTTTAAAGTGAAAAACATTCCAATTGAATATTGTTGCACCGCCCCTTTAAATTTGATATTTCTTTCACTATTTGGACGCCCAGCTACACGCTAAAAATGTGTTCTTGTATGTTTGAACACCGTTGAGAATACTAAGGCCTACTTCAGACGGGGCAACTTTTCCAGGAATTTTGAGGTTGCTGGCGGGTTGTTCCCTAGCTTTCCCTAGATTGATGCGGGTTGCCGAGATCGGGTCTGGCTCGAACAAGCGCACAACTCGAAGCAATTCGAAGACGTTTGAAGCGGCTGCAGCCAATCAGGGACATGATGTTTTCACGTGACACCCGTGTGGTGGTGATGATGACAGCTAAGGCCCGCTTCAGACAGGGCAACTTTTCCAGCAATTTTGAGGTTGCTGGCGGGTTGTCCCCTAGCTTTCCCTAGATCGATGCGAATTGCTGAGATTGGGTCCGGCTCGAACAAGCGAGCAACTCTGAGCAATTCGAAGACGGTTGAAGCGGCTGCAGCCAATCAGAGACGCGACATTTTCACGTGACACCCCTGTGGTGGTGGTGATGACAGCTAAAGACTTATACTTCGTTTCAGCATCGGTCCAGACGCAGCCAAAGCTACAAGCGCGAGCTCTGGGCTTTCAGCATCCCTGCCAAGCAGGCGCGCTCGTGCAGTGCAAGCACTGTTCTGGGCCACACGCTCGCGCTTGTAGCATCGGCTGCGTCTGGACCGAAGCTGAAACGAAGTATAGTTCTGGTTTGAAATGGATCGTTTTCGGAAATAAACAGTTTCAGAAAAATGAGTTAGTATTCTCAACGCCGTTCCAAGATATAAGAACGCGTTTTTAGCGCGTAGCTGGGCGTCTAAATAGTGAAAGAAGAATCAAATTTAATGATGATGATGGCGAGTCGGAGCAGTTCGCTTGCTGCGTATGAACGCGGGCGGCCGGTGTTGTGACGTCAAGTTGCTGGGTGAAATTGCTCCGTCTGAAGCGGGCCTAAAGACTTAGTTCTGGTTTGAAATGAATCGTTTTTGGAAATAAACATTTTCAGAAAAATCAGTTAGTATTCTCAACACCGTTCGAACATATAAGAACAGGTTTTTAGCGCGTAGCTGGGCGTCTAAATAGTGAAAGAAAAATCAAATTTAATGATGATGATGGCAAGTCGGAGCAATTCGGTTGCTGCGTGTGAACGCGGGTGGCCTGTGTTGCGACGTCAAGTTGCTGGGTGAAATTGCTCCGTCTGAAGCGGGCCTAACTCATTTTTTTTTAAATGTTTATTTTTAAAAACGATCCATTTCAAACCAGAACTAAGTCTTTTAGCCGTCATCATCACCACCACAGCGGTGTCACGTGAAAATATTGCGTCCCTGATAGGCTGCGGTCACTTTAAATGTCTTCGAATTGCCCCGAGTTGCTCGCTTGCTCTAGCCGGACCTGACCTCAGCAATTCGCATCGATCTAGGGAAAGCTAAAGAGAACAACCCGCCAGCAACCTCAAAATTGCTGGAAAAGTTGCCCAGTCTGAAGCGGGCCTAAAGAAAGAGTCAATGACTCGTGTATGACTTTTTTTTCTTTTCACTTAACCATATTTTTAAAGTAACTACTCGCACAGCCAGTACCGCTTTACGACCGAGCACAAAAAGAGCAATGTAAAATGGAGTTTCAACAATGAAATCATACCAAGCGCTGGCTTTGCTGTCATTCAAGTCTGGCAATACAATAAATCGAGTTTGTAGTTTAGACATCTTGGAATTTGTATAAATTTACAAAACAAAGTTTATTCCATCCCTCACCGTGGGTAGACAAATCACTATTACATCCCCAGAGTGTAATAATGGAGGGAGTTAACAATGCGCTCAGCAATTTAATTTTCCCTGCACTGCGGAAGCGTTTTCCCCAAACAGGAAAAACTCAAGACAACCGAAGAAATAAGTTTAGTCACAGTCGCTATTTCCACACAACACAAGGAACTATGAACTCAAACAATAAAAGACAGCAGGGTTGACAAAGGCGCAAACATAAAGCCGTAGCGAGCCTCCAATGTGGAACCACCTTCCGAAGATGCCGCGGTTCATGTCCACACAGAATGGCAGACACCGCAACTAAAGCCTCATGAACGTAAAATAACAGGGTTAGAGCAAAGACCGGTACGAGTAGGCACCCATATTTACCCCGCGAGGCATGTTGATCAGGCAATGCACTGTAATACTTGGAGATGATAACCGAAACTAGAGCGAGCGATCGCCTTCAGCACACGGCGCAAAGTTGTTGGTACCTAGGACCTAGGGACTTCTCCATAAACGTGTCCCTAAGACTTCCCTAACCACGTTCCTGTGGTCCGCGTTATCGTTCGGGGCGGAAGACCCGCTGAATCCAAACGTCGGAAACATGACAAACAACGTTGATTCGCAAGCGTACGCAAATAGCCGATTCTCGGTGTCGCTAAAGTTGTTGCTGCCTCCAGAAAGATTCGATACTTGCGACACAATGAGGAAGCACAGCGAACACAGTATGGTCTTGCGAGCAGTACGTTATCCTTCTGTTCCGTCTGAAGGCGACCGCGCACCGCGCACAGAGGGCGTGAAACATGACCCTCGGCTTCAGATGGCGTGCTGAATGTTTACATCAGCGGAGGGGAGTGCGCTGTTTACACCAACGCGCCGCGGAGAGCCAGGTGATGCACTCTATCTGCTGCTTGCCGCACGGCAATCTACCGGGAGGCCCGGACGCCCGAGGTCGCCTCAGTTCTATCACACACACGTAGATGTTAAAATATGCAAACGATCAACTTGTCAGCTCATAACCATTGCGAACGAAAATTGCTTCTGCCGTCGTCGTCTCTGCCGTCGTACAGCTCTGTCGAGCTATACGACGGCAGAGACAATACGCCGATGATTAGGCGGTTCTAGAGCATCAACCACGTCTTGAAGGAGGGGAGGGGAGGGGGGGGGGGGGGGGGGGGGGGCGACATATTGCACAGTCCTTGACAAAACAATACGCACATTACAACCACGGCATCGCGATTGTCGACAAAACGGTGAGTACCAAAATGGTGGTAATTAGGCCTAATTAGTACCGAATCGCCCTGCCCGGTTATCTACGGTTCGATTTAGCTACGCAACAGGAACGATCGAAAAAAATGCATAACCCCAATATGACAATCGAAGCTGAAAAAGAAAGAAAGAAAAGCCAATGTTTTTAAACCGCGAACCAGCGTTTTTCTTAACGTTAACCCAAAGACGAAACAAGTTGCGCAACACTGTTCCGGTTCGAGGTCACTGCGGAAAACCAAGATGAATTTGCCGCGAACTTTCGCGTGAGTCGCAGCGGGGCAATGTGCCTCCAGTTTGCGTTCATAAACTACAAAAAAAAAAAAAAAAAAAAAAAGTGAACACACGAGGTAGCAGGGAGTCGCAAAAGTGGTTGTAAGGTCGAGGCAGTGAACACTGCCCGTTCGGGTCGAGTATCCGCAGCGCCCAGACCCTGAGCTTGCGTCTATTTTTACCTTTGCTCGCAAGACGAGAATAGGGGCTACAAAACCCAGCGTTCCCGCACACGAGGAATACGAGAGAACAGTGCCGTCCACTCACCATGGTTCTGGTGTTGCTTATTGTTCTTGGTTACTGTTCTCCTAAAAACACCTGTCACAGCGCGTTACACCCTCCCAGCTGCAATGCACGACGACGCAGATCACACCCGCCCGCCAAATCTCGTGTGCTGGGACTGAATGGCTGCGCGTGCGACTGCGCAGTTGGCGCTAAAGTCGACCAGGGGGAAAGAAAAAAAAAGAAGAAAAAAGAAAGAAAAACTGGGTGAGGTTGGCTGATTCCCTTTATTCGAATTGTTTCCGCCAAATTTAGACAAGTTATTCTGATAAATTCTGCCACCTCTTATGTAGTTTTTTTTTTCATCTGTTTATAATAATTCACTCCACAAAAAAAAAAGTAGCCTCATAAGATATTTGAATTTATATAGACTAATTTGAGAACCAAGATTCGGGCCTTCAAGGTCTACGATTTCAAAACTGAAACAAGAACCACGCAAGACAGAACTCGTGAAAGTTTTGAAGCACTAAACAGCGAGAAACGCTGCGCACCGATTTGACACTGCTGCCCACACGAGAGACCCTTCGAAAAAATTAATAAGTAAAATAAAATAAAAACAAAACAAAATTTTGTTCCAAAGATACGTTTCACTCGCATCACAAGCAGCGCTCCGAACGAATTAACAATTAAATGACGCACTTTAGAATTAGTTCTAAAGTCAATAAAATAATAAAGAAGTTCCCCCAACTCTCTTGAGTAACCCGGCAAAGCACACGTTCAAATGCTTCAAATTTAGCCACAGGCACGCTAGCGTAGCCTTATTAAATGTTTTGTCTGTATAAACGCTCGAAGGACGGACACTTTTCGAAGCCACGTGCCCGCGTCCCTGCCTTTTAAAACGCTTCATCCAACGTGCATGGTCGCGTCGTAAACTTACCGGCTACCTTGGCTTTAGGGTCCATCGGTTCCCAAGGCGGTCGATCGAGATATGACGATATCTATGAACGTAGCAAGGCTGCATCTTCTGTAAACACTCTTCTGAAGCATTCACATGGGGATGTGAATGCTTCAGAATGGAACTGTTCCTATGATTCACTCTGACCCCATGCAATAGCTGCAGAGCTCCAAGAGGTGCATCAATGCACATGCATGATGTTTTGATTGCATACTCATTCTCTGTACAGTTCAGGTGGCAGGCGAAAGACAGTGTCAGATATTAGGCATCCAGCAAGTCTTACATCGACAGCCACAGGGAACTTATTTTCACAAACGCAAACAGGAGGTACTTGGATTACAACAAGGGGAATAGATCGGTGGCCGAATGGGCCAGCGCACACCAGCGCGGAGCACGTGGAGCGAAAGCTCGCGCTGCAGAACACAGGGACGTTGGGTTCGATCCACACCTCTGCCCGTTTCAATCTGGATGAGCATCGCACCGGCGTGCGGTCGTTCATCACTACTGCGTGGTGCATGTTAAAGACCCCAGGCTAGCGGTTGTATCGCACTGGCTAAATTGCTCATCTACAGCTGGAAGACTCGTCGCCCATTGAGGCAGACCAAGTTCTAGGCTGTATAAACATACACACAACTTTTTTTTTTTTTATAACAATTTGTATATTACAAAAGTTTCACTCCAAGTGCAAGCCTAGCAAAAGCTACAAGAGCGACTTGGGGCTTTCAGAATCCCTGCCAAGCACGCACGCTTGTGCAAACATCGTTCAGGGCAACGTGCTTGTGCTTGTAGCTTCGGCATAGCCCGCATGTGTGGTGAAACAAACTAGTACAGGCTGTAATAATGGAGGTTTGTGGTTCAAGCCAACACCATCTACAATAATCAAAGCCCGAGCACCAGTATTTCAACGTCATTGCAGAGAGATTGAGCCTACACAGACTCGAGTGCTGCTTCAAAGTCCAGCTGGACACTCATGCCATCAGACTGTAATGACGTTACATAGAGGTAAGGGAGGTTGTTCGCTGGCTTCGATTATTCGAGGTAGTGTTGGTCAAGCAGAAGTAGTCAACCAATTCGAGGCACCCTTTTACTGCCCTCCGATAGCAGATCCACCTGGAGGCTCACCGAGAAAGGGTCAGGACCAGATAAGGCACCTCACATATTAGTTTTATTTACACATCTGCACACTCCTACAACAAAAGTGGAGTCGACTGACAAAATACACTCGGCGGTGTGTACAGTGAAGAAACATTCGTTAACATAACTTAAAAGCTGCTAATTTCGCAGTGGTTATTATTTACATGGTAGATAGAACCACAATGTCCAGGCTCGTCCTAGGTATGTGGGTTTCTTTACTTTTTTTTCTTCTTCAGAATAACACACCAGTGTTGTACGGTTGCTGCAAAGAGGGTAATAGTATTCATACTCTTACTTCAGCAAAGGCAATGAAAAGAAAAGAAAAAAAAAGCTCACACTTGGCAACATTAGTGATCTGGAATGTTTTTACCAATTCTCGGGATCAGAAAAGTGCTTGTTACAGCACTTGTGAAAGGAAAAACAACAGACTGTACAGAAGCATTGCTCAGCCTATTCCAGCTCTATACACTTGAGTTACAATCAAAGCTGAGGGGAAAAAAAGAGGAAGTGATCTATACAAGCATGCATGATATCTAATTTGTACCGCAGGGAACAGAAGGCGAAAACAAATGTTGCGAAATAAATATGCTCAACATAACTGGTCCCATTGTCTCGTCGCGACAAGAGCTCAAAATCTCCGTTTCACTGAAAGCTCAAACACTGATTTCCCTAACGTTCTCGACACACACCAAAAGTATGCTTGCCCTTACACACCGGTTCTTTTTCTTCCTCACAAAAACTCTTTTACATAGTTCAATTTCTCCCAGCTGAAGTATAGAGCACTAGAAACAGCACACCCCACATTTTAAAAGAGATTCTCCCAACAACATGCAATCAATCATTTTGCCATTCATCACAAACTAGAAAGTTTTGTATAGAAAAACATTTACTGACTGCATACTGGCAAACTACACAAGATCAACGTCGGCGAACTCGTATGCCCCACCTGCTCTACGTACCCTAGAAAATTCAATTTTGGAGAAACATGGCGCTCGCCAAATCGGATCAGAGTCAAGGACGTGGCCTAAAACAGATCGTGCAAACCGTTAATGTCTCAAACTAGAAAAGAAAAAAACAAAACAAATTTTGGTCCCCAAGAAACAACCACACATAAATACGCTCGGCACAGATTTTTCCGAGCGACAAATTTTGTTTTCTGTGCAAAAAAAGAAAAAAGACGCGTGTTGAAATCGGCCTGGTCGGCAATGACGAACCCTTGTGCACACACACACACACGCACCCCAAGCACACTCGTTCTTGTCCGAGACTATGAGTCTTCGAAGAGGCAGCTTCTGTCCGAAAGGCGGGGTTCGCAGCGACGACGGGAACCCCACAGAGGATCAAATGCGGGACAGGGGCGGGCGAGGATGGCCCCTGCCTGATCACTTCTGCTTGTAGCCCAGCGCTTGCACTTGGCCGTTGACAGTCTTTTTCGTTAAGACACCGTCTTCGTGCACCGTCACTGTTTCTACACCATTCTCCATCACCCTGACAAGAGACGAGAGAGAATGCGGTTAGAGACTGCAGTCAAATTCTACAAGTTGGGAAAGATTCTGAAACAGGCTTCTATTTCGAATGTGTAACCCGAAATAGAAGTTTTTTTTCTAAATCACACCTACAAACACTATGCTCCACAATTTTTTTTTTTTTTATTCTGTTATTTAATGTTTGTTGCAAAATAATATTTATTAAACAAAAAAAATATATATACAGTCAACTCTCATTAATTCAAACTCGAGGGGGGGCTGAAAATTTGTTTGAATAAAGCAAAGTTTGAATTATCAGGAGTTTCCTCTTATAGAGACACATAGGATTGGACCTGCATGTTACTTTGAATTATCCGCAATTTTGAATTAAGAGATTTTGAATTAATGAAAGTAAACTGTATATATACCGGGTCTTTCAGCTAAGACTGACAAAAGTCCCAAAAATGAGTGCATTTCGAGGTAAAAAGAATTTTTAGGGGCGAAGCTCCTTAGGGTGTAGCCTTGTCCGTCCGGCGTCCGTGCTCACATCGATCTTGTTGGTGCTCGTGAGCTCACAAGCATGTGCTCACGTGCTCGTGTAGGAAAAAAAAATAAAAATAAAAAATGATGAAAAAAAAAATTTTTTGCGTAGTTGACAGGATTCGAATTGGTGCGGGGAGACCCCAATGGATTTCTAGTCCATCGCCTTAACCACTCGGCCATGACTGCGGGACGAGTAGGGGGCTCTGAGATGTGGCATTAACTCAAGAGCTGGGGATGGTCATGGATGAAGCGTTGCATGTAGCTGCTCAACGTCTATACAGGAGACAAGAGGGCGCCACGGTCAAATGCGTATATAACCATGTTCCATACCACGCATTCTCTTTCTGACATGGATGAAAACGAACGAAAGGCTCTGCATGCTGCGGCTCAGCGTCTATGCAGACATGCACCACCAGAGCTTCGCCCCAATCAACATCATTCACCACGTGGAGATGCGGTAAATTTTTTTAGGAACCGCATAACTTGTGGTGGTGATGGACGTCACAAAATGTGTGATACTTACTAATTAGTTTGCTTATTTATTAAAAATGACTAATTAACTTTCTTATTGCTGAAAATAGATATATGATCCAATTAAAAACTTGCCGAGCATCATCGAAAACCACTAAATCAGTAATTTTCAGAAAGACTTCGAGCATAAAGGAAGCATAGCAGAGCACTACAGTTGCCACTCGTGGAGCATGTACAAGGCTGGGGCTCCGATAAGAGACTGAAAAATCGCGCGGGCACCTTATCGCAACCACTAGCCTTGTACCTGCTCCAGGACTGGTAACTTCAGCGCACTACTATGCTCCTCACATGGTACAAGTCTCTCAGAAAATTACTGATGTAGTGGTTTTCGATGATGCTCAGCAAGTTTCTAATTGAAGCCATATGTATTGTATTGCTAATTAGAAAGTTAATTAGTTTGTTTTAATTAATTAACAAACTAATTAGTAAGCATCATACATTTTCCAACGTCCACCGCCACGAGTAATGCGGTCCCTAGAAAATTATCTTTTTACTTCAGATATATATATATATATGTATGTGTGTGTGTGTTTGTGCACGCACGCACGTGCGTGTGCATGGGTGTGTACCACACTGTCAAGCTGGTTGTACAAAAAAAGCACCAGAAGAGCTTTGTTACTTGCATCGAGGGGCAGTTCATTCTATTCCACTCTTATGTGGTAGAGATTATATAGGACAAACCGGCAGGTGTTTACACAATCACTTAAGAGAGCACCTCTACAACACCCAAAGAGTCGTTTCGGACACCTCGGCATACACTGTAGGGATTGTGGATGCGTTGCAAATTTTGAAAAATGTTCTATAATAGGAAGAAGTAGGGTCCTGCTGACCAGAGAGATAACGGAAGCTCAGAAAATACCGCTTCTTGCTGACAAATGTGTTAGTAGTCCGTCCTTAACAGTGCCTCAAAAAGAGCTCGAATTTTTATCTTGATAATTGCGGTGAGGAGTCAGAAGCATATTTAGCAGTGTTTTCTGTATTTGTGCTATTGTGCTGGTCATGGAGATTGGGAAAGTCAACCTAATGACGAGAACAAAGTTAACTGAATACAAAACGAGTTGTAAGTCAGCATGTGTTTGTCCTTTTGTGTGTGTGATTGATCTTGCACTGTTAACCTTAGGATATGAATCATCAACTCGCCCAAGTTTCCAATTTATCAGATTGATTTGCACTATTCATGGCATTCATAGATGGACAGTTCCATTCGTCGATACACTTGATGAAGAAGCTCCTAAAGGAGTTAGTGGTAAAGTGATGAGGCATAACAAACTTGTTGCGTTTTGATCCAGATGCATTAGCGCACTTTGCATAGACAACATATTTGAAAATATTGCCCATTATTGTACTCTTACTTTGGGCACAAGTTCGCCGTAATAAACATTCAGTTTTATCAGTTATTCATTCTCTCTTCGCTCGTCATCAATGACTATTTCGAGAAAGTAACGATTGTTTAGCAAGTTAAAAGATGATATCATCCTAGTCAACACCATCCCCATACCCGTAGACAACATTTTGTGGCCTTTTCGATGAGAGGAGGAGTGCACAGGCACAGCTTCAATCAATCTGCATTTATGAACGTGCCCCCGTACCTTTGACTGCATAGCCACAAAAAGTTGCCCCCGAGTATAGTCCTTACACGCTTAAAGTTTGCACCAAACTTCAATGGGAAGACACAATCTGTGAATCGATAGCAACTCAAAATAAATAATAACAGATGTGAAAACTGTCTGCAAATAAATGCACATTTTGCAGAAACAGTGTCTCTGAACTCACTTCCTGGTTTCAATCTTTTTCCCGTTGACAAATCGCGTGGATGTCGTTGTCTTGCGGACGCCCGGCCGCGTGGCTCCAACGTCCGCGCTGAATGTCGACGTCGTTGTGAATGCGGTGAACCTGGGAGGCACAAAAAAGAGGAAGTGTTAAACTCGGGCTACGAAAATGAAGCAAAATGCATATAAAAGAGGGTTTTGACTACACGTTTTAGGATGTCGACTTAAACCACACTCCAAAAATTTTAGGAAACTATGCATTCCTGGCATGTATCCCTGCTTCCATTCTCTCTTTGTGGATGCGCAATTATCAAGAAAAATATTTCTTATGGAAGCGTTCTTCCCGATGGCAAGTGTCCACCCCAGCAAATTTCAGAGCCCATTCAGCCATTCCTCTACGTCAGCTGCTTCTCCAAGCATGCCGGTGCTAAGTGGCGAGGCACGCACGCGTAAAGCTTTACCGCTTTGCACATGTCTGCGCGTGAAGGGCTTCACCACTTTGCACCGATGCATGCACATAAAGTTTCACCGCTTTGCACAGGTGCTAAGTGGAGAAGCTCTATACGGGCCCACACCAGCGCAAAGCAGTGAAGCTGCAGGTGATAGTGCCGTTGCAAAGCAGGCTTAAAGGGGCACAAAGAAGATTCTGCGATCGTCTGTTCTTGGTCATAACCGATTCTACGGGCCAGCATCCTAAAAATTAAAAAAATGCAATCACGCGACGCTCGTTTCGTTATTAAAAACAAGGTGAAAGTTCAGGACCCTTTCCGAGCGGATTTTTCCGCTCAGTTGCAAGCCGCCTCCCCCGAGAAAGGCGGCTTGCGATTGGCCAATGAGCGCTCATTACCACTGCACTGACACCGCAGCTGGTGCATTCCCCACCTTTCCTGAGCAGAAAGATCCGCTCAGGAAGTAGCGGCCTCACAAAATTGTCATTTTTGGATTTTTAGGATGCTTAGTGTGTCAGTTAATTAGTTGACCAAAAACAGACAACCGAAGAATCCTCTTTAGTGCTCCTTAGGAAGACACTAACACCCCCCAATTTTTTGGGGGGGCGAAGCTCCTTAGGGGCTAGCCATGTCCGTATGTTCATCCGCCGTCGGGTGCACGTGCTCCTGCTCGTGAGCTCACGGGCTCACGAGCACGTGAACCCGTGCTCGCGTAGGGCAAAAAAAAAAAACGCATCTCCACGTTGTGATTGATGTTGATTAGAGCGAAGCTCTGGTGGTGCATGTCTGTGTAGACAATGAGCCGCAGCATGCCAAGCCTTTTGTTCGTTTTCATCCATGTCAGAAAGAGAATGTGTGGTATGGAACGTGGTTATATACGCATTTGAGCATTTGACCGCAGCATGACATGGATGAAAACGAAAGGCTCGGCATGCTGCGGCTCACAGTCTACGCAGACAAGCACCACCAGAGCTTCGCCCCAATCAACATCATTCACCACGTGGAGATGCGGTTGTTTTTTTTCTTTCAATTCTTTTTCTTTTTTTCTTATGGTGTCAGAAGATTACCCAGTCAATTTTGCTACAGCATCACATATATTTTTAATAGAGTCATAAAATGCAACTGCTCGAAATTGAAATTGGACAGGAAGAAGAAATATAGAGGAGAAAAATAGCGCAAGTCACATGGCAGCATATTTTTTTTTTTTTTCAGTTAACATATTTTCTGCTTTTTAGAAGCCACAAAAAATGGCCATCTTTTGTTTTTTTGTCCATTTCTAATATTGAGTGTGAGCCTTCGATGAACCACAACTCTGATTATCTTTCCTGGTTGTGTCTAAACCATAGAAAACGGCACGTGACCACAGAGAAAAGTGAGTGCGATTCAAACCGGCCAGTTCTCGATCATTGGTTTTCGGGAGGAAAGAAAAGGAATTTCGAGCCACAAATTGTGTTCATGGTAGTAGTTGCGCTCTCATATGCCATCTACAAATAAAAACCTCGGCAAGCATAAATACCCTGCCACTGTCCCTTTTAGAAGGGTAGACATGCACCAGGAGGAAGAAATTGTTTTCTTTTGTTAAACATCATATTGAATTTCAGTTTTTAGTTTATGGTGCTTAATCTGCTCTTGATAAATCCAGTGTTAGATCTGATACAGCCTGTTTTTTTAAGTTCTAGATGAACCATACATGCAGAAAAAAAAACAAGTTCTTGTGCACACACGAGGCGTAGCAACACACTTAAAAAAAGCCTAGTAAAATAAACTAATTCACTCCTTTTATTTTAATGTAATTAAAGAACAGCAGAAATGCCATTTCAAAAAAGCTAACAAACATTTCTTAAATTTTTCAAAAGTATAAATAACATACATTCTAACCAAGCCTATATAAAGGCAATCCACATTTTCTAAAGTATATGCATGCCGAATTTGGTTGCGAGAGGACTAAGAACAAATATTCTTGTGCACAAACTGTGAAGATACCTCAAAAATTACATAAAAAGAAAAACACGCTAGAATGTTACCATAGATGTGTAGCTATCAGGGCCATACCCAGAAAAAAATTTCGGGGGGGTTTTCGGGGACAACGGCGGCCATTTTGAAAGTGTCTATTGTCTTGTTTTCGCCTATGAATCATGCGCATCGGTGGCATATAATGGAGGGTTACAGCAAACCGGAGAACCGGTCCCGGTTTGGCACCCGGTAGCCGACCGGCGCCACTGCGCGTGCGCAGAGGTGGAGATTAAAATCGGCTGGCTGCAAATGCACCGACCAGGGCCGTACCCAGAAAAAAATTTCGGGGGGGGGGGGGGGGGGGGGGGGGGGGGGGGGGGGTCAGAACCCCCTAACCCCACCCCTGGTTACGGCCCTGGTAGCTATACTCTTTCGCAATGCAGATAATAATATTTTGTTAAAGTAGTTTGCCGAAAGCGTCCCTCCCGAATCTCGCTTCCAAGCCCGGCAGGTGCTTGTTGTCGTCGGTTGTAAAAAAACCAAGAGGTCCGTGGCACAAACAGGCGGCCTTTGACGGACCATCCACTTACCCGTCGTTGAATGCACCGTTGAAGATGTTGGGAAAGCCCATGTTGAAGCTAGGAATGGCGAAAAAGTCGTCTCTCCTGTGCACTGCCGCAGCTGGAACACAAAAGAAGAAAAGGGCAGGGCATAAATGTATGATTCTCACAAATCCTGCCTGTTTCCAAACATTTATCTACATGAATCAAACTTGCTAGCTTTTGCTACAACATGATCTTAGAAATACACTTTTTTCCCATTAACAAGTTAACACCCCCAGAATAAAGATCAAACCACTATAGAAAGCTACCATTCTTTTAGGTACGAAAATATCTCCACGAAAGAAGAACCAAACTGCTCTTATTTACTTGCTCCAGAAGCAAAATGAATAAAACTTGCTAGCTTTTGCTACAACTTGATTATAAAAATACACTTTTTTCCCATTAACAAGATATTATCCCCGGAATAAAGAGCAAACCACTATAGTAAGCTACCATTCTTTTAGGTACGAAATCATTTCCACAAAAGAAGAACCAAACTGCACTTAATTATTTGCTCCAGAAGCAAAAGGAATTGGTTCATTTACCAACTCAAATAATTAATTACATTAACCTCTACAATGTTCCAACTTCTGCAGGTTAATCTAGAGAACATCGGAGTTTGTGACACTCCACTAATACGTAACAAGACTAAAAAAAATACAATATGACAATAAATATGATTAATGAAGGCACCACACACCAGTAGTGGCACTAGGACGTGCTCGTGACAAGGTGAGATGGTTAAATACAAAGCACAAGGTTATTGGCATCTACTTTGAGTGGCAAAGTGAAAAGGGGGACAAAGCTGTTAGGCACAAGGCTACCGTACACACAGGCATCCCAGAGCACAAATTTCCTGACCAAACGGTCTTCCAAAATACTGCTGCAGGCTATACAAAGGTTAAAAAAAATCAGGGATACAGCTTTAATGCAGCTACACAACAAAGATGACCTACCAACGTCTCCTCTACATTTACAAGAGGTAAGACCATGGGCGATTTTTCTATTGCATGATCAGTCGCAAGATACTGAAAGCTGAGTGTTTTTCCGCAAACCAGTTTGTCCAAATTTCCCCAATTATTATTGCGATAGCTTATTTTTTTTTTTAAATACTGTCAATTGCTCCGAATTAACAATTTAACAGTGGCACAGGCAATTATGTTCCTTTTTCTTTTTAATTGAGAGGGCCACTTGTATCAGTTTACCACACTGGCAGCAAGCAATAAGACGTTGAAAAACTGAGCAGCTGCATTGTAGCATAAAAATACATACTAAGCTACCACAAGTGAATAAACTTAACTAGCAATGGCTGCCCTACTTTCGCAACCACGGTGCACCTTCAAGGGAGTTACTGGTAGTGGGTAGCAATATGTTAACCAGTCAGATTGGCAGATAAGACAAAGCTCGGCAACTCTGTTAATCCCAAGTAGACGAAACCGCAAGGAAATGGTGCATTCGTCAAGAGCTCTCAACTATCGCATCAAACGGGAAAGTTGGTAAATTGTTGGAGGGAAAAAAAGCAGCCAACGTAGTAGAATGTTAACAAAGGAAGGAAGGTTAGTCCTAAGCCCAGAACAGGTCTTGGTTACAAGAGGGTGGTTACACCAGGAAACAGGTCAATGGTGACAGAAACTCCAAAGCTTTTCTCACTTTTGTGATGCTCACACACGAAAGAATAGAGAAAACAACTTTGTAGCAGTTCTCAGAGAAAGGGTTGATGGGGTTATTAGAAGAAGAGCGCCAGACCTCCACCGCCCAGTTATCGGCACAATGATGAAAAATTAAACGGCGAGGCCATTGAGACACTTGGGATCAAAGTGGAGACCGTCCGACAAGCGACCACACACTTTCTGGGTTCAGGGTTTGATGGAGTGCCACTCGTGCGCGGCACTCCTAACTACAGGTCATCAATGTAGCGAAGAAACTAACAAGGCGGCACAGTTTCTGCCGACATAAAACACCCACTTTAAGTACTCTGCAGCACATGCTTTAACGGTACATCCGTAATGCTGAAGACCGTGCCACAAGGTCGTGTAGCAGCTACAGCAAAAGGGGCTTTCGAAATTCGTCAAAGACCGAAAGCAATAGTGCTCTTCTGAAACCCCGCACAAACCGCAAGACATCCCAATAGACACCTAAATCCGCCATTACAAATAAAGCAGACCAACATCCGCAGTTTGGAGCAGATGCTTTAATAAGACATCTGCGGCAGACTGTTGGCAAGGAGCGACAAAACATACTAAGCTAAGAAAAGCTTTGGAGCAACGGTGTTCCACCACACGAAGCGTCAGTTGAGTGCAATTCGCAGACGTATGCAGACACCAGACAACAATGCTCTAGAGGGGGGGGGAATAGTAGGGTAGAGCGGTGCCCAAACCAAGCTATTGGGGGTGCAAGCAAGTGCGACAACAAACCAAACGTAAAAAAAAAGAGCCCCCCCCCAACCCCAGTTGGGCTTTTTTTTACGAGGAGGGGGAATGCACACCTGGATGTCCGTGCACGGAACGGTTACGTCCCGCGGCCCTTCGGCCACCCTCAACATTCGCCCGGTGGTGGCTCAGAAGAGGCGCTGAAATCCAGAAAACAACAACAGCGGAGGCATTGTTCTCTTCGTATCCCCACACATCTCCGTCCACTGACGCGCCCCACAGTTTTGGCTCAATACTGTGCCTTGAACAACAGAAGACAGATTCAAAAAGGGGTCTACTCGAAGTACTTTACCCCGTCAATAGGGGCAACCAAAGGAACTTAAAATCATTGCAAATGCAGTATTGTATAAAAATGTTACTATTGTTACTGGCAGGACGAGAATAGCAGGGAGGTTCTTCAGTTGCGCTGCCTACAGCGTGCACTCTATGCCTTTCGATGTGGTTTTGGCTGCATGTGCACGCTCGAGGTCCCGAAGGACCCCCCTGCCGTTCTAACCCTGTCAGTGGCTACAGAGCTAGAATGCTCTACTGGTTTGGAAGCGACACGACACTCCACACGCCTGCGAGAACACTCTACAAGAATATTTTGAGAAAATATCTAGGACATGCAATCCGTCATTAAGAAAAGGTGTGTGTGCAACGTAGTATCAGTGTCACACAGCCTCCCAACCGCAGCGAAGCGAGGCGAGCGAACAGTCACTAGCGGCATGCACGAGCCGACTTGCTGCTTCTCAACTCCAATTAAAATTGCCAGAGTAACATATAAGATTTTAAAATTGAAACCAAAGGGGAATGGTCGTCACAACAGCTGTTCGACTGTAGTCACCACAAACCCAAAAAACGACACTATGGGTCTCGTCGCAATGTGTAGGAAGAAGCGCTCGTAAAACACGGCCCACACTCTCAAATCAGTCTCAACAAAATACAGTCAACCATCCATCATCCAGACTGCAGTCAACCTGCTAAGAAAAGCCACTGTGCTGCAGAAAAACAGGCAGTAGTAAGATCTGGGAAGAATCCATTTTTATTGAGTTTCTTTGCCATATACACGAGTTCAGGATATAAGGAACTGTATCCCGCTCCAAAAATAAAATATGCATAAGCTGCACACTTCAATGGGAGCACTCTAGGTAGCCACAGAGGCACACCTATTGGTTTACTGGAAAGACGGGGTGTACGCCGACATTGCTCGATGCTTTGCAATCGAGACCTTGACAAAGGTTGCCTTCACGAAGGCCTTTCCATGCTGTAATGCTTGTTCCTGGAAGCCACATGGCAGGGTAATGCCACGGGAATGTCTTGCGTCCAAGAAGGCGGTGGCTAGCAATAACGGGGTAGGACGGCTAAGCAGCAGGGTGACTTAGTACTGAACTAAGAGAATGTGCAGTATATTTAACTGGTATCTAGTACTTGCTCACACAAAAGCACAATATGAACATGAAACAATAAAACAGAATTTGAGCAAACTTCACAGCACTAAAGCAAAATGTGCCGGTTCACTAGTTCACTGCAAAGCAAACTCAGATACTTGGTGGACTCCACAAATTTTCTAGATATGATAGCTTATATTCTAGTAATCCATTTCGACGAGGGATACTCAATTTATTGCGTTGGGGCATCCCTCACTAAAAAGAAACAACAGAGATTTCAGAGAATACAAACACAGTCGTAACAAGGTCTTGTTGCTGTGCATAGACATTCGTCAAGTACAGGAATCCCAGTAACCCAGAGTGAAAACAGAAGCAAAAATGCAGATACAGCTTGTTGTCTTCAAACGCATTGTCGCATAGGACAAGCAGACGCTATAATCCGTTTTACTTTAAAACACTGCTCGTACATCGTACAAAAGGCACCATGTCCGCTGCAGGCAGGATGACGGAAGTGCCCGTGCACATACCTCGAGCACTTCCAAAGCTGCCTCATACACGTCTGCAGACAGTATGACAACATGTATATGATTAAAGTATGACAACGTATGTATGACCAACATATAACGGTTAAACAGGCGAGAAACAAGTCTCAGACAGCATCCGCAGAGTGCCTTTTGCATGTTGTATTCGCAATGCGACCACAGTCTAAGTGCAAGCGTAGCAGAAGCTACAAAAGCGGGCTGTTGAATGGTTTAAGCTGAACGAAAAAATGCCCATTTGTGAGAAAGAGTGGTAAGCTAGCTGCTGTGGAAACTTAAGCTCATTTCTAGGTAACTATGCTATACACTCCTACCACAGCATGTGATGCAAAAGTGTTGAGATATGATAAATTGCATTTAGTGATCTATTCAGTGCTTTCTTGATACTTTGTAAAAGTAAAAGCATGGCTGTACAAAGCATGAATCTGTGCCATGATGATGGTTCACTAAGCTAAATGATATGCTACAAAAGCTGAAGTCAGATGGCCAATGCCCACTGATTTAGCAAGGCAATAACTGGCACAATCGAAATACCTTTTCTTTTTCACCGTATTTTGACAATGGTTTGATCATATCTACACAATCAAAACTAATGCTTCCTTAAGGCCACCAAACTTGTAATGGGGTCAAGCCAGACCAAGCAGCAGACACAAGCTTTCTGTTTAACTATACAGGATGCATTATCACAAACCTATTTACATATGACACCTCATGAAATATTTTCAAGCGTTGCAAAAAAATGTTTACAAGCAATTAAAAATACCCCAAAATGCCTAATTTTTAGGCATTCTCGGAGACGCCCAAGGCTCCACGCAATAAGTCCAAGCTGAAACTCTTAATCTAACGATGCAGGCGAGTTGGTTCATGATTACAACTACAGAGACGAAGGAAGGAATGCACGAGACTAGCGCAGAAGCGCTCAACTTGTGCATTCCTCCCTTTGTCCTTGTGTTTTTGCGCGCTGCTACCAGGTGAAGCTCTTAACGTTGTCATTACCCACGGGATGGCAAACATGCCGCGGTGAGGTCCTTTGGCCGAAAGTCCCCCCCTTCCACTCAAACAGTTCAGGACACCACTCCGACAAGCACGACTTCTCACGGGAACGATGTGACTCAGTTTTAACAAATTGAGGAGACGACCAAAAGGGCACCCCACCTCAATACGGGACAGGTCTGGCATATTGAACCTTTCGCCATTCTTCCAAACCACTGCAAAAGCCGACGGCGCACACGCACTTTCATTGGACAACGGCGTGAACCGACAGGCCCTCACCAATCCTAATTAGCTTCCATAGACTTGGTGACGAAGTCAATGTAGCCGAACAATCAAAGTATAAAGCAATTGCACAACATGCACTTGCTCACTAGTAGCTTCGGTTGAAGTCAACGGCACTTGACGGCTCAACGAGATGGCGCGACAACAAATCTGGGAACACAGAAAAAGCTCGGCACAGTAATGAGAGGCTTAACTCCGAGCACCAGCTTGAGCTGTTGGGAAGGAAATCTGACAATTGCTCCCTCAGCGGCAAGGCTGAAGATTTAAACCCGCTGGAACACGAACGACACAGATCATTTTTCTGTGTCGTTCGGCCGGAGTTTATGTTCATGCGGCACACATGGTCTATCAGCAAAGCAGCAATCGAACCAGAGTCCTAGTCGGAGGCTGACACAACACTTGGGAACAATCCGGGCACCGTGCTCGATAAAAGAAGACCACATAAAGAGTCCAGTTTGTGCGCCTTGTGTCGGTTAAATACCAAGCTCCGTGGATAACAAGCCGGACAAGGTGTCCTCTACAGTTTGATCTCCTCGTCAATAGAAAAATTTCCTCAGAGTCGACCGCCACTGCGACATCTTCCGCGGCAAAGAGAGCCCACCAAAGCTTGGAGTGGCCTCTGTCGTCGGTCGGTGCATGAGGTGCCTGAAAGAGCTTGGGGGGCAAAACTGGACCCGGAGAAAACGCGCAAAAGGACGGCTCGCTCACTCCTCTCCAAGGGTGAGGAGCATGTAGTGAAGCAGTTCGGTGGCGACAGCGAACATGGGACTGCAAGGAAGACACCACTCACAGTGCGTGTGCGCGTGCCTGGCCGGGTGGTGGTGGGCGGGCCGGCCAGCAGTGGCCGAGTAGGGGTTCTCGAAGAACATGTGGAAGGCGTCCGTGCCGAAGAACTCCCGGAACACCTCCTCGGGGTCCCTGAAGGTGAAGCTGAAGAAGGGCGCGGCGAAGCCGTCCTCGAAGCCCATGCCCCCCATGCCGCCGTTGGCGTAGTGGTGGTGGTTTCGGGGGCCCGGGCGCATGCCGCTGCCCCCGGTCCCGTTGAGGCCCTCCTTGCCGTACCGGTCGTAAACCTTGCGCTTCTTGTCTGCGACGCAAAGGATTGTAAAAAATTGTGTCGACAATAAAGTTATTACGGGCTACAACAAACTACCATATTTTCTGGTGTGTAAGTCAATTTTTTTCTCTCACAAATTTCCGTTGTTGCATTTTGTACAATGGTGCAACTTATATAGGTCGCGCCCAGTGGATCTTATGCCGTAATACCAGATGGCAGAACCGGCGGCTGCAAGTAAAAAGCTCGAACGTTCACCGAATGTGCGTTGAAGTGGGGCATTTTATTAAGGGAAGTTTCAGAGCACAGTTCTTTGTTGTTTTTTTTCTTGTAAAAAGTGAGACCAACAAATGAGCTAAAATCGATGGCGAGCGTGTTTGCAGACGACCAAGTTGGCGATGGACGTAACCGGTGGAGACGCCTCCCAATTGGCGCAGTGAGCAGACGAAGCACACCGTCGTCTGCTAGCTGTGCCTTTCAGGAGTTGGTGTCATAAGTTATTCATCACTGACCTTGTCTGTGAACACGCCGCCGTTGACTATAGTAAGTTTGTTGCACTCATTTTTTTTACAAGAAGATAAGTATACTTTGCAATTTCACATAGTAAAATGCCCTACTTCAACGCACATTCAATAAAAACCGGCAGGCGCCGACCTGTCCAGCTTATTTTACAACACTGCGTAAGCTTTTTGTTTTTATTTATGAAGGCAGGACAAGCTGTGATCTAATATAACCATGGGTATTGTATTTCTCGTTCAATTTTCTGCCCAGAAAACTGAAAGTGGCTGTTTCCACTTGAGCACATATCACAATCACAGTGCACATATGCAGGCTTATCAATGCAGTATTGCAGCGTTGACCTTATGAAGAAGAGCGACTTACACAAAGGCGCAATCTATGTAGCAACTTTTTTAGGAAAACGAATGGTAATAGCTAGGGGGGTTTGACTTATACAATAGGAAGGACACATAGACAAGAAATTATGGTAAAATATAATGCCCAAAACTCAATTTTCGTGTTGTAAACAAAATACTCAACTCGGAGTCAAAAGCACTCCTATCGTCGGAACGAAATTGATCTCGCTGTGGCAAGATGCTTTCAGGTATTGCAAGTTGTGAGGAAGAAATTCGGTTCTAAACTTGGCGCCAATCGCAGCACCAATTCACCATTGCACTGTGTGTGAACCAAACCTTTACAGTAAAGGTCTAGGATATCTCCCCTCAGTGACCTCATTTTTGCTCTCAACTTGGCATTTCGCTGACAGACTCAATTTGAAACTACAGCTTCCTCCCTGCATAACACCTGCCATAAAAAATGAGACGTGTGCAAATCTCTCTGCAATGCGAAGCTAGAGCACAGCTCTTGAGGAGAAGGAAGGAGGGTATACCCCTCCTCCTCTGTACCCTCCTCTTCTTTTCCTCCTGCCACTGAATATGTTTATGGGTGACGCGACGCAGCAGAGGCAACCAACCTCTGCTGCGTTGCAAGATGGCACCGCAGCAGAGGTTGGTTGCGCTATCTCTCCACGGGGTGCGGTGCCGCCGGGGCTGAGATGCGCTCCCATAGTAAACAGAAACTTAAAAACCCGTTGAATTTGTGCAGTTTTTCAGAAAGCCGTAAAATGCTGTGCGTGCCTTCTATTTGATTGAAACCATGCCCTTAAACACATTAATGAAAAAGTGAATTACCCAAAAATTATTAACTATCTAATTATCCTGGACTTTAATAATTTTCCTAAATAGGCCCCTGGACTAGGAGCAAAACGACACAAGCCTTTTTTTGTTGCTACACATAGTTTTTGCAATATTGAATTTGTACACCTTTTGTGAAACACCCTCTATATATTGGTATTTATGCGCTTGTCAAGCAGCTATAAGTGTGCTTACGATTGATGCCACCCCCTTCGGAAAATAATGTCGGTAAACATAATTAATCTGGCTCAACCCAGATGCATATTGTTAATATCACTAAAGGCCTTTTTAGCCCATGTTATCTCCAAGAGAAGCCTTTAAAGACCCTGGTATAAGTGAAACTAATAAACCTACTTGTAGTGCTGTAAACCCCTTTACTTTTGTGGGTCCAATTTTACCTGACCTGGGCACAGGGGACACATTTCTGGCTACAAACTTGAAAGAATTCCAGCGGCTGCAATTAGGACCTCAAGACGAAGGATATTTCATGATATTTCAATTTTCAAATACTAGGGTGTCTCATAAACTTTAAAGAGTAAGCAGTAATCTGTCAAGTTCATACAAAAATCGTAAAAACACCAATTGAGTGAAGGGTGTTGTGGAAATTAACTTGGAGCAGTGTCTCTTGTGCTTTTTCCACACAGCAGAGTGGAAAACTATGATAATTGCATATCACTGGCGAATTGCCCGTAATAAATGTCGTTTTGAGTATCCATTATTTGTGGCATTAGCAATTTCTTTGTCCTTGTTCCCAAACTTCTTTCCTCATGAATGAGGAAGAGATATCCAAAACGACAATGTATGTTTGACTAAAACACTACAACCTTGAATGCCACCTTCGTGGGATGTCGTACCCTAGTGATCCTAAGCGAAGGCCACTGAAAAAGCACACACATATTTTAAACCACTAAAGCAGTGGTTCCCAAATGAAGGTCCGTGAAGGCATTCTAGGGGTCCCACATAGCCCTGTCTCACTAGTCAAGCCCACCAATAAAAGTTGTCTTTCTTCAGATTGAGAAGAAACATTCCAATTTGCGGGCAAGCTTTCTCGTGTGTATGTCAGAGAGAACTGTACTTCACACTAGCCTTTAGTTATATTCATTTAATAAATCATTATCATAATTATACTATACCTTTCCTTCCCCCTCACAATGAACGGAGTCCTCCATCATCTCCGCCGATCCACAAGGGGTCTGCGAAACATCCGTGTCTGAAAACCACTGCTCTAGAGTAGGTAATCTGAAGGTTTCATATTCCCCTGCTTTACTGCTTCTCTTTATGCACACACGCAATTCCACTGCGTGCGAAAACAGATAACAAGTCTTTGCCGAAAAAATAATGTGTCGGTAATAATACGGCACAACTCACCATCAGACAAGACTTCATAGGCTTCGGAGATTTCCTTGAACCGCCTCTCAGCCTCCTCCTTTTTGTCTGGGTTCTTGTCCGGATGCCATTTTAGGGCCAATTTTCTGTACCTGCAACCAGCAACAAGGTACCCCCGGGGACCAATTTGCAACACCAGCTTCATTCAACAGGACTGAATTTTTTTCCCCTTTTTCTGCAAACCATTGTCATGTGGAAAGGGAAAGAGCACCTCCTGTGCATACTTTGGGGGGGAAACATATTTACTGATGGAATCAAAAGTAATGTTTCAGTTAACTCAATAGGCAGCTGAAGTTGAGGGCAGTTGTGCATACTATTGAAAGGTGTCAAGATAGAATGGGAACTTGAGCACCTTGAGTGCCAATAAATGCTATGCATATGTACCCCCCTTCTTCCGCTACACTACCTACACTACCACAGAAAGATTCCTTCAAGTACAGATAATCTGGCTTAAGTCATGTTTGCTTAGCCCAGTTGGCGGCATGCCAGCTTCATACTCTCTCGCCCAAATGTACCACTGATAACATTTTTATACCCGCTTTGCCCTGGAACATTCTGGACTAACTGCGAAGGAGTCTAAACATTTCATATCTGGAAACTTTTCAAATGCCGGAAACTGCCAAAAGCCATGGCCAACCAACCAAGGAGGTTGCACCAGTTGTTAATTTCAGCATTTTGTCTAGGCTTAAGTTTATGTCATTAAATGCTTGTTCTCAGAAACTTAGCTTATTGCAGGTCAAGTGTCTACTTTATAGGGAAATCAGCAGATCCTTGTACAAAAGGTCGCTAGAACTTAAGGAGGCTGATGACCTAGTTATAATGCATTTTTGGTATGGAGTTAGTTCTACAAATTGAACCTTAAAAGTATCAAGAAATAAGTTGGTGCAACCAATTGACAAACTGTATACAGGAAGCAGCTATTGAAATTTGTTAGAGCTAAAGGCAGGTTGTATGGTTCCTTTCTTCAATTTGTAAAGATTAAAGAGAAAAATCAGGGTGGTGAAAATAAATGATGATTTACATTGACTTGGTATTTGAGTTATTGCTTTACTAAGAACTTTACCAAAGTAGAACCATAAAACGTTTTTCACGCACAAAGCAATACATACTTTCTCAGGATGCATTGCAAATTGTACTGTGAGATATTGAGGTCACTATCACTATACTTCTAATTTAAGCAATCCTTCACTGAACAAAGAAAAATGGAGAGACGACTAACATCCAGCTTTGAGTCAAATGAACTCTTATCTTGCCCATGATTTCCGATTCCATATTTCATGCCCCCCATTGAATGGTATTAGTAACAATATAGAGCACCTATCTCTGCATAATAGAGACGCTTTACACACGCGCCCAATTACAGCCGCCATTGCTGACCTTCTCTTGTCTTACCGAGATGCCGAGCAACTGAAACGGTAGTTGACGATCCTTTACAAAAGCTGATGCTTTAGAAAAGGACACAGTTGAGTCTAATGTGGCAATAACCTGGCCTGCTATGGTAATGATGAAGTGAAATAAACGAAATACGAGGAAACAAAAACTGAAGGTCAGTTATGGTGGCGTCCATGCACAGCTGCTGCAAAGCGTCTATACGTCTTACCTCTATACTGATGACACATGGGAATGTGTGAGGTGTCTATTTTCCTTATCTCAAGTTTAGTAAAGTGTGGGGTTTAGGATCTAACATTTCGTTTCTTCCTACCCTGACAAATGGGCACCGTCATACCTCTTCGCAACAGATATGTATAAACTGACAAATGAAGCCATTTTTCACTGTGCATTGTAAATGAACAAGATTCTAAAAGTAAGCATCTATAGAGATCTGTCTGGTTAGAAAAAAACTGGCCAAGATTTGAAACTCTAACCAAAGATTTAATAAAAACGAAATTCCCATCGGGAATTTTGCACTTATTAAAACTTTGGTTAGAGGTTACAATTATTAGTCGAACAAGATTGTGAAAGGCTAGTGTGGTGTATCCGTTTTCATTGCTTTTTCTACCTTTGAGAACTAAGTTAAGGATTATAATACACACATGTGACTAGAGCCTTTCAGTTCTCTGAAAGGTGAAAGGCTCTAGTCACATGTGTCACAATTTACACTAGCATCCCAAGATGCTAGTGTAAATTTCTTCCTTTAACCTCGCAATGCGAATTACACGTGGGGCAATAACTTTGGGGTGACAAATTAGGTTGGAGCAACATTTGTTCCACATAGCAGAAGCATGTTTACCTTCTTCATACCTCCCCAGGTGTCTTGTGTTATTAAAAAAAAAAAATAACCTTAGCTCAAAACTTTTGGATTAATTGTAACTTCGCAGTATTAATTCTAATACTAGTAGTAAGTTTTGTGGCAAGGATCCCAACAGTCATCGAATTCGGGAGATAAACACTAAAATGCGCATCAACCCACAATGCAAAACACGAAACTATTTATGAGCAAGCAGAGTGCCTGACCATTGTCCCTTGAACATTTCTCATGCGCTTGCAGGACTTTGGTTAATGAAAGGGCAATGCAATGATGTATGGAGATGCATGTAACAAAACAAAAAGTGCACTCACGCTTTTTTAATGTCATCCGTGCTGGCATTTCTGGGGACGCTGAGTACAGTGTAGTAATCCACCATGGTCAAACTGTGGGCGAGCGAAGGCGTAGTTTAAACTCGGGCTGAGCAGCTTTGGCGGCCGCCTCGAGGTGTCAAACCTGCCAGGAAACAAAACAAAGTAAACAAATAAATAAAGATGAAGCCCCTCCTAAAGCGCGCAATACAGCGCGAATGATGAAGTGGAAAAAACGTCCAGGGAAACGATTTCTTCCTCCTCGAAAGTTAGAGAAAGATGTTTCGTGAAAAGTAACGCGGCGGGTGTTTTTTGTTTTTTCGCGCGAGGAAACGCAAGGCGTCGACGGGGTGACGAACGCTTTCTAATTACAAACGACCATCGCAGCTAGGCGCATTGGCCCACGCCTTTGGCATGTGGAAGTTTTGGTGTGGCTCCAGAAAGGTTATCACTCGAGCGGCGGGAACTAAAAATAAGGAAGGCTGCTGCCTCATCCTGACAGTCACTCCTACTGGCCGTATATACACGTTCACAAAATTAAAAAAAAAAAGGGAAAGTACTCCGACAAGTGAAGCTAAATAAAGCGACGGTTGTCTCCAACCGTAAGCGAGGAAAGCCCCCTCCATTGACGTAGGGGGTTTCTGCTCGGGGAAGGGACTACGGCGGCTAGACAAAACGAATTGTTCACGCATCGAAGCGTACGAAAACGAGAGTTCCGCTGGAGAAACGGGCCTGTCTGTCGATGAGGTGTCTACATCGCGATAAAGAGCATGACCACCTAAAGTGAATCCTAGTAGAGAACGGGCAGTGAGAACGAGAAAGCAAGACAAGTATGAATGGTGAGTAAAAATAAACGGACGTAAAGTGCCGATACTAGTTGATCCACCAATCGTTCCAGAAATTGTAGCAAGAAGGCCACGTCTAGAAACAGTATCGTCGGTAAACCATCAAAGGTGGCCACAGAACGGTTCAAAGGTTCCAGCAAAAAAGGGAAGAAAACGCAAGGACAATCGACGCAAAAGATGCAACGCACCACCATCTTTGCCGTTCGCTCCACGACGCCGACGACGCCAACACACGACACAACACAGAGCAGCCCTAACGTTCCGTAACCAGCATTTTGGGCTCGCGGCGACAGCAAAACGTGTAGGCCCACGTCAGAGACAAAAATGCAAAGTACGTTAGGCTTAGAAACGAGCTTCGTTCCCTTTAAAAGAAAGCGAGAAAATATTCGACGAAGAACTCCCACTCAGGCGACAGCTTGTAGCAGCGGCTCGACTCCGCCGATCCCGAAGAGATAGCCGTGTGTCTGTGAGCGCGCCCGCCGTCCCTCGCCACGCGGAACACCGTTAAAGCGCGCAATGAGGACGCGGAATCGTAGGCCCGCGCGGCCACCGTACTCGATAAATCGTTTTTTCGAAAAGCCGCTTACCTCCTGGGGACGGGTATTCCGAAAAGAAGGACGAAAAATGCGGACCATTCGCTCCTCACTGCGGTACCCGCTGCACCAACAACGGACGGCAGGTTGCCTCTATCCCAGCATGCACCGGGCGCAACAGATGAACGGCGTAAGGGGAGAGGAGGACGATTCCGCCTCGTTCTTTTACGTCGTCCTCCTCTCCTTTTCTTTTTTTTTTTCCTCCTCGCTTTTCTGTCGTCTGCTGTTTTGTTGTTGTTGCTGCAGCTCGAGGCGAGCGCTGCTTTGTCAAAGGTCCAATTTAAGCGGTCCAAAGGGGCAACGGGAAATCGGTAACAGCGGCAAAGTAAATAAGGTCCCGCGAGAAACTACCGACAGAAGCGAAGGATAGCTTTGATTTCGAAATTTGGGAGACGGACTGTGGCGGAAACCGCCGCCCGTGTTTTACACCGGAGCAGATAAGAGGCACGGACGTCACAGACGTCAGAGAACAAATCTCTCCCCGCACCTTCCTGTCACAAACCAGAAAAAGAAAGAGAGAAAATAAATTGAGGATGGGCAGACGGGCGTGTACAGAAGGACTTCAGAAATTTGTTGCCAACATGTGTTTCTTTCTCGACCCGCTGTCTTGAGAAAGAAAAGATTTTGAAAGGCGTACCTTCCTCCGCCTTTGTGCGAACTCTTTTCTTCTCCAGCTCTTTTTCGTGACTGATTTTTCTTTCGTGATGTCCCAAATAAAAATAGGGTCAATGAGTTACGCGCTTTCGAAGTCACCAGCGACATCGTCTGCGCGACACGACATTTACCGAGACATCGCACGGAGTGCAAGAAAAGGCTGCGCGACACTGCTTTTTTAGAAGCCCTTCGACCTTACGCTACTTACGTGGTGATGCAATGATCAAGGCGTTCCGACGTTTCTAGAATAATAACTGTTGTGCAATGTATGTTGCATTCGTAACTCCGAGAAAGTTCTAGAATACTGCAACGGCCGGCCGTTGAAGTAATGTCCCTAGATTCCCTACCTAGAAACCTCAGGGAATCGAGGTCAAAATCTAGGGAAAACATTACGGCTGATCTTGAGAACGAACGCCTTATATTTCCACTACGCTTCAAGTTCTCAGCTTTGATGTGATTCAAGCCGTAAATAACGTTGTAAATTTTTTTTTTTTTCGAGCTGTGACGTTAAAGTTTGCCTGCTCCTTGCGCTCCTCGTGCATGTTTACCCGCGAATACACCGTGCCCGCGAAATACGCTCCGTGCTTTTGTTTCCCTTTGAACTCAACGAATGATGGCGCGCCGTCATAACGCGTTTCCGCGGTGGGAAGCTGTTGTGACGTAATAAATACCGACTACGCGAACCTATTTATTTCACAAATCATCCCAACAAGCAATCTTTTTTGTTTATTTATTTATTTTTTTTTTTTTTTTCAACGAGCGTCGTGAAAGTGGTTAGATGTAACTCGATGGATTCGCCAGAACGGCTTTCACGAAACTCATTTTGTCCGACGAACCTCATTCTGTGATGTCACGACAAACGCTGGGAAACGAAACATATGCAGACTCCGCGCACCTTAAAAAATATATATAGAAACAATAGCGGGGTCTTGCGCATGCGTTACTACTTAAAAAAAAAAAAAAAAAAAAAAGCGTCAATGTACAAGTACGAGGGTCGAGGAATAAACGACTCCACACACACGACCTAACACCACAAAACCACGTACCAAAAACAAGACAGTTTGCCCGGTTCCCCTCCCTGTATTCAAAATGACGTCTATTACAGTGCGAAACCACCGTCGAGAGAAGTAAAAGACGTAACAAAGGAAGCGCCATGACACGGCGGAAGCAAAAGAGGAGGTTGGCCACCCAGCACCCACCCCATTGTTTTCCTTTCTTTCTTTATTTTTTTAAGAAAAAGCGAACGTGGTTTTTTGACAGGACTGCAAAGGTCGTTGCACGACAGGGCCCCAGCCGCGGTCGTTAACGTGGAAGGTGCTCAGTTTTGGCTGCGTACGAGTTTGCTTCGAAACTGCGTGGTGTAATGTCGGCATGGGCGCGGTAACGTGCCCCCCTCCTCCCCCCCCCCCCCCCCCCCCTCAAAAAAAAAAAAAAAAAGAAGTCAGGAACAACGTCAAAGTGATTGTATTTTCTTATTTGGGGGAGCGACAGATTTTTGACAGGTTTGTACCTGGCGTACCTTTATTTGGTACTTTATCTACTCAGGTGAAGTGGAGCGCCGCCTAAAGGCGTCGCGGAAAGCACATCGCAGTGTCTGACACTACACTGAGTTAAATATTAAAAGGCCGAACCCCCGGTCCTTCTACCTGGAAAGAGCTTGTCAGCTGATGGTGTGCGATGAATTTTCTATGAAACATTCTCAACTCAAGAACATACTTTTTTTTTTTTGCTTTTTAGATTTCCTTTAAAATTTAAAGGGACAATGACCTCACCCAGAACTTTTTTGTTTGTTTTGTTTTCAAGTGGCCGGATAGAACAAGTAAGTCGCTAAAAAGTTTATATATAAAAAGAAATATATATATATATATATATATATAGGGTGTCTCAAAAGAAAATTTACACGGTCATTCTTACCGCAAAACTAAACTAGGCATCGCCGAAGGCTCATTCTCCGCCTAAAGGCTCATTCTCCGCCTAGAGGTCAAAACCAGATGCCAAAGTTTCAGCCCGATCCGATAACTTAATCAAAAGTTATAAGTGATTTTCTGAAAATTTCAATGGGAAAATGGAGCCCATTTTTGCCCGTTTTCGGTTTCTGGCGCCATAGAGCTCCATGTGTTTGAAAACTGCGTCGGCCGCCATTTTCCCATTGAAATTTTCAGAAAATCACTTATTCGCGACCCTAGCAAAACGGACGCCACCAAGCGGGAAAACCGGGAACCAGCCGGTCCAGGTCGCACCGCGCCCCTTCGCATCTCTGGTGGCTTTCGCGGACACGTGCACGTTGTCGGCGCGATGGCGAACAGTGTAATTTCACGAAGGTCCGCGAATTTCTGAAGTTTGCCTGAGTGTTCATTAGTGTGGCGAAACCTCATGAGATTGTTTCCTTCCATCACGTGTTCTCGATTTCTTTAAAGGGGAGGAATCGCGGAAAAACGTTTTGATTTCTTGTCTGTCTCGAATCCCATTCAAAATGACGACTACTTGGTAACTGATAAGGGGTTTCTTTATGAAGATGTAGAACATTGGGAGGACAACAGACGAGGCATTTCACTGGAGGGAACACCAATGCTGCAGTCAAGTGAATGGGGAGGTTCGATAGCTGCTTTTCTTGAGTTTGGTTGTGTTCGATTAGCCTCAAGTTTGAGCCACCCACGCCGGTCGGTGCGTTGGCTATTCATCTTTGCTGCTTTTCGCCGAAAAATCCTCTGGACCACTCTAAACGAGTTGGGCTGATTTCGCAATTACTTGATTCAGGAAAACCTGCTCGCTGCAAATGATGAATGAGGGAAATTATCTGTTTTCAAAAGGTGGGGGACGCATCTCGCAACGTTAGAAGCTGTCACGGCATTTTGATCTATAGCGCCTTCAATATTTATATTATACCCCTGTCGAATTAAGCCAGCAGCAATATACGTCTACATTGCTCAGGTTGACCGACCACAAAAATACTAATTTTTTCTGTTCAGGATTCGAAGTCAAGTTCAATGCCAGAGAGGTTCTGCGTGAATCTCCAATGAAGACTCTCTTCAGTTTGTCCGCATTCGTCTCCGTGCTACTGGCTAGAACCATTTGGTTAAGTTTAACTTAGCATCTCTCTGTCTGTCAAATATTTTTTTTTCAGCAGTTCACATAATAGCTAGTTAACTAAGCTCATATTTCGAACCGAAGAATATACTAATATCGCTTTAGTGGGACATAGTACGTAATATAATACATAACCCGCTCGTCAAAATGACTTCTCGATTGCCACTCAAACCTGAATTGAAATACGAATATCAGCTGCTTAGTGGGGTGCCGGCGGGTTAACATGCTCCTTGGCTCAAGGAGCGCTTGCTTAATTTTCGTAATTTTCCTGCAGCCCGTGTTGTTGACCGAGCATACGACTCAAGCTGTTTCTTAAACGCGGATACGCACAAAAGCTCGATTTCGCGGACAGATAAGTCGCATATGGTCGAGGCATGCGAGTTGGCTGAAAATTACTGCCGGTGGGAGAATTCTGCATTCATTGCCGCTTTCCTTAGATGATCAAAACTGATTAGTATATTACCGTCTCTCCAGAGCCCATAGTTTTGGTTTCGAACGAAATTTCCGAAACGAAGGTTTGACATGAAAAAACAAAAAAAAAAAAAAAAACACAATTGGAAAACAAAACTATGCTCTGCAAGTTTATGTGCACCGGCTACACTAAACCGTCTCAGTTCAAATACCTATAACATTGGGCATTAAACAAAAGAAAATCTGTTAAATCGAACGCGCCACCTATTCAGGCGGCCCGGATACAGTGGCCGGGCCGAGCCGACGCGGCCTGTACTCAGAGCCGTATATGTAGAGAGTTTGGTCAATGGGAGGCGCGGGCAGAGCCAGGGGCTGTGTTCCAAATCTTACCCTAATGGATCCTAGTTACTCCGGCGGATCGTGTCACGTGACAGCACAGATTGAAAAACGCTGGACGCGAGTAGGTTTCAGAACGCCAAGGGTACGAAACCCTTACCCTGGAGTATGATCGAGTTAATTTTGGAACACGGCCAGGGTGTGCGGCAGACTCGGAAAGAGGGCTTGGCATGCTCTCTTGACCAACCAGAAGCCGAAAAGGATCCCCTAGCGGTGGTAGCGAGAAACAGTTCTGAGCCGATCGATCATCGAAGGTCTCTGTTCGTATATGATTTTAACAAGTGCGTAAGAGTGAAGTGTAGTAACTCTTTGTGGTTGAAAATAGGGTGCACGTGTTATTTCATCATGATCATGCAGAAAGATGTAAGAAACGAATGCGCCGCATCAACTCAGTTTTGCGCGGACAGAGTGTGACCGCTCCGACGGCAGATTCCCGGCGCTCGGCGTTTGGCGTAAGGATTATGTCGATCTTTCCGCTAGTCGCACTCTTCCACCATCATTTTAGATGAGCGTGATTGAAACATCACGTGTACCATATTTTCAGCCATCGAGAGTTACTCCAATGCAGTTATCAGGTTTGTTTCTCGCGACCACCGCCAGGGTATTATTTCCGGCTTCTGGTTGGTCACATTCGAATTTCTGAAGACGCCCTGGAACACGCCCAGCCCGCTTTCGGCCAATGGCGCCGCTTCATTTGTCTCCTATACTTCCCAACGAATGGCCAAACTCTCTACATATACGGCTCTGCCTGTACTCAGCCGCCATGTTTGTTTGGTGGTGGCGCCCCCTATAGGTCGCTGGAGTCGCGAATAGCTTTTGATTAAGTTATCGGATCGGGCTGAAACTTTGGCATCTGGTTGTGACCTCTAACTCTACCTTTGGGCGGAGAATGAGCGTTCGACGATGCCTAGTTTATTTTTGCGGTAAAAATGGCCGTGTAAATTTTCTTTTACTGTGTGTGTGTGCGTGTGTGTGTGCGTGTGTGTGTGCGTGTGTGTGTGTGTGTGTGTCTATATATATATGTGCAAGGTATTTCTTAAGTTTAACAATTTTTTTTTTAAATTCCGTGAAAGCTACACTTATGCGGCTTATGGAGGTGAGTTATACGGCTAAGGGGACATTGTGTGGGTGGCTAATCTTTCCGATAAGTCGGCTAATCAATTAAAATTCGTTAATTAACTTTTTAATAAGTGAAAATAGACATATGGTTCTAATTAGAAACTTACTGAGCGTCATAAAAAAAAACAATAAATCAAA